GCGCCGGGAGCAACTGACGCCCTTAGTTTTCTGGCTATTTGTTTCTTTACTCTTTTCTATCACCCCTTTTACCTTTCATGTACGTTGAGCTTCTTCTACATCCTGAACCTGAACTTGCCTTAACATTGCCATTGTATTCCGCTTGCCCCGCGCTGACCCTTTGCCCACAGAACCTCTCATCGTCATCATGCCCGGCTTTTCGCAAACCAGTGACCTTCCTGCCTGGAAGGAGCTCCAGGAGCACCACACTACCTTGGGACGCAACCTTGTTCTCAAGGATCAATTCCAAAAAGACCCTAAGCGCTTTGAGAACTTCAGCCACAAGTTTGCCAACACCGTAGACAACACAGAAATCCTCTTCGACTTCTCCAAGAACTTCCTGACCCAAGAGACTGTCTCTCTTCTGGTCAAGCTCGCCAAGGAGGCCAACGTTGAGGAGCTCCGTGATGCCATGTTCCGTGGTGAGCATATTAACTTCACCGAGGACCGTGCTGTCTACCACGCTGCTCTGCGTAATGTTGCCAAGGAGCCCATGGAAGTTGATGGTAAGAGCGTGGTTGAGGATGTCAGTTCCGTGCTGGAGCACATGAAGGAGTTCTCCGAGCAGGTCCGCAGCGGAGAGTGGAAGGGTTACACCGGCAAGAAGATCAACACCATCGTCAACATTGGAATCGGTGGTTCCGATCTGTAAGCTTTCTTGTCCTTGCGTGAGCAGGAACTGTAGCTGACATCTGCACCTAGCGGCCCTGTAATGGTTACCGAGGCTCTCAAGCCTTACGGCCACCCCGACATTAAGCTCCACTTTGTCTCCAACATTGACGGCACCCACATTGCTGAAGCGCTCAAGGACTCTGACCCGGAAACAACCCTTTTCCTGATCGCCTCCAAGACATTCACTACCGCAGAGACCACTACTAACGCCAATACCGCCAAGTCTTGGTTCCTCAAGTCTGCCAAGGAAGATTCACACATTGCCAAGCACTTTGTGGCTCTGTCGACCAATGAGTCCGAAGTCACCAAGTTCGGCATTGATGCCAAGAACATGTTCGGATTCGAGTCGTGGGTGGGTGGACGTTACTCCGTATGGAGTGCTATTGGCCTGTCTGTCGCTCTGTACATTGGTTACGACAACTTCCACCAGTTCCTGGCTGGTGCCCAGGCCATGGACAAGCACTTCCGGGAAACACCCCTCGAGAAGAACATTCCCGCTCTTGGTGGTCTGCTGAGCGTCTGGTACAGCGACTTTTTCGGTGCTCAAACTCACCTGGTTGCTCCCTTTGACCAGTACCTGCACCGCTTCCCTGCCTACCTCCAGCAGCTGTCCATGGAGAGCAACGGAAAGGCCATCACGCGTACTGGTGAATATGTCAAGTACACCACCGGACCCATCCTGTTTGGTGAGCCTGCCACCAACGCGCAGCACAGCTTCTTCCAGCTTCTGCACCAAGGCACCAAGCTTATCCCTGCTGATTTCTTGATGGCGGCTGAGTCACACAACCCCGTCGAGGGTGGCAAGCACCAGCGCATGCTGGCTGCTAACTTCCTCGCTCAGTCCGAGGCTCTGATGGTTGGAAAGACCCCTGCTCAGGTTAAGGCTGAGGGTGCTGCCGAGGAGCTTGTTGCCCACAAGACTTTCTTGGGTAACCGTCCCACCACCTCTATTTTGGCTCAGAAGATCACCCCCTCCACCCTGGGTGCTCTGATCACCTACTACGAGCACGTCACCTTCACCGAGGGTGCCATTTGGAACATCAACTCGTTCGATCAGTGGGGTGTCGAGTTGGGCAAGGCCCTTGCTAAGAACATCCAGAGCGAGCTGGAGACTGAGGGCGCGGGTGCCGACCACGACAGCTCGACCAGTGGTTTGTTGCTTGCTTTCAAGCAGAAGGCCAAACTGTCTTAGAATGTCTTAGTCTTACATGAAGCGCTGTGGGATGTTTAGTTTTGACGAGCAACGATTTTCCACATATTTCTCTTGGTTTGAAAGGAATTGATTATTCTCAACATTTTCGTTATCAGTAAATTTTAATTACAGACTGCGAGTCACTTTTTAGAATAGAGAAGGTAGGGGTTAGACATGATGCAATTTGAAGTGCGGAGGGGAGGTAGCACCAAGGGGAAACCCGCTTTGTTGTCGCAACTCCGCAACGCGGTTGAACCCCGTCCTTGACTCCTGTGCCATCCTCGACCTCTTGAAACTTGCCGACGCGGGGCGGCTACCCTCTTACAATTGTTGGAATAGAAAAACAATAATGTTTCCTATACGTCAATTGAACCCGTCTTCCGCGGCAGTGGCGCTGCTGGCTTTGACAGGCGCATTGTGGCCAGCCAGCGTACTTGCGGGGAACCCCAATGACAACGACGAGGGATACAAACTGAGAGAGGACATCCCAGTGTCATGTCTGAATCGAACTGCGTAAGACTGTTCTTCAATCAACCTCTAAAGCATTACTAACCAGCACTTGTTCTACACCTGCAGTGAAGGAGAACATGTAAGCGCCATCAGCCTACCTACCGTCTCCTGAAACGAGGGGGAAAGCGCATACCACAAAACAACACTTTGCTAATGTCGCGAAAACATCCAGGTCACTGACAATTTCGGCAAACTCCAATACGTCCCCTTCGTGACCTGCAACGAAACCGCCCGCCCCCTCTCCTTCCACTACGGCATCTCCGAAACGATAACATGCACCATTGACTCCCTCTCCGATGAACTGTATCATCTCCTCGAGTTCTACGTCCACTCAGATGTCCCAATGACCTGTCGCGTGCCAACAGCACCGCTAACACCATCCGCCGGCGTAGCAGAGCACGCGGACAAAGACTCAAACCAGAAGGCAGGAGAAGCAGACACACTCTCTGCACTAGCTGACAATGGCCCACCCTTCACACCGCTCACGATCGCCCTACAGGGCACGCTCCAGCTGAGCCATTTGCACATCTGGACAGATATGAACGTCGTCATGCACAACATGGCCTCGGACGCGGCTGCAGAACAAAGCTCTAAAACCCGCGGCGGCCAGTCTGGACAGCCCGGTTTCACCGTTGGCGGTATTGCATACTCGACTCCTGAGTTTGACAATACCGGTAAGAATGTCAAGCTCGATGAGGATGAGGAGCCTGTTGCTCTTTCCCAGGCGGCGCGTGAGCCTTGGACTGCCGGACACGGCACCAAGGTTGTACGGGGAGAGCCGCTTACTTTCTCCTTCCATGTTGCGTGGTTGGAGGGCGGTGCCAGTATTGGGTGGCCGGTGCGGCCTGCTTTGGACTCGTGGCTTGCTTTGGCGACCAGGTCTAGGAAGAGCTCTGGGTCTTTCTTTTCTACGCTGGTGTTCTTTGTTATGGCGGCTTCTGTTGGTGCTATTCTTGCATTGTTCTGGGAGCGGAATGGTGGGCGTGGGCGTGGACGTGGGCGAACCGCTTGGCATGGAGATGGGCTTTTGGGCGGGGGTCCCGCTCGTGGAGCGAAGGGTTCTGGTGTAACCTTTGGCAACGGAGGGAAGAATAATGGATACGGCGGTTACTCTGGCCCTGCTAATGGAAATGGCAATGGGAACGGGGTTGGAAGTGGATACGGCTTTCCAAGTGGGAAGAGGGATTGATATGCAGAACCGCGATGAATAAGTGTATAGCCTGGGTACATATAGTGGCGCTTACGACTTGACTTGTACAGTGTACCTAACTTGAGAGGCAGAACTGACTGTTAGCAAAAAGCTAGCGCTCTACATAACATGATGCTATATCCCAAGTGACCGAGTCAAACAAATCCGATGCATTCCAAATCTAATGCAATAGCCAAATTCAACACAAAAATCAAGTACCTAGATAATAGTTGTACAAGTAACATAAGAGAACACCAATTTTCAGACCATTGTCACTTTGCCCACTCGGTCCATCACCCACACCAGCCTTCTTCAGTATATACATACAAGCCGAGTAGTCAAGCCGCAGCACAAAAGTCCAAAGCAAAGGATCGGCATCAAACTACCAACCCTGTGCCTGCATACGCTGAATCTTCTTCACGGTCCCCTGGAACGAGAACTTGAACAGCTTCTTCCACCGCTCCATCTTCTTCTGCTTGCGCACCATACCCTTTCTGACATGGAACTTCTGTTCGTGAGCATCATGCCTCACACGGTTCTGCGAAAGAGTAGCCTGGAGCTTGCGCAGCGCACCACCAAGATCAGTACCACGCTCAGGCTCGACATGAACCTGACGACCGAGCGTCGGCCCGAGCTTCAGCTCTACCTTGCGTGCAGGCAGGGGTGCCCTCGACCGCGCCCGGTAGCTGCTCTGGGCGCCCTCGCCGACAGCTCGGGAAAGCGAGTCTGAGAAGATCCGGCGCTGGCTGCTGGGTGCTTCTCGGGGCTTGCTGAGATCGAGTCTGCTGAGGATGTCGTCGAAGTCTGAGACTGGCCTGTGGGCGGGCTTTGCAGCTTCGGAGGCAGCTGTGCGTGGCTCGGCCAAGTCGGAGGCCGGCTTCTGGGCTTGGGCTTGCTGGGCGGCCTCGGGGGCTGTGCTGGGCTGGTCGGTGGGAGATGTGGGTTTAAAGGGTATGCTCGGTGATGAGGTGGAGGAGTTATAGCGCACTCCGTTCGCGAGGGAGGCGACGCGGTACAGCTGGGTCTGCTGTTGGAGCCATGGTGTTGGCCTGGCGCGGAGGCTGCGGGCCAAGAGGCGGAAGTCCATTCTGATTGCACTCGCTCGTGTCAGCGCAGCGAGTCTATGGGGGTAAATTGAACTGTCTCCTGAGCTCGAGGAGGAAAGATTGGTCGAGGTGGGCGCGCAGGGTTGGAGGTGCTCGAAGTTGCCGTGACGGAAAATCATCGTCTCCCGATTGGAAATGAAATTGTAGGTCACGTGGTTTGTGCTTTTGGGCACAATTTCTAGAGATCGTGAATATCACATCTGCAAATCTTGGGAACTTTCAAGCAACTCTTTCGTATCACTTTCAATTGCTGTACTGATCAAAAAGGCCTACAAAGTCTCGCCAAAAAAGAATGTCGTCCATCTCAATCACAACTCTCCCCCGCATGGGCCGCGATGTTCTAGCGGCCCTACTCTCAACCGGCGAACCGAGCAACCTAGCAATTGTTGACGTCCGAGACTCAGGTACAGAATTGGAATTTCACCATAGAATCAAATGCCATCAGCTGACTGTTGAAACAGACCATATTGGAGGCCATATCCACTCATCAACTTGGGTCCCTAGCTCAACGCTGGACGTGCGCATGCCTGAGCTCATCCGCACTCTCAAAGACAAGAAGATGGTTGTATTCCATTGTGCACTCAGTCAGCAACGTGGTCCCTCTGCTGCTCTTCGCTATGCGCGTGAGCGTGAGAGCACGCTTAGTGCGGAGGAGAATCAGAAGCAGCAAGTATTTGTGCTCGAGGGCGGGTTTGTGGAATGGCAGCAGAAGTATGGCAATGATGCTAAGCTGACTGAGGCTTTTGCTGCGGACGTCTGGGATGACTATTAAGTTGGGCCTGGAGATTATGGGGGTTTCGGTCACTTTCGTGCATCTGCCTTTTTTTTTAATGAGATTTAACGAACTTGATAGGAGAGATACCACTTAGATGCATTTATGATTGTCATTCTCAATTTTTGGTTATTCTAGAAGATTGAGGGCTGGGAAGCTCTGTTTGATTATTTCGATATGTGGGGAGTTTGTGCTATTCTATTCAATGTAAGGTGAGATTGTTGTACATGAAATGAGCAAGTAGTCTACGCTCCGAGTCGATTGAAATGCAAGACGCATATGCTTGCTGTTCTACATCTGAATGCCCCCTCCAAAACCAACAGGTAATCTCTGTCCTCCATTTTCAGGTATTATGGCCATGACCTTGTAGATCTGTCCCATTGACCCGCCGCTCTTCTCAACTAATCGCTTCCAGGCGGTCTCTAGTGTCTTTTTGTGTTCTTCGTTTTGCTCTTTACGGAGGAGCTGCCGCATGCGCTCCTCAATACCCATGGCTTTGAGGAAGTCACCCTGCTCAACAGGACCGTGAACCTCGACGCCATCGCTGCCTTCGATGGCTGCTTCAGCCAACGAAGTGAAATCCACATCCGCACTAACATCCACTCGGCCCGGTTCCGAGAGTGGTGCTACCTTCTCGTGGCTTTTGATTCCACGTAGAGAGTTGATGGGAATAGTTGACAATGTCCCGTAGTCCATGATCAGGGCTGCCCCGGAGGGGGTCTTCTTCTGTGACGACGGTGGCGGGCTGGAAGCCGAGTTCTTTTTAGCGGCAAGTGCAGAAGCCGAGTCACCACCGATACGACGCGCAAAGTCAGCAGCATAGATTCGGCTCTCTGGGCTGATCTCGATGGTCGAGCCTGGCTGCGACTTAAGTGCTCGGTAACGCTGAGAAATCTCCGGGATCACTAGCGATGACGGCGTGGAGGCCTTGGCTTTAGTCAATTTGAACTCGGGCTCTCCTTTAATGTTCTCTTCGATGGCTTTTGGATTTATTGTCACCATTAACTCACGCCATTGCGGGGTGTTCGCATGTTTGGGTGGGTCGTGTAGTTCTACTGGGCCGGTGGGAGTCATGATCTTTCGAGACTCATTGGCCTGCTGGTTCTCTAGGGAGGGGGGAACAGATTCGAATGCATGGATTGGAAGCGCGTCGAAGAATTCATGTGCGAAGATGAAGGGTGTCTTGCCTTCCTCTGCATAGCCGATGTCTTTGGTCAGCATCAAATAAACGGGCAATTGATTTAAATCACTACTCACCATGTGGCAGAAGACGAATATCCTCAACCCAGATGACGGGTACATCAAAGTATTTGCACACACTCCGGTGCCCAATATCTGTGTCCTCCATAACAGCCTCCTCGCCGCACAGCAGCCGCTTCTGCACTTCTCTGAGGGTTCCGCTAGCCTCCACAAGATAAATGGCTTCAACACTTGAAGAAAAGCTCTTGAAATTACGGAAAGTCTGTTGGTTGTAGAAGTCGTGGTCAGTCAAACGATCTTCTTGTCTCTTTTTCATTAGATGAAGACAAGCATATACGCAATCACTCACCCGCAGCATATCATCCATCAAAGTTCCTTTTCCTGGGCCAACCTCCATCAGCTGAACACCACTTCTCGTCCGTCCCTGCGCTATCCACTCCGCGATAGTCCATATGCCTACCAACTCTCCAAAGACTTGCGAGATCTCGGGTGACGTGACGAAATCACCATTTTTGCCGAAGACACCTCCGTTCTCTCCTCGAGTTGTATAATAACCGCCATCTGGGGAAGTCAATACTTGGCGCATAAATGCCGCGATTGGTACGGGACCAGTGACCTAATTTCAAAAAGTGATCGATCAGCAAAAGTCCAGTGTGAGGCAAGGGAAAGTGCATAGGTACCTTCATAACATTGGCCAATGTTTTTGCTAGCGGCGTGGACCATTCTCTCTGTTCAAATGTGGAGTTCCATCTTCCGGTGCATCTTGGAAATACCGTTTTGCGAGGTCTGCGGAGGACTTGCGACGCTGCGCGCCTCGTCGCTTGATTCATTCTTGGCTCAGAGTTGAGCGGCGGTAACTATTCGTACCGTCAGATATGCAAAAGTAGAACTCTTTGCGGCAGGTTAACACAATGTCCGGGCCCCAAACAATCGTTCTTTTATGTCGTGCCCAGTTGCGGCGTTTCCCTCAATCTCTCCGCGGAAGCTCGGCTGCACGTGATCATATTTTTATCTAGACGTTATCGGCCGCTAGTCCCAATATGGTATGGCAGGTCAACCCAAAGCCCTAAAGACTACAAGATCAAGTAGCATGGAAGCAGTTTGGGTAGCTGTTGCCTCTAGAAATATACAGTGTGTAAGAACAGCAGGCCACATATGTGGTCTTTTGCATCTTTGTGGTGGACATTGTGGCAGTCTTTTGGTAGCGTTTTGCTTGAATATTGTCCCCCTGGTTGGTGTTGTGGCTAGAATGTAGGCGGTTAAAACGCCTTAAAATGTGCGAAACAACTTTCCCATGTATAGCCTTTGATAAAATTTATCAGTCTAATAGCTGCTGCAAAGTACAAGGTATCCTGTACTGTTCGGCCTCACTGTTTGTTCAGTTCAGACATAGACGAATCCATGCACACACAGCTCTGAATAACCGAGAGCACCCCCAAGGTCCAAAATACCCGCAAAGTTTCGAAGAAGATTTTATCTCGGCTCTTCAAATATTGTGATTTAGAGAGCAAGGGATCATGGCTCTGACTGCAACCCCAGGCTTGCTGTAAAACCTGTTCAGATCCTTGATAGATGGAGTGGTTTTTTACAAATTCTCCTAACGATGGTCATATTCAACCGATTCTTATCTTTTTTTACCATTGCTATATTGTTCTTTATGGATCAAGGTCAGCGGCCTTCTGACAGAAATATTCGAGCAGAAACCTTGGAAATGGCTCCATTCAGAGGCTATCAAGATATTACAACAGGACCACCATTGTCACTATCCTGATTTCTTATCCTTCCATGCTCATGTCCTCAGAAGATACTGTTTACAATACCAATCTTTTGTTTTCTGTGAGTCTGTTTAGGAAGTGTGTGTCAGCTTCAGGGCATAAATTGTTTTTTCCAGGCTTTCTCTTCTTGAACCCTTAAATTCCTTTCATTTCATCTCACTATCATATCAAATCTCCAGCCATTCAATCTTGACTTTGTGTTTGCTATCCTGGCATGAAGCTTTGATCTCTCCACGCTGATCTCCACCCCCCCCCCTCCTCCCTTCACACGCCTGTTCTCTTAACTTTATATCAAGATGCCTCGTAGCAAGGCACTCAACAAAATGGACATTAAGAGGAAGCTTGCGAACACTATCTTGGAAAGTCTTTCGCCCAACTGAACGCTTCAATTCATAGCCTGACCTCTATGACACAAGGAGAAGAGTATGAGTTACCCACAATGAAAAGAAGTGATGAGAGCGCCGAGGAAGAAGTTAAATTGTTCTTAATGCATTTTTTTCCTTCCTTTCTTTTGTTTTCATGTACTGCTCTCACTACGGAGCAAGTCTTGCGAAATTCATTGACTACTATCTACAGCCCAGACATTTCTTTGTCTTCCAAGTGCTTTGCACTTTCTTTCTTGTTTCAAGTTCTACCCTTGCTAGCCTTGACTCAAAAGCATTTCTTTGTCCTACCGCTCTCGCTCGCATGTCAATAAGTTTCGCCGTCGTGTTGTAGTCCACAAGTTTATTTGGCGCTGAAGTTTGGAGTTTGTGGCTACCGAGTTTGTATTCACAGTTTTCTTTGTTTGAAAGGAGACGAATGTTGATGTGCCAAGTCTATAAAAGCTGTATCATCTTCAAAAATCAATTTATCTCATTTCCTTCTCTCTCTCGCCTTATTTGAGGTCAATCCATAACTTTTTCCAATTCCCTCTTCACCTTTAACCGATCGTGGGGGGGGGGGTTTTTTTTTTTTTTTTTTTCAAAATGCCTACCACTCGTTTGAGAAAAAAAAGCCCACGAGAAGCTTTTGCCGGGCCTTGAGGACGTGAAAAGACCCCGGAATTTGAAGGGGACTAGCTCTACCATCATTCATGCTCGCAAGCCAGCTACCAAGAAAGCGAAGAAGGTATTGTATCTCCTTGCCTTTTTGATCATGAAGATTACTCACATGTCTCTTTTAGAAGAAGCATGATCCAAATCTGACCCATATTGCACTTGCAAATGACCTCCTCGAGCGTGGGAAAGAGCTACGTCTTTCTGGTCTCGCTTCCTTACGTGGCCAAGTTCTTGAGCCACCGAAAGCATGGGGACACCGTGCCGAACCTATCACTGATCCTACGAAGCTGCCTGATGGATGGTCTGCGAACGAGACTGATCTCGCCGAGGGGTACGACCTGTGCTAGATTTCTCTGTCTATCCACTCTTTATTAATATTCATGTGGTAGCGATGTTGACGGCCAAATTGCAAGATGTCACAGACGCATCGATGAGAATATCATGCCTGCAATTTTCGAACACAAATTGAGCATGTACCAACAGATCAAGCGTGAACAGACGTATGGAGGTCCCAAATTCTTCACTGTGCCTATCTCACGAAAATGACTAACTTTCTCTTTGGCAGAGACATGATCAAGTCCGAGCCTAGCAGTCTAAGTTGGGAAGTCGTTCAACGCCTTGATTCACTGAAGAAGGTCCAAAAAAGTTTTGAGGAATTGGGGAATGACAATGGAAACTTGTCTAACTTGTTAGCCATCATGGCTGCTTACCGTTCCGGGGACCTTGTCTGGGATGAAAATACTGTCACATACTGGGCACATGGAAGAATGGTTGCTGGTCCCAAGAAAATGGTCATGAAAGAATTCCTCGCTCTGAGCCAGAAGGATGGCCCATATGGTGTCTGGGTAGAAGGAGTGAGTTAAATATAAGAAAGATCCGAGCTTGCCCCCCTCCTACCCTATGAGTAGATTCCTTGTTTTATCAAGTTAGTCCAAGATGAAGACATTTCCATGCCCTGCAAACAGCTCTGACGTTGACTTTTAGATGGACGCCTACAAACCACAACCGATGTACCTGTTTCTCCATATGCGTTCGATATTTTCGTCCCACGCCACGCATGAGGTATGACTTTCCAGGTGAAAATTTGAGAACGAATGCTAACACGAAACAGTTTACGGTATCCATCCGGAATCCTACTACGTGGAGAACCAACACGTTGCAACACACCATGGCGCTCAGTGTTATGGAAGATACTGGTGCCACAGCGATGAAGATTCTCCAAGGCGATCGAAGGTTTCTTGAAGCCCTGAGTGGCGCGCCCCTGCCTACCTATGGTTCTACGACAGTGAGCACGGCGGGTGGTGTGGTCGTGGTGGATAATGTGGTATTGCAAGTCAACCTCTTCCATGATGATCAGCCTATGCTCCCTCGGTGGATTGAAGTTCGAGCCTGTATCAACCGTGAGCCCCCCAATGCTCGTCCGGCCGGTGCACGGCTGTCTGGTGTCTGGCTTCACCATATGCTATATTGCTTGAGTTTGCCTGATAACACTAACGCAATGTACGTGGGGAACGATCTCTCTGAGATGTTGGCAAATTTGCCCCCGTGCAATCCTGCACTCGCAAGGCCACCACCCACCGATCCTAAGATACTTTAAACACTTCGTTCTTCTCGGGGAGGGTTGACGATGCATGGGCAGTTGGAGACCAATCCCGGGCTATACATTCTGATTAGTACTTGGCTATACTTTCATTTTGGCTCTTGTGTTTTCGTGGGTTTGGTTGGTGTATATTGAGCTTCGGTTATGTCAAGTCCTTTTGTCCTCGGATACCATGAGGTGATTCGGCATAGATCTCTTATGTTCAGAGTTTCTCTTAGAGTTTGATTAGAACAAGCAATAGTTTTAGGGGTCACTTCTTAGCAATGCAGCTACCTGTTTTCGTTCTACGCAGGTGTAAATAAACAAGTAGCGAGGACCGGGTGGTACCGCAGCGTGGATACAGATTGGCCTGCATGTCAAAGGAAAGTCCTGAAAGCATTTAATTTCTTATCCGATCTGTCCGGTTCATCGATATCTGCTGCAAAAAGTGTGCTCCGGTGCAAAAAATTGTCCATAAACTGCTGTGACCATATCATACATTTCATGAGAGTGCAAGAAGCATGATCTCCACGCCCATTTTCGCGCAGTACATACTATATGCTCCGTACACCAACAACGCTAGCCAACCTCAAGTTGTCATGCTCAAAGCAATTAACGACGCCATTTCCGTGGATTCTGGTTCTTCTGGGTGTTCCGCGCCGGCGCATCGACCATCATTTCATCACTGTAGAAGCCAGTCTGCGAGTTTCCCCGGTTCTCGCCTAGCAAGTCGCTCACATAGCCTGGGCCACGATGGGCTCGGAGTCGTTCCTGATCAGCTTGTGCCCGGAGTGCGCTAAAGGGATCTTGGTGAGTTGCAGCCCTCGTCGATTTAAGAGTCATTGTGAGAATTCTCCCGTCAGCCTACAGAGCGTATCAGCGTCCATCTGGCATTATCAGTAAATAGGAACAGTGCTTACCCTCTGGTTGTGAAAATTGGCAACCACCAGCTCTGCAGCCGTCTTCTCCGCATATGCGAATTCCGCCACAACACTCGGTTGGCTTGCTACTATCTGGCAGCTGAGCATAGGTCCTGTTACTGGCTCTAGAGCAGATTGGATGTCGGCAGCTGTTGTCCCTGGCGCAAAGTTCCTTCCGACGACAAAGAATGGGCCCGAGGCACCCTTGATGGCCATGTTGCTGCCACCGGAGAGACGGCTATTCTGTGAGAAGTTGCCTGGCCGGGCGTTCCCTAGGCCATTCTCGGATTGGAAAGCTGCCCGGAGCTGATCCGCATTTACGCGATCCTTCTTGCTGGCTTTGCCGCGCGTCCGGTTGTTGTTCGTAGTAGGCGCAGGCTTGTTCTTGTTGGGTTGCACGGTCGCTGACACGGAGCGCTAAAGATCGACGCGAGAGCTTGTCAACGATTGTTCCTCAATGGCGGTCGCATTCACGGTCGTATGTATGATTGTATGGTAGAATTATCCATACCTTAGCTACTCCAATCCTGCTTGCTAAGCTTCCAGGCTTCACACTCTGTGCTTTGTTCTGCGCTTTCTTGCCGGCACCAGAGCCCGAGCCTGGCGCGCTTGATCTGCGGTTCTTTCCGAGGAGTTGATTTGCCAGATCCTCGTGCTTTTTCTTCTGACGGTCTGTGGAGGAAAACAGTCAGATTTCACGAAGTGCTAGGTGTCAAGTGTTCGGGGTTGGAGTTGTTACCAGCCTGAATGATGGCGTCGAACGAGACGGGTTGTTTGGTCGTCATGGCAGAAGGATAAAAAAATTTCGACAAAGCAGGGAGAAGAAATTAGGAAGAGGAACCGATTCAGATCAAGTGAGAAGTGAGAATATGTGGAGATGCCGATGAAGAAAAGAAGCCCCGGGAGCCGATCGATCAGCTTTGGGGGCGATCTACTAACCCTGTCCGCAGCTCTTTGAGCAACTCCTTGATGATGCATAGCCACACCTATCGCTATTGGCACCAAGGGTGTTTCTATCATTCTATTCAATCGTATTCTAGATATTCTGCTAGTTAAAATCACGTTGACTGCTGCCTGATTAAAAGCTCATGGGGGCCTAAATCTGGACGGAAAGCCAAGAAGCACGGAGCATAGCTCCGAAGTGGATTATATTTGTTGTACAAAGTATAGATCTATGCAAATGCAGAAAATATAATTAAAATCAGGAATTTGTACTTTGACAACCTGATGAAAAGCGGTTATCCTAATCGAAGAGCAAATCCAGCCCCTGCTTCACCAGTATCTCCACCTGGAGCACCTCCAAAAACACCCGCAAAGTCCAGCTCCGGTGCTTCCTGGCCCCGTTTGGGAGCTTCAGGCGTGTGGTGACGTCTCCGTTTCTCCATGCCGGCCTTAGAAGGAAATGTAGGGAACATCTCTCGGGGTTTGGGCCGCGGATCTTCCTTGAAATATTTGTGATCGAGGCACTGTCTTGCCGTAGGACGGGAAGCCGGATTCAACGCCAGCAAACCTGACATGAGACCCAGACCAGCATTGGTCAGATAAGGAAATCGGGAGCGAGGCAGTAGAGGCGGGCTGCCGGCCGAAGAAGGTGCCGACGTCGACGGGAGCCGCAAGGACTTGGCATTGGGCAATAGACGGAATCCAGGCCATGTTTCGGAATTCGGTGGCCCGGTCAAGGCGAAAATCTTGGAGACCTGGTCGACTTCATTCTTGCCCTGCAAGAGAGGCTCTTTGGTGAGCAGCTCGCCAAAGATACAGCCAATGCTCCACATGTCGATCTCCGTGCCGTACTTGTCGGCGCCAAGCAGCAGCTCCGGCGCTCGGTACCAGAGTGTCACAACGAGCTGTGTCATCTTGGGAGGTGGATCGCCGAAGTAGCGGGCCATGCCAAAGTCGGCGATCTTAAGTTCGCCACGATTGTTCATTAATAGGTTGGAGGTCTTGAGGTCGCGGTGCATGATCCACTGTGAGTGTAGGAATTCGAGTCCTCCGACTACCTGCAGCAAGATTGTCTTGATTTCTGAAGGAAGGAAGGGCTCACGCATCTCGTCGAGTAGGGCTTTGAGGTCGTGTTCGTGGAAATCCATCACTAGGAATACACTGTCGGAACCAATTGTTTAGCATGTGTAAACAAGATCGAGTCTATCACGGAGAACTCACTCGTCCATTTTATTGCCCATCACTACTTCCCGCAGGTAAACGACATTTTGATGTCGTGCCTCCAGAAGGGTTTGGATTTCACGGAGCCCAGTGACTGGGAACCCGTCCGGCGAGTTCTCCAGCTTAAGCTTCTTCAGCGCGACAATTTCACCCGTCGAAATGTCCTTGGCGCGTGAAACCCATCCATATGACCCCTCCTCAATGTGGTTCAGTCTCTCAAAGTTGTCCACATGCCTGCAGGGCCCCCATTCTCCAGCTGGAAAGCGTAGTAGGGTGGACTGGTTTTTCTGTTCCTTCTCGATCTTCGCCACTTCGGCATCGTCTGGGTGGGTATTGGGGTCGTTGGACAGTCTTCGTCGCTTTTTCGGGGGGCCTGGCTCGCCAGTGGCTTTCGCATCCCGAGCTTGAGCTTTGCTGGCATCTTCTAGTCGCTGTTTCTCCGCTTTAGCGCGTCTTTTTTGTTCTTTGTCGCGTTTCTGTTGCGCGATAATTGCTTCTGTTTCTGGGTCGTCATTTGCCCATCTGGATGACATTTTCCGTGGGGGAGCGTTGAGAGGGAGAAAAGTTCGGGAATGACGTTTCGTTAGAAGCCGAGTTCCTTCGATTTCAAATCCAACGCCCCCACCTTCAAATTGTATAGCTCATTGTTCATCTTTATTCTGATCTTGACTCTGATCTTTCTCTTCTGAGATACTGTCACTCTCCTTTTCTCATTATATCCCTCGCTTTGAGTTGTGCATATACTCCTATACTTGCCACCGATTTTGGATTCTACTGTCTCTTCCCCGCCATGATCGAACCATTCCAGGTTAGCCTATCTGAGCGCCCTGACTCACAAACACCCAATACTAATGCGATCATTATATCTAGACGACCTTCTCGGTCCCAATGACCTGCGAAGGCTGCGTGAAGTCTATCTCTAACTCTCTACACAGCCTGGAAGGTAATCGGAGCATTGCAACCCCAATTTGCGTAAGCTAACCCTGCGGTAGGAATTAAAAAGGTTGAAGCAAACCTCAAAGAACAGCTAGTCCTCGTTGAAGGCACCGCTCCTCCTAGCTCCATCGTAACTGCGATCCAAAGCACCGGCCGCGATGCCATCCTCCGCGGCAGTGGCACTACAAACAGTACGGCATCTCCGGCTCCTCATAACCACCGTTTTAGATGACACGCGAGCAATGCCGATTGACTGATACTATGAAACAGGTTCTGCTGTCTGCATTCTCGAAACACACTCCACGAGCGTCACAAACAATATCCGTGGGCTTGCGCGCATGGTCCAGGTCTCCCCGAACATGACCCTCGTTGACCTGACAATCAACGGTCTGTCGCCGGGCAAGTACTGGACAACTATTCGTCAAGCAGGAGATATCTCCCGGGGCGCCGAGTCGACCGGTGGTATCTGGGAGTCTCTGAAGACCAAGGTGCTTGGCGATGATGCCACCGCCCCTGCCAATGAGTGCCGAGGCATTCTCGGTACAGTTGATGTTGACAACAAAGGCAAGGGCAATGTGTTCTTAGACCGGCCTGTGGCAATCTGGGAGCTCATTGGTCGGAGTATGGTTGTTTCGAAGGGAACGGAGGGTCCTTTCAAGCGCGAGGATGAAGATACTCTTGTCGGTGTCATTGCGCGTAGTGCGGGTGTGTGGGATAATGATAAGATGGTTTGCTCGTGCTCGGGCAAGAATGTCTGGCAGGAGAGACAGGAGCAGGTTATATTGGGTATGGCTTGAGTTCTGGTGTTGACTTTATCGGGAGTGGCGTTGAACGTTGGTGGTGGTGTTGCTGTTTGAACATATAGCCAGATCAACTACCCAGTAATGTAACTATGTAGCTTCAAATACGTGATACCATGGAGGATGAATGCGATGATGAATGATCTGATGATGTTACTTTCCCTGCAGTAGGATATCACACAAACAACCTGCCAGCATACCGTATAAAATTGAGCCGCCTACATCACAACATTAGCACGGAGACCGCAAAAGAGATCTACGGAAAAGAGATCTGCGGAAAAGACGACAAAGCAGAGATCAAACTGCTGCAGTGAAAAATCATTCAGGCTCTGGTAAGTTTGGGCAGATAATAATACAGTGTGGCCAAGGGGAGGGGTCGCTTTGGTAAGGCTTTTGAAAAAGTATTATCGAAGATTTTCACCAGAACTGTCTTGGCTGAACAATTCCAGGAAAAAACTCGTTATCCGTATCCTCTTCCACAAATTCCAATCCTGCACTGGGAGTGCCGCCAGATATGAGCGGTAGGGATATGATTCCTGGAGAGATCCGCTCATTTAGTTCGTGAGGTGCTCTGGTATTACGACATTTTGTCGGGGTATGCTGTGCGGAGTTGACTGGCTGATTGCCTCTATCGGGGTACTGGCTGTTTGTTTTGCCGTCAACAAGGAAACTTTCATCATCTTCCTCTACTGGGCTTGGGAAAAGGAGTTCAGAGTCGACTGGGGACCATGGGGACCATGTGTCGTTAGATTCCATTGAAGTCATTTCTGTTGAACTCATATCTCGCGATGTGGTATTAGCGGGTGTGTAACGGCTGGAAGAGTCTTCAACACTTGAGTGCTGTTGTGTTGTTGCTCTTTCGGAGATTGACGACCGCCTTTCGACAAAGTTCCGGTTGGGATTGAAATTGAGGGGATTGGGATAGGAATCTGGTTGCATCTCTTCACAATGGATGATTGGGGTTTGCGGGGGCACCAAAGGTATGAGGCCTTCATCGAATTCATCATTTGGAGGCAGGTTACTGTATGTATCATCCTGACACATAATGCATTCATGTGGGGGTTGAGAAGCGCAAGGGGTTTCTTCTTGTCCATGGAGCCTAGGGCTGTGTTGACTGAGGCTGGAACTGTATTCACTGAGAGTGGGAGTGTGTGGACAAGGGCTGGGACTATCACGTTGTCTCGCCCACTGGCGTAACGCTTCATGATAGATTCCTGGAAATGCAAATCGAACTTCGGCGGAGGACTGTCTCGAGATGGGAATTGAGCTTGGTTGATCATCACTTATTTGGGTATCTGAACTTGCATGATAGATCTTTTCTTGCTGCAGATATGTTCTCTGCTGCTCTTCACAATCTGGCTGAGGATCCGCCGGTTCGTGAGCGGGCATAGTAATCTCTCTATCAGTGGAGATTGCAATGCCCCATGTCTGCTGTATCAAATTGTTCTCTATCGATGGTGTGGTGTGAGCAAAGTGATCCTCAGAATCCAAATTTGTCTCCAACTCTCCACCTCCACCAAATTGGAAATCAAGATCATTGTCGGTGGTTAGTGTAAAAGTCGAATTTACTCCCGAAGTACTTACAGCTCGGGTGGGTGGATAAAATACAGGCGTAGATGCAGATGTGGGATATGTTGCGAATGAATCAGGTATCGATCTCAAGGACGAAACGCGGAGAAGAGCCCCCACGTCAGTGCCGGATGATTGGGACGATTGAAGATTCATGCGAGAAAGTTCAGCGCCAAAGCTCACGTCCTCTTGTGTGTCCGAAGTGTAAGCACCAGAGGAAACTCCGTGGCGATGTCTTTCGTGTTCGAGAGCAACAGGATTGACAATCCCTTTCTCGGATTTTTCTTCTTTGTCCTCTTCACTTGAACGGTGGCTAAATCCCGATCTTAGCGCCAGTAAACCTGACCGTGCTTTGTGAAAAGATCGTCTTGAAATGGATTGGATCCATGCCATTGGACTGCGCGATTCTGAAGACGAACTCTGTGGCTCATCGGGATGCCACGACAAGGTCGATATCTCCGGATTGTGACGAGGATTTAGGGGATTGAACACGGGGTAATGGATCCGTTCCTGGCAAGTTGGCTCTTCTTGCACTGGATCAGTTATGCTGGTGTCTTGGTTAGCAGGATATCTCTTTCATCTTTTTTGATTCTTTGTATGCAAATACCTAGCTCTCTTGCTTGCCAGTGGTCGAAAGACCGACGATAACGAGGTTAGATGGCGACGTATCGTGCCTGAGCCTGTTGGTTGGTTGACAGGACTCATTTTGTTCAGATTGCTTTGTGACGTTTATGCAACCGCTCAACCCATCAACGACATGAAAAAAGGATGTGAATGATCAGCAAAGGTAGATATCGATTATGCCAGCGCGTGAAAAGGTGACGCGAAAGAAACAGGGAACGGAAAACAAAACAACAGACCTGGAAGTTCCCCAAAGAGCAGGAGATCGAAGTCGAAGTAGCGCGTGATCAAAGGTTCGAGCTTGATCGCTCTTGCCGTCAAGATTTACATTATACGCCGTCTTTGCAGTGTTGCAAATTGAAATGGTGTAGGTTTACCTTATGTAGCTAGAGATCATCGGCCTGGCTAGATTTCGAAGGTGGAGGATTTTAATGAGGCGACAGGAAGAGAAGGATAGGGAAGCACAAGCTTAACCTTCGATTCTCAAGGAGCACTAGATCTAGGGTTCGGCATGGCAGCGTGACGACACGCGCGAAGCGCAACAGCGCTCTAGGTAGGGGTTCATATAGCAACGACGCCAGCAGAGTTCCCAGACCAGGACACTAGGGCTCCCCATCGCAACGTGATCGAACGCGCGACGGCGACAGCGAAAAAAAAAGGCAAATTCAAAGATAGACGCATAAGAGACCAAGCTTCTATTGGGCGCCTCATAAAGCTCAACAGGCTTCAACATCGGCTTATACTTTGTTCTCTTCCAAATCCAAACCATGTTCCTAGGAGGCAACTGTTCATAGATCGTAATGATAGTAGCAATGGTCAAAGGAGGGCGGAGTGCAGTGGATTACAGGAAGCGAACAACCAGCACCATATATAACAGTGTGGGAGCCGTAACATTAGTATTGATTATGTCTGTATTTCTGTTGGTCCTCTCAATGACTACTTGGACGTCACAAAACAAGTCGACTTTGGGTTTGAGGTGTAGTCATCATGGCTGTAGATTAGCAAGCGCTAAGATGATAGGCATCAATAAAGTCATCTCGGTGGAATCTGGGAACGGGGGAGTATATGGAGAAAAAGTTGCGAGGGGTCGACATGTATCAACATATAGAATGTTTCAATATATCGCTGATGTATTGAGAAGCACGAACCAACATAGTCATCACACCTGGTGTTCAAAATCTATACAAGCGAAGTAGGTTGGAGTGATGTTTTTTCAAGCTTCGAATTGTTTGATCAAGGGGATCAAGGAGATCAGCAAAATTGCACACAGCTGTTCGATCTGGAGAGTCAACGATTGGACAACATAGGCTCAGAAAGTCAATTTTATATTGTTTATAACTCGAGATTGCGCCGGTGATCCAAGGAAATTGATCAAATAAGCTCAAGAAGTCTACCTTCGAAATCCAGCTATGGTGGACTGGGCTGAGCTTTGCTCACCTTGAGAGATGAGATAGATACCACACCACAGGAACAGAGGTTTCGGCCTAAGGCACAAATATGCCTCGGTTTTTCTCCTACTTTCGGGAAGCCCCTTAACATCTGGTTGGAATCAGTTGCATGCAGGAGAAAAAGCAAGGCTCCGTTCCTTACTTGCTTATGATCAGCAAGGACATCAACATCATTCGATTTGCCTCAACATATGATGTCAGGCACGACTTCCCACCCTCGAAACCAAGGAAGAGATTTTGATTTTTGATGTGCGCTGAGCGCGCTAGGCAGAATCAAGCATAGATAGCAAAGTTACATGATTGGATCTGTCAAGAGATCTGGTCTGCTATCACACCTAAAGTCCACAACGGCAATATCTGCGGCCTATTTTCCCGGCTGGCTAAAGAATTCAAGGAAGAAAAAAAAAGGTAAAAGTTAGAGGGTGGTTAAATATACCACCTGTCTTCGGAACATGCTTGGATATGCATGGTCTGTCCGACCGACTCGACCTTAAGCTCACTGTCACAGTTGAAGCGCGGTCGCTTGCCCCATTTCGGATCGAACAGCATGAAACCCACCCATTTTCGAAAAGCACAAGTTATGGATATATTGGGGGTCAATCCGAGAACGTCCGGGGTATAGGAAGCGCTAGGTCCCCAGCGTGGATATTCCCCCGCACAAACATGGGGATGGGAATCAACGTGAGAGACAAAAGCAAGTGTAAATGTCAAGCTTCACGCACATCGGCGTCCCCCGTCTAACCAGGACCGGGATGCTTGAAAGCCAGCAGGGGTTGGCTCAGATACTGCCAAATTAGGAGGGTGTTCTTAACGAATACAAATGTTAGCCACGCAGAATACCCTTGCAAAACTGATAAGAGCAATTGACGTGCAAGTATCTGAAGCAAGTCTGATTGGTACAAGGATCATCAGAGTTCACTGTCTGCTGAGGTGGAGGTAAATAGAATACTGTCACTATCAGGAGAGATATCGGAAGCCGGACATACTTATCTGTACACTCGAGACGGGCACTCCACTTTCAGACCCGCTCGCGCAGTTCCTTCATCCAATAAGAATCAAACACTGAGTCCCAGACGCCAAGCGAGTGCACAATCCTCCAATGCTAGGGCTATCCCGAGGGTTATGATTGGTTCACTAAATCCCAGGATGGGGCGTAAAGGCTTGTCATTCGGCCTGCCGTCTGGATTTTATGGATTTTATGGATTTTTTTTGAGGAACACGCGACAGGGTTATCTTTGCCACAGTGCGAGCTCGCGGTGGGGCCGGGCGCGCGAAGAATTCTCGCGAGACACTATATTAACGCCTTCTCCCGTTCGGTGGGAAAAAAAAAGGAAAAAGAGGAAGATGTGACACTGTCTTTGAAATCAATCCCTTCATCCTGATCTTTCTGGGTCTCGCTGAGCCTACCCAGCTCTTCGATTAATCCCGTTCATAGCCTCATCTTCGTTCTTCACCTTCGTTGGTGAGGATTCAACCGAAAAAGATGTCCCCCAATTTCACCCACAGCTCTGGGGACCTGGAAAAGGCCCCCCAGGTGAACAATACCTCCGACTTGCATAGCAATGAGATATTCGATCACTCCAGTGATGGTGCCGTGCCCGGCGAGAGCTTTGAATACGGTGATTCGTTGTACGCCAAGATTCAGCGTATAGCCGGCAAGTTCAACATCGAGCAGCGAGGTGTCGAGCGAGTTCCAGATTCTGAGCGGACCGATTCGTCCTATCTTAACATTGGTAGCATGGTGTGTTCCTGCAACAAATTTACCTGGCGTGATCGCCGTGGCCTAGAGGCCTTTTCCACTGACCAAACCTAGTGGTTGGCCGCAAACATGGTCGTCAGCTCCTTCGCTATTGGAGTTCTTGGAAAGTCTGCATTCGATTTGGGCTTTGTTGATGCCATTTTGGTCTGTCTCTTTTTCAACCTCCTTGGTGTTATGACCGTGTGCTTCTTCTCGTGCTTTGGTCCCCCCTTTGGGCTGCGCCAGATGGTGCTTTCACGATTCTGGTTTGGATGGTGGCCTGTCAGATTCAGTAAGTTGGCTCAGGATATCCATTGGGTTATCTGTGGCCGTTCTGATTCATAATTTCCTAGTCGCCATTCTTAACGTCATCGCTTGTGTTGGTTGGTCTGCTGCCAATGCCATTGTCGGGGCCCAGCTCCTCAACGCGGTGAACAGTCAAGTCCCCGGATACGCCGGTATCCTTATCATCACGTTCTGCACGCTCTTCGTTACCTTTGCTGGGTACAAGGTCGTTCACGCATATGAGTTTTGGAGTTGGATCCCCACCACCATTGTGTTTATCATTGTGCTCGGCACATTCGCCCACTCCGGCGATTTCATTAACATTCCAATGGGAGTCGGAAAATCCGAAATGGGTTCCTGTCTATCCTTTGGATCCACTGTCTATGGTTTCGCAACTGGCTGGACCAGCTACGCTGCTGACTACACCGTATACCAGCCAAAGACCCAGAGCCGTCGCCTGGTCTTCTTTTCTGCCTGGCTTGGTCTGATCGTCCCCCTGATCTTCACTCAATTCCTCGGCATCGCCATCATGTCCGCGACGGCTATGGGTGACGGAGTGCACAACAAGTACGCCGAGGGCTACCTAGCCTCCGGCAACGGCGGCCTGATCGCAGCCGTGCTGGAGCCTCTCGGCGGCTTCGGCAAATTTTGCCTCGTCATCCTGGCCCTGTCTATTATCGCCAACAACTGCCCCAACATCTACTCCGTCGGTTTGACCTTGCAGGTGCTGAGCCGGGCTACGCAGCGCGTGCCACGATTTATCTGGACTTCCCTCGCCTCGTGTGTCGCCCTTGCCATTGCCATCCCGGGTTACAGCCACTTCGAAACTGTTCTCGAGAACTTTATGAACCTCATCGGCTACTGGTTGGCCATCTACTCCGGTATTGCGCTCACTGACCACTTCGTTTTCCGTCGTGGATTCAACGGCTATCGTCCAGAGGACTACGACTGTCCCGATAAGCTGCCCATGGGAATCTCCGCATCTGTTGCATTTGCTTGCGGCATTGCCGGTGCTGTTGTGGGCATGAGCCAATCGTGGTGGATGGGGCCTATCGCCAAGCATGCTGGAGACCCAGAATTTGGTGGCGACGTCGGATTTGAGTTGGGCTTTGCCTTCTCCTCCGTGGCCTACTGCATATTGCGACCTATCGAGCTTCGTATGATTGGTCGATAAGTTTAATCTTGTAGAATTTGGGCTTTTTTGCGATGTACATAGTGGGTTGGTTCGGAATGGGCTCTAGATTTGTGTATAGTTCCATTGTAGTGGATTATGATATGATATCTCCATAGTTGCATACATATATTTGTTTTGCATTATCTTCAACTTTCAAATCTTTTGTCAACCGTAAATCTTTAGATGGATCTTTGTGAGATCATTGACGTGAATTTGCAAGGCTGCTGGCTTGCAGCTATTCATTGTCCTCCACACGCCACTGGAAGTGACTTCACTCTCAGACTCGGATGAATTCATACAACTCGTCACTTGTATTTCAGTGCAACATTCATGCTGTTCTACCAGCGAACATAAAGAAGATTGGAATCCATGAACAAGACTATCAGATTGGCAGATTGCAATGGTGAGCTCGGAGACTATTCGCTTTCATTGGCTGAGCAAGCAGCATGTGGAGAGGTGCTTCCCAATCCGGCAAGTTGATGACCGACCTCAGAATATAGAAATCGTACACTTCGCAATACGAAAAGCAAACCAAATCCCAGAGGATGATTCTCATTTTGTGTAATATATCAGTTTGACCGTGTCTTGCCCCGTCCTGCAAGGCCGTACATCCATTTAACTGCGTAGAGGCTTCATTGAATACCGCTCTTGGGTCACATAGTCTCTTTGCAACCCCAGTATACTTTAGAAAATGCAACCTACAATGTGGTAGCACCGCCGCTCGTAGCAGGAAGGCTATCAATCCGAGCTCCATGCTCTGAAATTAGTAGGTTGGTGAGCTCCGTGTTTCCTTTTTCAACGGCATGCTGCAACACAGTTCAACAGCGCGGCCATTGGACCACGATGACTGGCATCGAATTTTCCATCAAAGGGCGCACGATCGGGATTTTATTTGTCTGCTGACTACGGCCTCGAGGGGATTGTATGTTTCTAGTTCTCTCCCGCCCTTTCCAAAGTACGTAACCTCCCGAGTCAGATCAGGGTCGAAAGGCAGTATATCCTCCCTGGGTTCATTCTCATGCAAAAATATCGCAATTGCCAAGGCGCACCCAGCCAGCCTTGAAATACAGGGCGTCCATTGGAGGGGAATCTGTAAATTCCTCGACCACTGCTATTTCGAGTTCTGACTCTGGCACCGGCAGCATTTGAGACTCCTCCAGACTCGAAATACTCCATATCTTCTGTGGTCCCATAACTTCTTTGGTAGGCCAGTGTGTATCACTCCTGCCTCTTGAAGCAGTTGAAGCAGTTGAAGCAGCTGTAGGGAAAATGCACCGTGAGTGATGGGGTTTGTATTGCAAATGAGGCACTTCTGTGGAACCCTAGCTATTACGTGTCCCATTCATAGTTGATCTATGTTTATAGCATCTGCAAGAACATTGTATGTAATCTTTGCCCTGCGTTCCAAAATCTCAAGGTGCTGCCACGGGCTTATTGTAAGTGGGTCGCTGTATGCTGACGTTGGGTGTGTTGCCTGGTCGGAGACCCAGAATGTCCAGGCATCATCGCTTACGACGATAGAGTTGGGCAGCTTTATAAACGGTCTAAGCTGCCCCCTTTTTATTAAAGAAATTAACAGCTTGCTTTTCGTTTCAATTCAGGATGGCATCAATCAAACTGTTCACAGATCCTAGTCTTCCCTGCCCACAAAGAGTCCATCTGGCCATCCATGAACTGGGGATTGCCGTCAAAATTCGAGAAATTTCACTCAAGGCAGAGGAGCATAAGGTTAGTTACAACTGAAAAAGCATAGCTTTCCTCCTCTAAGTTGACCTAGAGTGCTGAATTCCTGGAAATGAACCCCTTCGGGGCATTGCCATGCCTGAAAGACTATTCCTTTGACCCACCTTTTGTGCTATATGAATCTCGGGCTATTGCGAGGTATCTTGCTCTACAATACGGAAAAGGTCGTCTCATGCCAAGTGCATCGAATTTGCGGGCTACAGCACTCTTCGAGCAAGCAGCAAGCACCGAATTGACGTCCTTTGACCCTGCCGCAAACCGCCTAGTTTTTGAGGAATTGTTCAAACCGTACGCTATTACTTGTTTGCAATTCTACCCCCGAATTCACTGGTGCTAATTTAAATTTGAGCAGGAGGTTCTTTGCCGATGGTGATGGTTCTGTCGACAAAACGTTGATAGAGAATTTGAGATCTCGACTACTTGTCGTGCTCAATATCCTAGACCAGATTTTGGGTCACCATAGCTATATGGCCGGAGAAGTAAGTATGCCCCAAGTTCGATGCTGGGTTATAGTGCGTCGACTAAAATGGCTTTAGGATTATTCCCTAGTGGACCTATTCTATGTGCCCTACATGCACCATTTAACTACCTCGGTTTGGCCTTCGGCTCTTGAGAACCGACCTCATTTGAAGTTGTGGTGGGAAAATATGAAGCTCCGCCCTAGTTACATAGAAATTACCCGACGTTCACTTTTGGGTCTGGGGTAGATGATGATGGTGAAGACTCGGCAGACCTAAAAGGCGACTCCGAGAATCAGCTATGATGGTGTGAATTACTAAATGGGCCAGCCTGTCAAAGAATCTGACATCTAGGTTTTATTTCCTCTCATTTAGAGTAGTTATGTGAGACTTGTAGTGAAAGCATAAGGGTCAATGGGTTAGAGAATTTTGCTGCCGGTGATTAAGCAATTGGTTGTCTTTGAAATCCGACTAGGAAAGGGTCGGAAAGAAGGCGATACTGATTTAATTATTCCTTTTCTTTTTTAAAACGCAGTGAAAGAGGCTGTATAATACCGGCCTTAAGCAATCTCCACCCCAAATCACGCGCATTCCATGATAGCCCAGGCGCCCCCAAGTCTGCTGCAACTCTTATTTTGTCGTACCCACAGAGAGATCTCAAAGCTGTATGCTATGCTCGAATTGGGCTTTGATAGTTGCATCATCACGGACCAGGCGAAGAGTTCGAAAGTGCCTACAGGAGAAACAAGATGTGGTTCGTCTACTTGATCTTCTGTTCGCATGGATAGAAACCTATTCGTGTGCATATACACCACTAGAACCTTGGGGGAGTGGTTTTTAGAATGCGGTGTCTTCATCAAGGATCGGCTTCCACATTTACCCAGTACAAGCCCTATTGAGCCCTACTAGTGGTTAAGGAAGATTGAAATTCGAAGAATCAATGCCCCTAATCTGTTAAAATAAGTAGAAGCTGGATTAAACATCTTGATACCAAGCTACATGTACATGGGATGCGCTTGATTAATAAGTAATCAACCGCTCTAAGCCTAGGAGATTGTTTGCTGCGCGCAAATCAAAGGACTACTATGCAGAATATTACCAAGATTAGACTCTTGGGCCAACTCCATATCTATCCATGCTAAATTAGATCCAAGTTTACTACGTTCACGGTGTAGAAACAGATGTTTAAAAGGTTGTACATAGATCATGCTCTGCTGCCATTTAAAGCTCTTTGGGCTTCTTAACTCGAATGGGTGGGTTGAAGGAACACGATGGGAATATTCACGTCCCAAGCAGCCTGATCATTTCTATGTAGGAGCGAACTATCTCTAGGAGAGTGGAAAGGCTCATAGCCGTCAACTGACAAGTTATCGCTTTGGTCCGAATGAAAGGGTCGTTAAAGTTAAATGTGTTCAAGAAGGGCACCTACAGAGAGGTCTGATGTTTGGGAACACGATGAATCTCATCCTGTTTATCGGTAGGGAGAGTGGAAGAGGTATTCATTAGGATGTGGTCTGTCAAGGACTTTGGAACACACACCGCGCCACGTGATTCACTCCACCAGCCACAGCTGCGCCACCGCAAATTATTAAATCCACAACGGATTCGCCTTTGAAAGAAATCGAGAAATTCAGCAGCCGTAATAACACCATCACTTACAACATGTCTCCAACCGGGAAGTGAGTATACACCGTTTCAGTTGGAACAAAATTTCTGTCCTAACAAATCTTTCTATTTTTCAGCCGCGCCGACTGGGCTGACGACGAAGATTTCGATGACCCCTCCGTTCTCCCGCCGCAAGAAGTGATCGCGAACAAAGACGGCACCAAGACCGTCATTTCCTACCGTTACAACGACGACAACAAGAAAGTGAAGGTCACCCGCCGAATTAAGACCACCATTGTTCGCGAACATGTCAACCCCCAGGTCGCCGAACGCCGCAAATGGGACAAGTTCGGTCTCGAGAAGGGCCACGCCGCCGGTCCCTCGTTCGACACCACCTCCGTCGGCGAGAACATCGTCTTCCGTCCCAGCGTTAACTGGAAGGCTAACGCTAAGGAGGCTGAGAAGGAGGGCGGCGAGAAGGGCAGCATGAAGGACCAGTTGAAGGACAAGAAGGTCAAGTGTCGTATTTGCAGTGGAGAGCATTTCACGGCCCGTTGTCCCTTCAAGGACACTATGGCCCCCGTCGAAGAAGGCACTGCTGCTGCTGGTGGCGCCGAGGCGGAGGACGATGCAGGTGGTCTTGGTGCTGGAAAGTCTAGCTACGTTCCTCCTCACATGCGGAAGGGCGGTGCTGGTGGCGGCGAGAAGATGGGTGGTCGCTTCGAGAAGGACGATTTGGCGACTCTGAGAGTTACAAACGTACGTTTTGTTTTTTTCCTGCTTTCTACTAGCTCTACGAGCTTCACGCTTGTTTACATTGGTTCGGAACTGACTTTTTTTTTTGCAAACAGGTCAGCGAGTTGGCAGAGGAAAACGAGTTGCGGGATCTCTTCGAGCGTTTCGGTCGTGTCACCAGAGTCTTCCTTGCACGGGATCGGGAAACCCAGAGAGCCAAGGGCTTTGCTTTCATCAGCTATGCGGATCGTGGCGACGCAGCACTTGCTTGCGAGAAGGTGGATGGCTGTATGTTTTCAACATTCCCCTTTGCAGTCTTTTTTCTACAAATTCCTCGAGTGCTAACCCGTTTATCTGCTAGTCGGTTACCGCCACCTTATTCTCCGCGTCGAGTTCGCCAAGCGCACTACTTAAATTTTTTTTTCTCGGTTCTCTCTTACGACTTTTTGAATGGAACTTTTCCTTCTTCTCAGGCGGGCCTATCTTTGGGCCGAAGCTCTTTTCCTTGAACTGTAGGACATGGTTGATAATGATGATTCCCAAAAGACATCCAGCATGTCAGTTACTTGCATTCGTCAGTCTATACAAAAGCAATGGGTTAGAGAAATTTTGAACTTCATGCGTGGTTTTGTTGGTTGTCTCACGGGTCGTACCCTCATCCACGGTAGCAGTGTTTCTTTGCGTGTTTGATATTGATAACCCAAGGTTCCTCTCGAAGCGAACGTTCTAAAAATGCTTCGCGATTACCATGGAACATCTCAATCACCCATGGGAAACCAATCACGTGCTTGTAAGAAGGGACTATGTGCTAGAAATGGCATCCCCGGGCTAGTCTGCTGCCACCACCCAGCGTTTCTGTTGTTTTTCGACGTGCGGATCAGTGTGGAGATGAAGATCATTGGATTGGGACTGCGTTTCAGTGTCCATTAGACAAGTTAATGGGCAAATTCACTGGCAAAAGTTTCAAATGGACTCAAGCTGCTAATACCGGTTGATGTCCACAGTGAATGCTAACCCAGGCACCAAAGCCGGTCTGCTCTTAGCAGGCTTTCTCTCGCTGCTGGCCTTAGCCTTGGCAAATTTCCACATCTTCCCACCCTGCTAGCCACCACAGTTCTAGTGCTCCGGTGCCAGACTCGGCTGACAACAGTCCTGCACGCCGATGATGGCGAATCTGTCATCTGGAGAATTAATGTCGCAAGCCTCGACTGTTCGATTTCTCGAAGGCTCCAGGGATTGCATTGAGACATCAAATTCTCTGCATCCTCGCATGACAATGGAGATGACACCGGAAGGAATTGGACTTCGAATAACCTGGACCTTTCCTATTGTGCCCTAGCTTCACCTTGCTGCGTACTAGTTCCGCCCCGGATGTCAGATCCCAGGGCCAGTCACCAAAGGACCAACGTACAGATCGATATAAGATCTCAGCAAGTCAACCCCAGACCTAGCCTCGTCGGCAGAAGTTGCGTTGAAATTTCCCGGTAACGGGATTGGGTTGCATAACGTAGCATCGGTGTTTCTTTTAGGAAAGAGACTTGGAATCGACGGGGAAAGCCTACCTCCGGGTCCGGCTTTTCGCCGAATGCTCCCTCAACAAGATGGGCTACGTAGACAGTGGCGGAGAGGGTCGAAATCTTCCCTGTAGGTTTGGCCCCAGCTTCCTCGGAAACGCTCAGCCCACCGTGTTTGAGCATTCCACTCCGCCACGTCGGCTTCCAGTTTAACAACCAAACACATGTGAGGGGGCGTTCGTGACGTTCCGAAGTCTTAGTAACATTGCAGGGAACCTCGGCGTCAAACGCCATGGTCCAATTGTTATTGGCTCGAGGAATTCGACCAGAAGGGCAGTTCTTCACTGGGAGCGTTTCGGCCAGTGAGCATGTTTTTTTTTCTTGGCTGTTCCTCCGTGCGACATCGGCATGGCTTTGGATTGGCTGGGCTACTCCCAGGATGGTTGTCAAGGGATGGTGAGAATTGCCACGGAGAGGCAAAAGCATGGCCGGATGAGTTGTTGGATGATGAGTGAAGTCCTCAGCTGGTCTGCATCCAACGCCATCCAAAGCATATTTCCTCGCCTGATAGGCTTCAGGTGCAGAATTTGGAGGGCTGTGAGCCAATGAGACATACTCTTTTCCATTGGCATCCTTGTCAGGTTGGGTGCCCTTTCTTTCCATCCATGCCGACAGGATCGGATACTTCAGACCTTGATGGAACTTTTTGCCCGGGAGCTTCGTGGGTCGTAGTACGATCTGTGCTGGCGGGCTGTAGATTCAGGGTAGTCAAAGTTTAGGATGACACGGTGGGGGAAACTGCCAATGATCCTCCCAATCTCGGGGTAAACTGTTACCTTTGCTGACAGGGAAGCCGAGGACAAAAACGATTTTGCAATTTCCCACAGGCATCTAGCCTATTGCAGTAGGCTCCCAGTATTCAGGTCTACTGGCACTGAAGGTAACCATCAATCTCGGAAGAAGTGATACACAGGTAACCCATCACAGAACCTTGTGTCCGGGCGACCCAATGCCAGGAATTGTGGAGCCATAGGAGCCTTTAACTGCTTAATCTCCATGGACGAAGTGGCAGGGGTGGATTTCGAACTACCCTTGGCATTGTACTGATGTGCTAGCTCGAGATGGTATGTCTCTCGCGATGGTACAAGACATCAGGTACATCCATCCTTTGCCCGGTCGAAGCCGGTGGATGTCTCGGGATGGAAGGGAAGCCCTGGAGGCCTCGGCCGTTGGGAAAGTAAAACTTAAAATCTCAAGCAGAAAAAAGATGTGCCAACTCTTTCGCTACTTGGTACTCGTCCAGGAGTATCTCCTCCGACAAGAGGTTGAAAACTCTATACCAAATCGACCAGGATTAGTGCCTTGGACATGGTAGATGAGTTTCATCGGGCGTGTCGCATCCTAAGATCCTGGATCAACAAGCATATGGGGCTGAGGCAATACAAGGGGAACAATGGTCTAGAATGGCACATTGGATCTGCACCCGGGGATAGGGTTGTTGACCAATGATAATTTTCGGATGCTTTGTTGGGATTTTTTCGTTGTAAACATCGTTAATGCTCCCAAGTCAGCAATCCCGACTCCGGGATGTGGTAATAGCTCTCTCTACCGCTAGGAGACCGAGCTAGCTTTTCGCCCCCTGTCCAAAGATCGAATACCCGAATGTAACCAGCAATCAAAGACATGACATTGGCCACGGGCTCCATTGACCTGCAGCGAAGAATTGTCACACGGGAAAAACATCCTGAGATGTCAACCATGGGGGGAATAGACTCGGTAGATGGCACGTGCCCGAAACAGAGACAGGGTCTCCAAAGGCACCCAGGCAGATTGGTTGAGACAGTTGCAACGTCAAAACTTTCAAAGTTTTCCAACGTCAAGGGCTCTGGGGCTAATCCTGGTTGATAAAATCCATAGATGGGTTCATACATTTTCTCAAAGTCAAATCATTGTTGCTATTGGCCTCGAGGTACCTGCAGGGAGCCCTAGATGTACCCACGTATCGGACAATTTTTGAGGAAAGGGTCTCTCTTCTGTTATCTCCTAAAATGCCGTACTCTGTATCTCGGCAAGTAGAGTTGATATATCGAAAATGGACAAATGGAGAGTTCTCACGGGTGGACCGATCTGATAGTGTCTTTCAGGTGCATTGTTAGTTGCATGAGTGATTTGGGCTGTGAAATATATGTGAAAGTCTCTTAAATTTAAGCCCCAAAGTGAATCTTGTCTATGCGCCAAGCCTTATTAGGATATAGATGTAAGTACATGGTAGGCACCACATTATTATACCTTGTCCATCTTCTGACCAACCTAATCTTCCTGTAGATTTCGTGTTCCAATTTTATCGCCCCCATGACCGTCATCCGGGAAGGAGCTGATCCCCCGAGAGTCAAACAGAACTCCCTAGTCCCACTCCTTTGAAGTTTGAACTATGTGATTCGATGTTGGTAGTATTGATCGGAATTTCTTTTACCCTGATACGGTTAAGCAATCCTGCACCTAGTACCGAGTTCGGTACGAGCACGGTCGTTGTGTGTGTGGGGGGGGGAGAGAGAGCTGCACAACATACCCGCCATAACCACCGATGAAATCTTTAGGCTTATCCACCCAATCATTAGCCTGCGGGTGCTTTTTCGCTGCACCTTACAATTTCACCTAGCCTCCTGCAGGATGGTCGATCTTCTAGCCACTAATGCAGTCCTGTCGACACGATCACGACGGATCCACTCATGGAGGCCCGGATCATTTGAATCCATGAATTCCAGTTGATATTTCCTTGGACGGAACGGTGGAACTAGTGCCGCTTTCTGGAAAAGGCTCCCGGGTACGGACCGCAATCATTGTAGGTCTACCCTCCCCCCCTTTCTCCGCTAGGCTGCTTTAGCCTCTCTAGTGGAGCCTGGAGACGCCATTTGCAGTTAGAACTTCATTACGGTTTTGCGCCAGAAAAGTTGTGCTTACCAAAAGCTATCTAGGTCTCGTCGTTCGGAGTGGGGTGAATTTAGTTAGGGGTGCATCACCTTGAACGTGCTGCTTTTATTGCTCTTTCCCGGGTTAGGTCGGTTCTGTCGGTGTGAACACCGCCAACATGGACAATGCAACATGCTGAATGGACTTTGTCGATCGCATTATCCTCGACTTTCTTCATGCAAAAACTGCTGCCCGTTCCTCGAGCCTCCCAAGGCGTAAGGAATCACACTGGAAATACATCTGACGGAAACTACTCTGAAAGATCTTTCAAAAACCTCATCCTCTCCGATTTGGCCAGTTCTCCATATTTTAATTCCCTCTTTTTGTCATTGGTCTGTATTCCCTCTCAAGTCTGATACATCAACCACCTCCGTCATGGGTCTGCACAGGTACATTTTCCGGGGGTTGATCATCTCCTCTATCCTTTCTAGTTTCATCTTATTTCGCTCTCCTGCAGCGACCCGTCTGTCGGGTATTCGCACTAGGACATCTGATCCCATCGGCAATTATCTGTACTGAAAAACACATCCAACGTGTATGTACTGTGTCTTTACCTATCACGGTCCGTGCAGCCGGCATTGGGTCCCTCTAGCACGCAACATGGGGTGTTCTGACCAATGCCATCCTCCTTGAACTACCAAACTGTCTGAGGCCGGTGATTCGATCCTACTCTCCGTACCATGGAGATACACACTGTGATTTGCGCTTGACCCGGACAACCAAAAATTCCAAATTGAGAACTTTAATCCAAAAAAACCCAAAAACCCAAAAACCCAAAAAACCAAAAAAACCCCCCCAAAAAAAAACGATGAATTTAAGGTCACTCTTTCTTTTTTCCCAAGAGATCTTACAGAGAAAAATGATAATCCGGATATCTTTTGCCGATTATGGTTGGACCCTTATGCAAACTCACTGCCACCCATTGGAGCCTTGCCGACTACAACGTAATTCCTTGTCCCTGGCAGGTTCCAACTCGTGGTCCTGATCGCCTATCGGCTAGATTATCAATGGCAAGCCCTGTTGAAGCCTTACCAGGCTAGACTGCTGATTCTTCCAGGAGTAACAATCCCGAGAGCGGCTCTCGACATGATCGGAATCTTCCTTCAGCACTAAAAAGATCTTGCCAACGTTTCTCTAGTTTTTCTCAGGATCATCAAGGTCAATTGTAGAGGCATCACACCTCATTTTAATACCTCACCCCTCTCCCCCTCTATCAGGTAAGCCACCGATCTACTTCCTGCAACCTGTCAAAAGACATGATTCCCTCAAGATCTACTTTACTTTGGCTATGCTTCTGAATTACCCAGCTAGGGTTGCAGAATTGAAAGCATTCTTCTGTCTGCAATACCTGCAAGATACTTATTGGTGCCGGAGCAAGAGATTTTTATTTGCTTACACCCCAGGGCTGTCACACCAAATTACCTCCAGTCTTTTCCTTGCCCCTTCTGGATTCTCTTTTTTTGTTTTTGCTTTTTGTTTTTTTTTTGTTTTTGTTTTTTTGTTTTTGGTTTTTCTTCGTAATTTCGGATTTTGTATTGCCCCTCCGTTCACTGTGATTGCTACCACTCTTCTTTTTGCCTAGGTCTTTTCTCTACCCCAATCTTCCTTCTCCATACCCCTCCTCTCAGATCGTGGTTGGCGATATAGATTCTGGCCCGGATCTATTCCACTGTTCCCTTGTACTTTGGTACCAACAACTTACGTGGATGCGAGATTTCCCAATTAGGAAGTCATGTCTATAAATCAGTGACGCACTCCTTTGGCTCGGACATTCATCTACTTTCTTGTCAACGCCTGTCCCAAAGGGCATCGTTTTACGTATCGTTTATTAAGCAGACTACATGTGTATTACTCTTCACATCCATCTTTATAACCCTGGAGACATTTCCTATCTTCCTTGATACTTCGCTCTTTACCACTCCCACTCTTGTCTATTCCCCTTCGCCCCAAGCTCTATCACTTTGCCTTCTCCAAACTACTTTGGACCGTGAGAATTGTGTTTTGATTTATATCCAACACTACAAGCTGGATTGATTTATCTTATTTTAATTTTTAATTTTTTGGGGTTCAAAAAAATCCTCATGAGCTCAAAGCAAACGCCATTTTGAGTGATTCAGACCCCCAGAGGTATCAATCGAGTACTGTGAGGGAATTTGACTAGACGTTCTTTCGACCTTTGTCTAACTTTTTGCTGCTATTCTAGACATCCCAATTCTTGCCACTCAAGACTTCAAGGGCTAGACGGCTTTGGCGTCTCGCCCAGTGTTACATTAACCCCCCAAAAAAAAGCTTACGGGTCTTCGAGGCAGCATCAGCACACTCAGGATGAATCCCTGTAAGCTTCTCTCTTTTCCTTTCCCTGTTCATTCCGTCATGCGGATTGATTCGACATTGTTTTCTGGCAGCCGTGCTTTTTGTTAACTTAATTTTCGTTTCTTTTTGTTAAAATTCTCCTCCATATATCTTTCCTGTTCCTAACCTATGAATTCTCCAGCACTTCTCTCGGGAGTATTCTCATTGAACGATCCCGTTGCTTCGGAGGGTGACTATATGAACTCCCATGTGACAGGGTTTGTAACGGATGAAGACGGCAATAGCCAGCGAGTCGGAGGTCTCATCGCCATACCTGACACCAACGGCGTGAGGTACCACGCACAGCAGCCTGTGATGCAGGATTTCCAGTAAGTGATATTTCTTTTCTTTCAATTCGGACCTGCCCTTGCGATCCACTCAGTCAGCCTCTCGACCCCCTTGTCGCTGCGCTTCCTCCGGGTCCGGGCAGCTTGAACTTCAGTCCAGCCTGTTTCTGTACCGTCCATACCAATCTGCGGCCTGCATGTCTTTCTTCCGATGTTTTGTCCTTTTTTATCTGAGCTCGTGCCGTTGAGGTCTTTGCCTCTTTTCGCACCCGTTTCTTCTTTTTTACGCATTATGATTTCTGTGCTGCGCCCAGATACATATGGTATCTGCTGGACTGTTTTAATTCCAGACGATCGCACGTGGATTTCCCATGGTGAGCTTTGACTGAGCCCTTCATTACTTTAGATACTCTGGTCCGGGTGCTCTTGCTATGACTCCACCTGACTCTTGTCCCGGTAAGCCCTCTTGCTGATCCTTCTACCTCCCGGAGATCAATCCGTTGACTGATAAATGGTGGGACGGTAAAGATTCATTTTCGCCCACATCTGGTCCCCTCTTCCCTCATATCTCTCGGCTTCAGCATCCCTTTGACAGAATGGCAGACTACCAACGGGTGCCAGCGCTGTAAGCTTCTGCTCTACTATAAAGGTGGATGAGGTTGATGAGTGCTGATCTTTGTTCATCTAGTCAGCCGCCAACTGGCATGCCATCCGGTATGCAAAGTTCAGGGCATGCCTTGAACTCCATTCCAGCACTCATGGGTCGCAATAATGCCTACGCGTTACAGCGCGGAATCGGAAATCTTGGTATGCCCTCGGGGGCAATGAATGATCTCTCCCGTAGCCATGGGTATTCCGGCACTCCTCGTGCGTTAGATGGCGGGATGGATCGATCTCAGAGTCATCTGTATCAGCAACCGATAGTGGAGTCCTCACAACGCTCACAGCCCCAGGTTGAGGCTCCGCCTTTTGACGATACGACTATTCTTCATACTGTGGTTGCCGAGTTTGGGGGTCAATATCAAACAGTGAAACCAGAGGTCCAAGCAAAAATGGGTCGAGGGCCCTTTCCAGCTGAGGGCAAGTGGACTTGCTATCGCCGCAACTACTTTGCCGTGACCTGCGGCTTTGGTCTTCATCCTTGGCCTCCCACTGCTCCCCTATACATCCGCTATCCTGACCAAACCTTGGAACCAATCCGTGGGTTTTCAATGGCGATTGCTGCCATCGTGAATGGTCAATATGGAGAAACCCGAGAACTTGTTCAACACACCCCAAAGCGGGACAAGCAATCGGAACGCAAACCCGGTCGTGTCGTTCTTCAGCCTGCACCTCCACCTTCCTTCACAGCAACCTCTTCTGGGAACGGAACTCTTTCTGGATTTACCCTTGGCTCACAATCCATGGACTATAACCCTTCCTTCGCAGGGACCCCGCAACCGTGCCAGCCCCCAACCTCCCACGTATTCGAACGCATCCAATTCCAAAAAGCGACCGCTAACAACGGCAAGCGCCGCGCCCAGCAACAGTATTACAATCTGGTCGTCGAACTGTACGCTGAGGTTGCGGGCTCGGCTCCAGGTGAAACCGAATGGATCCAAATCGCCCGGCGCCACTCCCACCCCCTGGTCGTCCGCGGGCGGTCGCCCGGGCACTACAAGGACGGACGCCGTGGCAGTACGGGCAGTACGGGTCCGGATGGGACTGGCGGAGACAGCACCTACGGTGTCCTTCCCCATGGGCTGGGCCAACCGGGCCGTTCACACATACTCATGTACGACACATCTCATCGAAACAGTCTGTCTTACGGCCGATCCGATCACCGCAAAATGAATGTTGCCGACCACTCTCCGCTCAGTGACAGCCCTCTCATCTCCTCTTCCTCTTCCTCTGGATTTGAGTACTCCATGATCGACACCATGGACCCCATGGATACGATCAAGTCTGACCTTTACCTCAAATCCGATTCCTACCAGGATCACCCCTATCCAGGGGTTCCCAGTCACCACCACCACCGCCAGTCTAGTACTGGTGGATACGATCCCGTTTATTCCACATCTTATGGTCGTTACGATCCTATCCAGAACTCGCATAGTCTCTGCACTTAGGCTATGCCGTTTTTGTCCATGGTTCATTTTGAATGACTTCTGTTTCTTCCCGTGTTTTTATCTTTAAATCTTGCTTGACCTGATCAAACGGTAAACGGTTTATGCACTGGTGCAGGACGGCGTGAGGGATGATGTGGCCATTTCTATTCGCTTGTTTTTTTTTTTTTTCTTTTTTTTTTTCCTATGATTACTAGTTGGACTTTTATGGCCTGGATTTATTTCAATGTGATCTAGTCTTTTTCTCCTTTGATTCGGATTGTAGCTCGAGACATGGTCTCCTCTCTATAATGTGTGCTTACCTCTGAGAAAGAAGCATTCAGAATGCCATTCGAGACTGTCTTTACACGCCCAAAAAATTCAAATTTCCTATCATATGGAACCGAATTGAATCATCTGGGCTTGACTCGACCAACGTCTCTCGATCTTGGTAGCTGAATCGACAGCCTTGTCTATGTGTTGATATAACGCCCATCGCATCATGAAGCCACCTAGAGTACACACGCCTTCCAATCAAAACCCCCCATTCTTCTCAACTCCAAATGCACATGGAATACCCAAGTCCACATTCCAAACTCCCCGATTTGCTTTGTTCGATAGCCAGGAACCGTTATTTGCTGCGGTTCTGGTCTTATTCTACATCTATTGCAGCCCCCCCCCCCCCCCCGGTCCCCCTTTTCAATAGATCTGGACTTTAGCAGTCTTTGCCTTATTATTTGCCTTTTCTTTTTCTTTCCTCTTTCTGTTTGCCTCTTTTTTTTTTCTTCTCTCCTTTCTCTCCACCATCCAATCAAAACCGAAAGCCCAGACGGTAATTTACTTCCAGGACTCTTTTCATGCCTGGTGACTACATAGCCTTATGTCCCCGAGGTACGCACACACAGGTTTGCCCGATGATGGGAATGATTGGACTCAGTCCATTCAACTTCTATGCACGATTTCAGGGCTTAGTGTGGCGCTATTACCGGTTTGCGTTATAAATAAATACAAATATGTGTTTTTTTTTTTAAAAAAAAAAACTTGAATTTTAGGAGGCTCCGCGGACTTGAAATCAAACGAAGCAAGGTGGGGACCCGTATTGTGGGTTGTAGATACGGTGTACTCCATGCAGACGATGCAGAAACGGTAAGATGCAGGAAGGATCAGAACCAATCCGGTGAGCCGATTGGTAGAATTGAGCGGGCCGGGACTAGATCCAAGGTTGCTTGCCTAGGCAGCAGAGATGGAGGACCGGTGTTCATAGGATCAGGTTCCCTGTTCAATGGAGTCAGATGGAGATCCTGATCGACAGCAGTGCCGGTGATGGGTGTGCATGTACATTTTCAGCCCTGTTCAGATGAAAATTCACAGTGTCTCTTAGATCAAATGAAACCCAATCGGATGTGGACTTATGTACATCTTTGACTTCGGGACTAAAATCGGTGGTCAGTTCAAATTCTGGAAAGTAGAGATCTTCGTATCATCCAAACCTGCACCTCGGCATCTTCCAATGTTGAAATTACTCTGATCCTGGTCCATGATATTCCCTGTGATCGGGGTAGTAACATCCGCAGTATGAGAGATGGTTGGTGTATCAGTTTCACCCAGGCTATTTGGGATGGTCAGTGGTCAGGCTGAAACAATTGGGGTCCAGTTCAGCTTGTTCTTTGGGATATCCCAAGGACTGGGTGTGTGTGTGTGCCACCGGAACTACATGAATCAGAGTTATGATTCTGAACAAGACATACCAGAGACGGAGGGGGGGGAAGTCCAACATCATTGGTGAACTCACTAACCGGTTGGATAGGTACTTCTGCACGTCGTACCAGGGACAGACCAAAGGACAAGAGGTGCTGCGGGGGTTCTTATTTAATTTCTTAGTCAACATCGGGAATTGACACTGCAAAGATGGGCATTTTGCGATCCTAGTGTGGCCCCTCGTTCCATCTTCGTCCCGTCAGATTTCGACTGGAAATGATACTTCCACTGAGCACTTCCTTGATTCTTCGCTTGTGCATGTTAGGATTAATCTTCCTGAAGTACCGCTGTCACATGACTCATCTGATAGGAAACGAAACACATGACATGCTATAGTCTAACCGCTGGACTTACCATCACCACGGGCAAGTGGGTTTCATAGTGCGTACAGGTCCTCTCCGTGCGTATCCCGTCTGCCATGCTTCATCTCACCGAGGACTGGGGCCTGTTGAGTATATCTTTAGCTGGTGGGTACACTCGTCCCTCCCAATCCCTCTTCCTACCCATGCTGTAAAAGATCACATCTTGTCAGGACTAGCGGAGGGTCTCAGCTGTCTCCACGCGAGAGTGGGCAACATAGTTTAGTACCACAAGATCCTCACTGCCGACACTACGAGCAAATGACAATGTGCCAAGAAATCCCGGGCAATCGAACTCTCGAGAATCAATGACAAGAAGTCTGATATCGCAGCAAGTCATCAGCCTGGAGTCATAGACCCTGGGTTGTCAGTACGACCATAATCAACCCGATCTGCCATCGAGCCACGGCGCCCAGAAGACAATCCCCGTGTGCGCAACACTTTGTATTTAGCCCAAGAACCCCGAGTCAGATATCGGTCCCTGTTGCTTTGGAGACCTGGACAATGATCTCTGCATGAGCCCCTTCACGCTTGTACTGCTTTGCTACCTCACTGGACTGCCCCAACAACCCTGTCCATGACACGACTGCTCCAATCGTCAACCCTCGCCACTGTCTTGGACGCAGTACGGGCTAGGAAGCTAGCTCCAGTGGATACTTGGCCGTGTACTGATGCATCTGGATTTTCCTTCCAGATGGAGATACGGATGCCTTGCAACCCCATCCGACATTGAAGGGGGGGGTCTCTATCTCCGTGTTTCACCTCAACGGCCTCCGAGCATGGTGTTAGGTTTGTCTCACCCGGGAAAGGTTTTTTTTTTAAAAAAAAGGACGTGACCGGTGTGTAGATCTGTGCAAGGGGATGTTTAAAACCGATCGGGCTCGGGCAGCCACCATAGGAACGGGATCATGACATTTATAGATAGAACATATTGAGATCGGCATGATGTAGAGTCCATTTGGATCAAATCGTTGATTCGCCCCCCCCCCCCCCCCCTACCTGAGGAGTGTCGATCGTTGGGCTACACAAGACGTCTGTCAAGCGTAAAAAAGGGTCCCGTGTGCTGCACCGTCAGTCAAATCACCAAATTACGTCTCGGAATAATACACTTAGAGCCGCACTACGATTATATGCCTATTTGAGATCTTATTGCCTTCAGAACTGTATGAGATAAAGTGCTGTGGTAAGATTGTTCCACATTGCCTTGCAAAGTATGGCCTAAAGACAATCCCATCAAGCATCCCACGATGACGTGGCGGAGGCAATGCAACATCAGGGATCAATTTTCAAATATTCGAGACAAGTAGAAGCTAACGTAGACACGCAAATTCCAAATCTCCCTATTATACAACCCCATGATCAAAATAAAAATTTTACCAACATCGCAAAGTATCAATAGCAACCCCTAAACCCCAACCAGACCAACTGCCCCTCGCATCACTTTCCCAGACAAAAGTTCAATCTCGGAAAATAAAAGTAACCTCTAATTGGCCCCTCGCCACAACAACCAACATGTCACGATCCAGACCAGATTCAGCAACGATGCACCCTCTCAGCCGCAGCAATTCTTCCGAGCCACATGAATCCCCAACCAATGCCCCAGACAGGGGAGGGGAAAAACGTCCGCACGAGACGAGGTTGGGCGGGGAAAGACCGCTGACTGCAGCTGCCCAATCCTTCCCTGTGCGGCAAACAGGGCATTTGGAGCTGGGGTCGTTGCAGACGCCCGGATAGGCGTGGGCATGAGCATGGGTAGTGACAGGGTAAGGGAGAGATTATCAGGCCACTCCCTGTGGTCTTTCCGATGGGGACGTGCACGCGCAGATCAAGATTCTCAGAGACAGAGTGGGGGCGTCAGCCACTAGCCATTGACCACTGCTTGTTTGTTTTTGTTCGGTTTTTTTTTTTTTTTTATCGTCTTGGCGGGACGCGCGAAGACAAAGAGTAGCAGGATGCTTCGCTATGGCCGCTTTCCAGTGTAGGTATGCAAGTAAGTGACCTTCCGGCTCCGACAAACCGGGTCCTCTTTTGAATTCCGGAGTCCCGAATGCGCAGAGGGCATGCGATAGACGGGTGCGGGATGTGGGTAGGCAGTTGGATGTTTTGACATGGGACACGGGCGCAGGGTAGTCCAGCAATGCATCGCAGTCGCAATATGGCAATTGAGTTGTGGAGGGGTTGACTCAACAAGATATGACAGGAAAAGACTTCCTTCCATACCAGCCTGACAGCTTGCAACAGACTGACTTCCCTCCTCACCCTTTTTGACCAGTCGCATTCAACCCCCATAGTTCCGTAAGACTATCCCCACGACTCCCGGAGATAATCACAGCCGACCACAAAGCCCACCCCCGTAGCCTCCATCGCCATCATGAGCTCCTAGAGCTCCTAGAGCGCGGTTGTCGCGCGGGTCGTCTCCGTCGACTCTTCAATCGCTCAGTTGACCCGGGTATTCGATGTCTCGACGCCCTCTCCTCCGACACGCGACACACGCACCGCCAACTTCCGATCCAGTGCATCCTGCTCTTCCTTCGAGGGCTGCATGCCCAAAGCGTTTTCTACTTGGGGCGTGGTCCAGAGTCCGATGCCTGCCCAGGCCATGACGCCGATACCGAACAGGGCCCGGGTTTTGGGGGTGAGGCCACGGTAGGAGCTGTGAAGCTTGTTAATTTCTATCTTGTCTCGGTAGCCCGGGAATTGGTGAGTGGGCAGGGGTTGGTCGGTTGAGATCTGTGCCACGTACCTCCAGAGGGACATTTAGACTGGTAAAGAAAGGATTCTGGTCTTGTCGGGAGGTGAGAATTGGGCAGTGTGTGTGTCTTGGTTGGCGACTTTGACAGGGAGAGAGTCACGTGGAGATATCTACTCTCGGTCACGGGATTGTTTTGGTACCTGAGGCTAGCGACCTCTATATACTTCGATTTTGTGCCAGTGCGACGGGTTCGAACGTGTGTCTTTGTGTCTGCCGCTAAGTCCTGCCGGGTACATGGACATCCCCGGGGACTTGTGAGTTGCTGGGGGATGGTGTAACTGTGGCTGATCAGTGAGGTACCGAGGTACTTTCCGAGGTTCTTTGGGTGTACTTGTACTTTAGTGCGTATGATAGATCTGCTAGATGAATGATAGGTAGCGGGATAATGGAAGACATCCTTGAAGGTTACTACATGTTTCAACTACCTTGAAGCTGGTGTTTATTCTGGCATCGCGGCAGAAATAAAAAGGAAAGATATCAAGAGCAGGAGTCGACAGATATGGATTGCGTAGATTGGAAAAAGTGGTTATAACAGAGAGGGTCTCAAAGCGCAAGCAAATACAGCAGGGTAAAAAAAGTTGAAGGGCAAAACAAAGGTGAAGCTCTGAAAACCAATGAAGCAGTTGGACACGCTTTTTTTTTTTTATTTCTTGCCGTAAGCCATGCTGATTTTGGACTCGTAGCGGGCGAGGATCTTCTTGCGCTGGAGCTTTTGCGCAGCGGTCATGAACCCCTATAATGTTGTTAACAAGACTCATACTCCAAATAGCTTGACAATCACTTACGTTCTGCGGGGTCCACTCGTCGTCAGATAGCACGACACCATTTATAATCTCAATTCCTCTCAAGCCACCAGCACGACCAGTGGCCTGCAGCTGTTGCAAGACGATCTTGTTGAGCTTTTCGTCGTGGACAAGGCTCTCGAGGGTGTCACCCTCAATGCCATTCTCATGGGCAAGCTTCTTCAGTGCCGGCTCGGCGGGAACAATGATGGCGACGGGCTTGTCTTGGTCCTCGGCAGCGTAGACACAGATGTTACCAATCACGGGAGACGAGCGGTAGACAGACTCGAGCTTTTCCAACGCGATGTATTCACCGTTCAAGGTCTTGACAAGGTTCTTCTTGCGGTCAACGATTTTCAGATGGCCATTGGGATCGAATTCGCCAATATCACCGGTCATGAACCAGCCATCCTCAGTGATTGCGGCCTTGGTCTCCTCCTCATTGTCGTAGTAGCCTGACGTCACACTGCCGCCGCGGATGAAAATCTCACCCTGAGGAGGGTTGTTCGAGGTAAGGTATCCAGCATCAGGGAAGTCAACAAGCTTGACTTCGATCGAGGCAGGAACCTCACCCAGAGCATCGGGGTTCCAGGCCAAGGGGTCGTTCAGGGCACCCATGGCAGAGGTCTCGGTTAGACCGTATCCGCTAATCATGGGGGCAATAGCCATTGACAAGAACCTCTGGGTGTCCTTGGAGACAGGGCCACCACCGTTCATGACAACACGGAGTTTGCCTCCGGTTGCTTCCTTTAGCTTTTTGAAGACAACGGCATCCAAAACCGAGGCGCCCAGGTTTGCGCCAGGGAAGCCAGTACTCAGGAGGAAACTCTTGGCCGACATGGCACCCCAGAACAGACTCTTGACCACGAAGCTAGCCTTATTGAGGTTGGCCAAAACACCCTTCTTCACTGACTCCCACACGGCCGGAACACCGACCAAAACGGTCGGCTTGAACTCCTTGATGTCGCCCAGGCAGTTTCGCATAGAGGCATCGGACAATGTGCGGGGGTTACCGTATCCCATGGTACCACCCCAGAACAAGCACAGGTTCTCAAACATAAATTCCAGAATGTGAGATTGAGGGAGGTAGGTCAGGAGGGAGTCCGTGTGGTTGACACAGGGACCGATGACGGTGTGAACACCAGCAGCTATTGCGAGACATCAGTTTGATAGAGTGATTCCGAATGTACTTTTCGACTTACTAGCAGCGATCACATTGGCGTGGGTCAATGGAACACCCTTCGGCGGGCCTGTTGTGCCCGAGGTGTACATGATGCAGCACAAGTCTTCCGGCTTGGGAGGAACAGGCTCCACGAGATTTTCCTCGCCTTGCTTGCGCAATTCCTCGATGCTCTGCACGTTGATGTCAACAAACTCGCTGTGTAACTGTCCAATAAGCTTCTGGTCGATTTCCGTGTCGGTATTGTAGATAATGTGCTTGATTGAGGGCACGCTGCGGAGGATGCCGATGAGCGACTTCAGCAGACCGGGGTCGAGGAAGATGGCAGTACTGCCGGTTTGAACGATAGAGTGCTTTAAGCCTTCTTCGCCTAGGGTATCGTATGCAGTAACAATGGTCACGGACTGAGAGGCAGCCCCTGTATTTGTAGGTTAGTGGGTTTGTTCGCGTGTCAGAGAAAATAAGGACAAACGAACCGTGTGACATGGCTAGCCAGTGTGCGCTATCAGTAACAACCAGGTCAGTCATCTTGCCCCGCATCTCTTTGGGGGTGCCAATGTGTCTCTTACCTCGTCGCACCGTAGAGGTGGATTTTGCTGTCCTTCTCGAGGCCTAGCTTGCGGAGACCGCTACCAAGCTCCAAACAGAGCTTCTCATATTCGAGGAAGGTCTTGTAAGTATAACCACTCATTTCAAAATAGGTCCACTTCTTGTCGATCTCCTGCTCAACACCATCCACGATCTTCTTGACCTTCTTGTTCTCAACGTGGGTCTTGATTAGCCGGCGACTGCCGACAGCTTTGGAGTTACCGAAAACGCGAGCTGATCGGCGCATGTTCTCATAGGTGGTAGATACATCTTCGAGTGTCGTAATCAGGCCGTCCTTGGCCTTGGGGTGTCGACGGGGGATTGTCTCGCCGGGAACACGCTCATATCCGGGCGCCTCGACGGAGAAGGGGCCCTTCTTGACCATGCGTGGCTGGAGGTGGATGTTTTGCACCGACATGTTGACCGAACAGCTCGATCAAAGAGAAAACAGAAGGAGTCGGGGGAGTCGGGAGATAGAGGAGACTCGGAGAAAAACGAACCTCCACTCGAGGGGGATGAAGTTAGCTAGTGCGGAAAGCACGGAGCTCGGAAGGGGAAAAACACAAGACTAGAACGCTAGAGGAAGGGCTAGAATGGAAATACTTACCAAGTCGAGGAAGAGATGGGAGAATTGTATCAGGACCTGAGCACCGGAGAAGAGGAGAGAGTCGGACCTTGGGAAGGTTAAGTGGCTAGTCGGCAAATGACGCAGGAGTGTCCAAGTTTTTTCGGCCTCGAGGGCACTACAACACGGAGCTCTTCTTTCAAACTAGTCCCTTTTTTTTGATTAATTTTAATTTGGGGCTTTGGTTCTCTTCGACTATGTTGTACGTCAAATACCTTCTTACTCAAAGCAATAGATGACCGTAGTCAATATTCTACGAACCTGCTATTTACTATGTACTATTTACCGTTAGACCAGTTCCCGTTCTCCCTTTTCTGTTGGGAAGCCCAACAATTATTTCAAAAGTCATAGCTAATATATCGAACCACGAGAGTTGGTTTTAAATAGCGTAACTAATATATCCTGTATATCCCATATATCCTTTATCTCCTATACATCCCATAGATCCTGAATATGCTTCCTGTCCTAATACATGGTCCCGTGATTCCTTAAAAAAAAACTTCATGACCAAAGAAAATAACCCCTTTCCACCAACTATCCAAACATCCATGGAAACCAACCCATGGACCAAATCATCCGCTTGCTCGCCAATGGCGAAGAGATTGTCGATGTGGATGAGGGTACGCCACCCCCGTATACGAATACATCAAAGTATCCCAAGTATAGCCACTCACATCAACTCATAGAATCATTTCTCCTCTTCGCACAAGACATCCCAAGCAACAACCTAGGGATGCTCAATCCCCGTGCACCATCAGTAGAGATCTCTATCAATGGTAATGAATATACAATCCATCAATCACCATCACTACTCTCCTCTCATCGAGCAGGAGGTACTACAGGCGCTGGTAAGTACAAAATTCCCGGTACACTGCACAAGCCCGCGCATGATCTACACCAGCTCCTCTATGATTTGTCCCCAGAATCCCCAGAGGCCAGAATCCCAAGCACGGACTTCTCCGCAGGTCGGTTACCCGAGTCCGAAGTGCCCAGGCCCAAGGGCCGAGGCGTCGAATCGTCGAGTCGTCTTATCCGCTGCTTGTCTGTGCCTCGGCTCTCGGGTGTAAATGTCTCATAGGACTCGGTCCCTAACACTATCATTTTGTGCCTTTCTACCCCCAAGACGAGAACCAATTCTCACCTGCTCTGCTATCCCTTGACTTTTCCCTTATTCCTACCTCGGGATACCTTGGCAATGTCTCGAATATCCAGAAAATACCATCCGATTTCATGGTCACGGCAATCAACGACCACATGTCCGGAAATTAGATTTGAACTAACCTTACAACCCCAGTTCTTTGGAAAATTACACCTCTCTTTGCAGAATGGATAACGAATCCCTCGAATCCGCTCTGGACAACCTCCCTTCTTAGCCAGACTTCAACAGTGGCTGAACTCGGCACCGGGATCTCGGCGTTGGTCGCACTCGTACTGGCGCCCTCTGTGCGCCACTACATCGCCACTGACCAGGAATATGTGCGCAAATTATTCCGAACGAATCTTGACGCCAATGCGTCCGTCACTACGTCTCATAGCAACCGTAACAGCAAAGGATCAGGCAAGAGCAAGGGATCCAAATCAAAGCAAACCTTGACCGCCAAGTCTGTCAATAATATCTCCTTCACAACGCTAGACTGGGAGACTGACCAGGCCGCCTCACTAAAGGAATGTATGGATTCTGACGATGCCCATGGCCAAGACGCAGAGGAAGAAGGAGAGGACGATAAAGGCTTCGACCTTCTCCTTTCCTGTGACTGCATCTACAACGAAGCACTCGTGGCCCCGTTCGTGCGCACTTGCGCTGAGATCTGTCGACTGCGGCCGGCGTATGTGGGTAGTTCTGAAGAACCTCGATCGCGCCGCAAGCCTACGGTTTGCATTATCGCGCAGCAGCAAAGGTCGCCGGATGTGTTTGAGACTTGGCTCAGAGAGACGATGCGGGAGTTTGGGGTTTGGAGGTTGAGTGATGATGTGCTTGGGGAGGGACTGAGAAGTGGGTCTGGATACTTGGTACATTTGTTATTGGCGAGGGAGAAATAGAATCCGGCTGTAGATACAAGTACATATGGCGTGGCTTTGTGTATGCACCTCTGAGATGCATACTGTTTGGGTATAAAGTGGGTGCTTTTATATTTCCACCTTAGGGGCTGAAGCTCCCCTTGTACTTGGATCACCAGGTACGACGTACAGTGCATTGGCCGCATCAAGTGAGATAGAAGGAATGTTTTCGAGCTAACCTCAAGAGGTTTTTGAAACGGAATCCGACTGGCATGAGAGGACACCTGGTTTGCTTTCTAATCTGGATGGATATTTCTGATTGATATACTCAGACCGACAACAACGTTTGCCGGTGTGTTTGTAGGCGCCACGGAGGCACAAGTTGTCTTCTGAAGTCTGGGTAGCCCACTTCGGTTATCCCCCTCTTTCGAGCGTGCTGAAACAGCTGTCAGAGATTCTGGCACCAAGCACGGCTTTCTCGTCCTGCCGCACTCGACATTATTTTCCTAGCACAACCTTAAGTGGTGTTGCATCGAAGTGGCCCCCCGACATACAGTGCTGTCCCAATCACGTCTACACACGTCTTTAAGTACTCACCCACTTACACGCCTGATATTGTCAGACCGAAAAACATGCCTGAGAGATCATAGTGATCATAGTGATCAAGCGGATATAGTCTATAAATGTTGTTCTTTAGTTGATTTCGTATGTATGTGCGATTTACCATAGAGGGATGAGTTACATCTTGATCACGCGCAGCGTCAAACTGCTATATCAAAGAAAACGGAGGACATGGAGGATCACCCAGGTACAACAGAAGCATTTGTTGCACAAGACTCATGCTCTTAGGTAGCATACTGAGCCCCAGACACAGAAACAAAGAGATATAGATGTACCATGATGCAATTGATTATCATATCAAAAACGCTAATATCTGCAGACGCCCCAGAAATTATGTAGGTGTATATATGCATAGCCGGCGGAAATCGACATGGAGGATAAACATTACTCCGCAAGGACATCATCAAGGCTCCGCATTTTCTTTCTCTGCGGCAGGTGGCGAGAATTCGTACTTGCGCTTCAACGGCACAGTCGACTCAGTGGGTTTAGGTGATGGACCCTGGATGCCAGATTCCGACGGTGGAAGTGTGGCCAACGCCTCTCTGGATTCGGTTTCGGGGGTGCGATCGATAATAGACGAGATGGACTGCTTGGTAGATCCGTTGATTGCCTGTTTGGGTGGAGTTGCGGCGGAATCAACAGTAGTGCCCTCTGCGTCGGGCATGAATCGATCTAGAACTTCGGTTTTGACTCGGTAGGAGCCCTCACGCTCGAGCTCACCCTCGGACTCGGAGTCCATGTCCTCATAACGCTGGTCGCCGTCGTGGTCCAGGGGGTTAGAGCCCAGAGGACTTCCTTCTGTTGAGGCCCGGTGGCTGTTCATGACTGGTGGGAGGGGAGCGTTCGGATCGTAGACTACACCGCAGACTTCGAGGGCGCGGGACTGGCTGCCCAGAGTACGGTCTTTGTGTTTTTTGGTGAGATGGCACATGAAGCCGTGAAGGGTGACGAAGTCGGATTTCCCGCACCCGTGGATGGGGCACGTGAGATATACTAGACTTCCGTCCGAGGGTCGCTTCCACAATGCTCGCCCGGATGGGTCGTGGGCTGCTGGTCGGCCGTGGCGTTCGCCCCATGCCTCGACGTTTTTGATGGTGTATTTTTGCTTGCGACGGATAGAGCCTGCGTTGTGTATTGACTCATGGGGAGGCATTGGGTGTTGATGCTGAGAGGGTGGGGGAGGCGGCGGAGGTTGATGATGAGGCTGAGCTTGCATATGAGGTAGCGGCATGGAGGGAGGTGGTGCCTGAGACGAAGGTGGAAGGGGTGCTTGACGGGGCTCGGGGGGACTCTGTTGCTTGAAGAAAGCCAGTGTTGTTGCCGCACTGGTCTCTGATAATCGGCGAGGTGGTGTGGGCCGTAGCGGGGGCGAGTCATTTGCGGCATTGAGCCCCAGGCCCATAGACTCTCTCTTTAACTTCTTGCGCTGTCTTCGAAGATCCTGCGAAGCTTGTTTTTAGAAATCCAATTCCCCAGTATGGATATCAAAATCTGGCTTACCTCTTCTTCTGCTTCGGCTCGCTCCGTCATTGACCGAAATTCCTCGTCTTCATGCTTGCGCATTGCCAGAATGCGACTCCGGGTTGCATTTCGGGCCATTTCCTCGTGCTCTAGATGCCGGAGTCGAGCTTCAATATGTTCCAAAGTAGCTGAAGTGTGTACTGGCGGTACTCCTTGAGGATGGTGTTCATGCATAGGCGGTGCGAAATGACGGAAATGGTGGCTCTGCACCATCTGCTCCGGAGGTGGCATTTGGTGTGGAGGCGGGTTCGGATTCATGGCAATGGGATGATAACGAGGTAGATGGTTGACGAGATGGCCGGGTATACCACTATCGGGGCCTGGGTGATGCACCGGCGGTGCAGTTGTCATTGTTATAGATGGTGAGGTGCTGTAGGGTATGCAGTTTCGAACCCTCTACCAGAAGCAGAAGAGAGTATGAAGAGGTCAAAAAGGGAAAGGAAAGTCAAAAAGAAAGGAAAACAGGATGAGACAATCGAAAGGGAAGACCCATCCCCGATCTATGGGTCGACGGTTTGAAAAGGAATGACATTCAGAGTGCTAACTATATTTTTGTATAATAAAAAAAAATTAGTGAAAAAAACAGTGGAAATTGAAACCCCCCCCCCCCCCCAAACTAAAATGGTCAAATAATATAATAATAGAAAATTAGAAATGATTCTTCCACTAGCGCGACCCTTCTGCACCCCCGTTATCTTGAAAATTCCCGTAACAGCGTAAGGGGATCGTTTCAGGGGATTTGGATTGTGATTGATCGTAGACTTATCTAGAGTTATTTAGTTATAGAGGTTTTTATTGAATGGAATATTGGACAGGGTGTGGACTGAAAGCAAGAGCATCAAATATATATACATACAAACATCCTAATCTACCAAGTACACTTTATTCTGAAAAAGAATGTTTTTTAATTTCCCAAAGTGGCCAATGGAGCCCCCAAACCAGAAAGATAGCCACTTATCCATGGAATTGGCTCGACGCTAGCCATGTAATCAAATCACAATCTGAGCCCTAAAGTTCATTTCCTTTGGATCAGAATGGATCCTATGGATCCTAATCGACCAGACCAATGATCGACGTCTCCAAATCGAAAAAAAAAATTTAAAAAAGTCACTTGACATCTCCCTCAGGGGGAGTCTAAACATGACAAGTCTAAAAATTCTGACTGCAGTCACCCTATAAGCTTCATTGGTCCGAGACTATAATTTCAAAGTAACAAGTTCGGGGTTGCATCATAATTCTTTTTTCCATCTAAGGTCCCCTTTCCCCATAGAAAGTAGGAGTAAAGTACTCCGTACCTGGAGGATATTATCAAGGATAGATGGATTTATCTCTTGACCCTTGACCCTAAAAACAAAGCTATACTCGATAGTTAAAGCCTCAAATCAGAGCCTCCACGATTGGATGTTTTTTTTTCCATCTGCTAGCTACTGAATTCGGTGACGAACCGTCCAATAATAAGCAACAGATCTACCCCATTACTGCCAAGGGTGCGCTCATCCTGGAGATCATTATGTAACACAGGGGAACCTGTTCCTGACAAGTTCCATGGTAGCTAGAGAAGCGGGAAGAATCGCAATGGATCTGGAAAGGTTTCGACACTTCATAGTGATGTCCATGTACTCCGTTACTGGTACGGAGTACACCATCATTCTTGTCTACATTGCTCTCCACATATTATTGCTTGGTGGCATCAATCTATTTGATTTATTATGTGTCTTCTTCGCTGTAATTAGAGCCAACCCACTCCTACTATCCGGAATCATTCCCTACATACTCCGTATGTTGTACGGAGTATTTCATTTATCAACAATATCAAATACATGATCAGCCAGGTAACCTTTGCGACGCCCCGGGATTGATAAATCAAGGCACTTTCAACTCAAATGTATTCATGCCCCCAAACTGTCCATGGTAAGTTAAAAGATGGGTGCATGGATTTTCTGTTCAAGTGACTCGTGTGTATTTTCTCTGATCGCTACGTGTCTGCAGCAAACGCCAGGGCGTACAACAGAGCTTGTAAAAAGGAAAGCAGAGGCAAAAGGGGAAAAAAGAGCACCGGAATAAGGAAATAAATAAAAGAAAAAAAAACGCCATGTCAACAGAGTGGAGAAATGGAAATCATCATACGTGCTAGGGGCCACGCTAACGCAGATGGTCTCACACAAGAAATGATCGACGAATGGCCGAGAGAGAACTGGTGTGGGCATTGGAAAATTTTCTACGGAGTAGTTGCACCGGGATTTAATTTAAGAGCCATCTTACACTTCAGATGTTGATCGGTACTATACAATATCCAATCTAGTGCTCCGTACTCCGTACTCTGGACTAGTAATAGTGGTTAAGTGAACAATTCTAGAACATTAGCTGCCCTTTAAATTGTATCAGTCATCTCTCTCCCCCCTGTCTATTTCAAATGTTTTGCATTGAACCTCCACAATGCCTCGTATATAATCTGAGAAATAATAATGATTTACAAACAGCATTGGAAAAGACCCACTGTGGCAGCCCGACTGGTGTGTACAACGATGATTTGCTGCTTGACCGCATCGCTGCAGCCTGCATGATTGCTTCGTTCTGTCACCAGCCTCTCGAGTCCAGGTTGGCGGGATGCGAAAACCAATGCCTTTTTTTTTCGTATTTGTGTCTGAGTGTAGGGTGAATTCTTGTTTCTCCTTGGTTCGTCTAAGGATTCAATACTCTATCTCAAGGTCAATTGGTATAAGCAATGGTCAGATAAGGGGCCACAAGGGACGCACACTAGAAGCGTGCAGAAACCTACCCTTTTGCCTACCTCGACGTGTAGTGTACCTAGCTACCCCATGACCCCCCCCTCCCTCCCTCCCTCCCTCTCATGCCATCTACAATCCTAGCTCCCCTCGACCGAGATCCTGTCGTTCACTAGTAAGACTACAGACTAAGCTAGCCTTCATTCCCGGTGGATAATGCAAGGATGACGAGATTGTGTTGTATACTCCGTCGAGACCATTGGTCTAACCAAAGGAGCTGCAGTTCAAACCTTACGATGGTAGCAAAGTGGATTCCCAGATGCCAGAATTAGGCTAGTAGATTGGTGCGATTGGAAGCCAACACAGTTTCAGGTGACTGGCTCAATGTCTATTCTGGCGGGACTAAGGATCAAAACCCGTGCGCCAGTTGGGAGCTGCCGGCCTATCATCGTTGTCATCGCTCCAGATATTTGACTTTACGGTGGACATGATGCTGTAATATGCTTCTTACTAACTGCGTTTAAATGCATTTCGGATAATAATAGTCACTGCAACCACGAGCTATGTACATTGCAATCATGGTCAGCTTGGCCGCTATTGCTTTCATTGGTTGCGTGCGATATCCCTGGTTCTATATCCCTGTTGACCTGGAGTACAGGCACATACCCTGCAGAAAAGACATGTATGATTAATGCGTTTTACCGACTTTTCAAGCCTTTCTAGCTGTAACACGGAGGAGGGGAAAAGACCTCTAAAATAGACGTACGGAGTAGTGCTATCCTAAATATAACGTCCTGTGTGTCATCTTTAGCCAAACGAATTGGATCTATATCCTTCCGTCGTCAAGTGCAAAGGCCATACGCCAAACATTAGCGGGCGACTTCTCCTGTGCTATAATACTTACAAACACTGCTTTGTCATGCCATTTGCAGAGAGCGAGTAAAAATGGCGACATGCTGCAGAGAAAGCCTACTGCATCGCAGTGAGATTCGAGCAGTGTGTTGGTAGCCTCTGTGCTTATGAAGTCTGGATTGGTTGGTATTAAGCCTCTATGTTGTACATGCAAATCCGTGTGTGGAAATGGAAATTAACAAGCTGAAAGCAATTACATGTACATCCACGAGGCAGCAAATGTTCCAACTGTGCACAGAGAGGTGAAAGTCACAGATGTAGTCGTCCACGTTGTTTGACAACGTTGACACGGCTAGATCCTACCAGCAAGGAATTAGAAGAATGTAATTGTGAAACGAGAGGAGAATTGTCCGATTTCTATAGTCACATGTCCATGAAAACCAAAGCCTACCACACATCCTTTTTTGGTGGCCCCCCTACCGTGATGTCATTAGATACAGTTGAAGACAATCCCGACATGATACTTCCAGGGGATGACCTGAACAGTGACATAAGGGGGAAAAAAAGAAAAGAACATAGGATCATACATGGGTGTGGTCGTTCAACACCAATACACCAGAAAACGCAAAGGGGTAAAAAAGGGCCTTGAAAGTATGTGTACACGTAAATGCGAGGAAAAGGAGATGCCAAAATAACAACAACAGGGAGTCACTGAACTAAAAAAGGAAAAACGAAAAGAAAAGAAATTGGGAGAGAAATACAGGAACCATCTGCGGTTCAAGTGTGGCAGTTATGGATGGAAAAACATTTACTGCTTGTTCTCACCCTGCTGCTCAGCACCGGGCTGCTGCTGTTGCTGCTGCTCGTTGTTGGCCTTGTGCATCTTGTCGAAGAGGGTCAAGCTAGCAGTCTGGAGGTCGTCGACCTTGGCCTTGAGCTCCTCAGCAGTAGTGGTGCTCTCGCCAGACTGGCTCTTGACAACAAACTCGCGGAGAGTGGCAATCTTCTCCTTGATAGTCTCGGCTTCGGCCTTGTCAAGACGGTCCTCAAAGTCCTTGAGGGCCTTCTCAGTATCGTTCAGGACGCTGTCAGCGCGGTTGGCGGCCTCAATGGCAGCCTTGCGCTCCTTATCTGTCTCAGCGTACTTCTCCGACTCCTCGACCATGGATTGGATCTCGGCGTCAGAAAGACCGGAACCGGAGGCAATGGTGATGGACTGATCCTTGTTGGTAGACTTGTCCTTAGCGTTGACGTGAACGATGGAGTCAGCGTCGATGTCGAAAGTGACCTCAATCTGGGGAACACCGCGGTGAGCGGGAGGAATGCCAACAAGCTGGAAGTTACCGAGCATCTTGTTGTCACGGACGAGCTCACGCTCACCCTGGTAGACCTTGATCTCGACAGCGGTCTGCATGTCAGCAGCGGTGGAGAAGGTCTGGGACTTCTTGGTGGGGATGGTAGTGTTGCGGTTGATCAGACGGGTGAAGACACCGCCGAGGGTCTCAATACCGAGGGAAAGAGGAGTGACATCGAGCAGGAGAACGTCAGTAACCTCACCAGCCAGGACAGCACCCTGAATAGCGGCACCAATGGCAACAGCCTCGTCAGGGTTGACGGACTTTGAGGGCTCGCGGCCGAAGATGGCCTTGACAGACTCAGTGACCTTAGGCATGCGGGTCATACCACCGACAAGGATGATGTCCTGGATGTCGCCAGACTGGAGGTTGGCGTCCTTCAGGGCCTTGCGGACGGGCTCAGTGGTGCGGCTGATGAGGGGGTCAACTAGGGCCTCGAGCTGAGCACGGGTCATCTTCTGGGTAATGTGCAAGGCACCGTTGGCGCCAGCAGTGATAAAGGGAAGACTGATCTCAGTCTGGAGGGAAGAGGAAAGCTCGATCTTGGCCTTCTCGGCGGCCTCACGGATACGCTGGATGGCCATACGGTCGCCGGTAAGGTCGACACCGGTCTCCTTCTTGAACTCGCTGACGATGTTGCGGACGAGGTGAATATCGAAGTCCTCACCACCAAGGTGAGTGTCACCGTTGGTGGACTTGACCTCGAAGACACCCTTCTGGATCTCAAGGACGGAAATATCGAAGGTACCACCACCGAGATCGTAGACAGCGACGACACGATCAGCCTCCTTCTCCATACCGTAGGCAAGAGCAGCGGCGGTAGGCTCATTTACAACACGGAGAACGTTCAGGCCTGCAATCTGACCAGCATCCTTGGTAGCCTGACGCTGGGAGTCGTTGAAGTATGCGGGAACAGTAACGACGGCGTTCTTGACGGGCTTGCCGAGGTAGGCCTCGGCGGTCTCCTTCATCTTGTTGAGGATGAACCCACCAACCTGGGAAGGAGAGTACTTCTGGCCACGAGCCTCAACCCAGGCGTCGCCGTTGGTGTGCTGGACAATCTTGTAGGGAACCTCCTTAATGTCACGCTGAACCTCGACATCGGTGTACTTGCGACCGATCAGACGTTTGGTAGCAAACAGAGTGTTCTCGGGGTTGACGACAGCCTGACGCTTAGCGGCAATGCCGACCAAGCGCTCGCCATCCTGGGCGAATCCAACAACGGAGGGGGTAGTGCGAGCACCTAATGAAGAATTAAGTTAATTTCGATTCCATTCGAACCCATTGATCTGCAGGCGAAAGTCTTGTGGGTTCGAGATCCCAAGCTCTGAATGCTTGTCCCCAGTTGAAAATTTCTCACGTACCTTCGGCGTTCTCAATGATCTTAGGGGACTTGCCCTCCATAACAGCGACGGCTGAGTTGGTAGTACCTGTATTAAAAAAAATTAGAATGCTGTCATCATTGGACGTTTATGTTCGGATCGCGCAGCAACTTACCGAGATCAATACCGACGACCTGGCCCTTAACCTTCTCCTCACCACCCTCTGTGGAGTTCCATCTCCGGAATGAGGAAGGGAGTCTGGAGGCAGGAGTGCGAGCGAAAGCAGCGCGCGGGAGCTGTGAAACACTGAGTCAGTGACCTGTGACGCGTGGATTTTTCATCGGGGAAACATGAAAGCTTACTGCGCGGGTGATTGTGCGAGGAAGCATTGTGATAAATTAATTAATAAAAAGAGAAAAAGAGAAACTTCAACGACTCAATCGTGAAGTTATAAAGGACAGAAGAAGGGATTGAAGAGATGGAAATGGAGAGATGGAATCGAAAAGAAGGGGAAAATGAAATAGAAATTGCACGGAGAGCTTCGGCCCGTCGAACTTGGTAGAATCACGGGATCTGACCAATCAGGAAGGGAGCTTCCATCAGTGGACTCCTTGGTAACCGAACTCACCGCCTTGGTGGTGCCGTGCGTGCGGCTATATATTTGGACATAGTGTGAGAAGCTATGGTAAAGTTGGGGTAAGTTGAAGGATTTTGAGCTTAATTTTGATGGATTAAGATATACTGCACAATAGGAGAAAATATGGAAGTCAAGACTGCGTATCTCATGCAATATAGCAAGTCGTCTGTTTGCCCATCAAGATGGCAGTTTCAATGGCATATCATTGTATTCCTGGTTTGCATACGAATTTAGGCTTCCAAAGCTCCTAACATGGCTCTGCTTTTGCCCTTTTGTTTTCCTTGCTTTTAATCAACTTCTTGTCTTTTTTTAAGCGCACTAAGTAGTTACTCTCATAGAACCACTTTCTAGGCGGTTAAGATCGATCGGTGGGGCATTTAATTGGTTAACATCAGTTAAAGAACGTGACCAACCAATTAGATATTTGTGGTCCCTATCGAATGTTAGGACCTAATATAAATACACCCCACCAAAGACAGTCTGACGTTCTGTGTGTCTCAATGATCTGTAACCCATCAGGAGTAGCGGCCTGATTTACCTATGGGATTACACATTTGGTTGGTCACAATTGGTTGAGAATGGACGTGTAAATCCCTGGATATACCAATTTTTTTTTGGCGGATCAATTCAAGCACCGGATTCTGATCATAATTGCCGGTATCGTTCTGATGAGGGTTTACTGTGTACGACCTCGTGTGATAAGTCAACAAACCCCATGCAAAAGAGCCGTCGCAATAAGCATTTCTTCTTCACAGCAGTTGCGACGATCGTGTATCTCTAATGGGAGAACTAGTCATACTCTCAACGTGTCGTGTGATCCGGTTGGCAAACTCCCCTTTGCTAATTTGGCTGAATTCGAGACAAGATTGAAGATAGAGCCAAAAGGTCCGCCTTGATCTAGATGGCTGATAACAATCCATGTACTTTTGGGGGGGGGGGAGAACAATGGACCAGGTCGTTGAGACCAGGAGTGACTCCGGTGGCAACACGGTGAATATTGTGCACTATGGAGTATTTAGAGGATCTTCCACAATGTCTAAGAATGAATTTCCACAAAAAGAATCTGAAATTATGCAATTAGTGTACTCCGTAGTGGGTGCATCATCATGAATGACCAAGTCCGATTCCGGAGTGACAGTCCAACCGCATTCGTTGGAATTTACAGTTCCCCGGCTTTTTGTCCCAGTCCCAAGCCTTACGTCATCCAATGAAAGCATCTAGGCAGTTTGACTCAGAACACTACAGAGCACAGACTTATCAAAAGGAAATTTAGTCAAGAAGAACCAAAAAAAAACACAGTGTCCGGTGCCCAACTGTTGACGGAATCTAACCGGGGGCCCCCGAATCTCTTGACTTCCAAACTTCCCCGCTTGAACAATGTCATCTCTGGCTTAGCTCTCTATCCACCATGACCTCAGATTCGACTCTCTTGTAAGCCTGGTGCATCCTACTTTCAGAATGACCTCTAACGTTGTCTTAGACATCGCCCAACCGAGGCTCTCATTCTCCCAACTAAGCGACGCTTCTTCCCATTCAAGATCCCTAACTTGTTCGTTGATTAATCTGCTTATCTTCCGTGCGCAACCTAACCAAAGAGAGCTTTCTTTTAGTCACACACAGCTTCGCAACTACATCAGTACTGTGGATCCCGATCGCATTTATGTCGTCGTCGAGAGAATCGTGTATTCAATACACATATCGGGACAAAAACGCGAGACTGTAGCGGTCATCCCATTTGAGCCGCGCTGTCTGGTCGCTGGACATGGTTGGATAGTAGTGGGGGGTCCAGAAAATGGCGAATGTGCATTCATTCGCATCGGCGATCGCGGAATGCAGATCCATGGCGATGCACCCTTCCAAGCTGATGTAGATAGTGCATTCCCCCTCGATCTCGACCAGTCAAGCATGACATCGGGGGATTTCAGTGGCGAATCTGCGTCAACCCGGTATCGGAGCAGCAGGTCATCCCCCGAAGTTGAGCTCCACCGATTCGGTGGGAGTATTGTCAATTCAGTGACCATCCATCGCTTCTATGGTGCCAGTGAGGATTTAGCGGATGAAGATGTCGTGGTGCTGAGGTGGGCTCTGGCCGGGAAATTGGTGTGTGCTGGCTATGCTAACTCATAACTAGCAATAATGATCGGACAGTCACGGTATATTCCCTGACTCGCGAGAAAGTCTTGAAGGTCCTTCATCATTCCACTTGTATGAACTATGCGACGATTTCCCCTGACTCTAAACTGCTCACAGCAGTAGGGGATGAGAATCACGCCTACTTTTATGAAATTACTCGCGATTTGGAATCTTCTGGGACAACCGAATTCGGTGCGAAGCTCACGGGGTGGGAATGGGAGCTTATCAATCGTCTGGAGATGAATCTTGGCCTGCGGGCGGAAGATGCGTGCTGCTTCACCGTTGCTTTCTCGCCATCCAGCCGCTTGTGTGCCATCGGATCCCAATCTGGCATCATCACAATTATCGACGTCGAGACCATCTACAAGAACTTTGGTGATTTCGATGACGACTCCGCTGTTCTTTGTCAATTCTCGGCGTCAAGATCATGCGCCGAAGGTGGTGCCGTTCGTTGCATGGCTTTTTCGCCCGAGCCGTGGGACCTTCTTGTTTGGCTGGAGGCCCATGGCAGAGCCGGTGTGGTCGACGTTCGCCAACATTTTATGCGCAGGCAAATTCTCCATTTAGATTCCGATGATCCGCAACTGCAGGAAGTGTACACGGACTTTTCGACAGAGAATCTCGAACGGAACCCAATGGGAGATGATCTTCTGGAGACGCCACCACGAGTGAGACTCGACCACGAAGATTTTTCGATTGGACGGAACGGAGAGCAAACGGAGCGTTCGTCCCTGCGAGAGTCCTTAATTCAAGATCTCACCGAGAGAGAAAGGTTGATTATGGAGTTTTTAAACACGGCACGCTGGACCTCGCGGCTGGAAGAAGGACTCACTGAACGACCAGAACGCTCGGCTAGGGCAAGCAATCAACCTCAACTAGTGGCTTGGTCGCAAAATCAGGGTTCCACAGATGGTACCATTCACTCTAATCGTCCTACTTCACCCCTGCATCGCTACGATCCTTCTGATGTCTCCCGAGATCGCCAACTGGGTCGCACTGCGTCCAATCCAAGAAGCCAGAGCTCGGTGGTGGTATCTCAAGGGAGCCGATCTTCGGAAGCGATGTCCTCCCATGATCGCCAATCGGGTATCACCCTAAGTTATTCCACCTCACATTCAGACCTTGCACCGCCCAGGTCAGAAGTAATATCTCAGAGTGGTGCCGACCCTGAAGCGGCCAACAACGAAGCTAGCATTTTAAGTGAAGCGATTGAACCTTCTAATCGAAGCCTAGACATCCATAGTCTGAACCATCGATCTCGGCAATCAAGCTCCATTCCCCAACGCATCGAACGACTACAAACCGGAACGGAACGAAGACATGATAATTCACGCCTCACCACATATGAGATTCGTGCGAATGTCGTTGCTGAAAGACTTCGGCGTCAGCGCCAGATTGCCAATGAGGTACACAACCGCTCATTTGAAAGGGAACAGCGGCATCGCCAACAGCTTCTCGGGTTTGAGCAGACACACTCCCCCCGCTGGATCAGAAACATCATCAATGACCTTCCCGATCGAAATTTAACGAGTGGCTGCGGCGCCGAGGAGCCAGATTCTACTGCTGGAGTTGGCTGGGGCGCAGATGGACGCACATTGTGAGTGTGTGTAGCAAATGTACGGAATCAAACTAACTCTGACAGGTATATCGCAACGCTGGAAGGGATTTTTGAATTCCCGTTGGACATTCACGATCGGAAAACATTTCCCGTCTTCTCTTGCCGTTGAATACCTGTGACTGGTGTTAAAGGGGTTTTTCTATGTAACGTCATTTACTTTCTCATTTACTTTCCGTTTTTTTTTTTCACATTTCCAAGTCCTTTTTTCTTCCTTTTCTTCTTCGCTTCTGATTATCCAGATTTTACAAAGGTCCGAACTATCTCTGCGCAACGGATCTGCTGCTAAACAAGGATGGCCTACAGTCTTCACTTTGCACAAAAGGGACTAATTGGCTTTTTTTTGTTAGGAGTCGCTCTTGCACTGCTACCAAAGTTAGTCTTTTTCTCATATGGAGTCGTTATCATGCTACATACCCTTCTGGCGCTCAGGGGCGCACATCATCTTGTCTTGATCCCATTTGTCTTATCTATGCCACATCCACAGTTCTTGGATGACCGATTGAAATACAAAAAGTTCATTCATTACTTGACTTTTTGCCAATGCAATCTTGTCTGAACTTGTGAAAAAAAAACATGAAGGCATCATTGTCGTAGCATCACGTGTTCGATGCCATGCTTGGCCCGCTCAGAAGTACGTATATATTAGCGGGATGTGCTAGGATTTTTAGCCTGGTTCTAAGATGTCGAAATGAGAGAAGTCGCATTATAGCGTTCTTTTAGGGGGTTGCAGTGGACCTGTAATTGAGGTAGATAAATCTAGCAAATTTTGACAACGAAAAGGCGAAGAGCTGTTTAACAATAACTGCCCATTGACATGAGAAATAGTGACTTTAAAAAACTGCTGTGCCAACAGTACGTCCCTTTTTTCCCAGCAATCTTAGTTTGTAACAATTCAACCCTTTTAAATAGACAAGTTGCTCAATCAACAAAGTCGAAAGTCTCTTTCCCTATATTTCCCCCACCAGTGAGTTGCTTCACGTAATGCCATCTTCATTGTGTGGGTGTAACAAATTCCAAGCTTCTAATCTTTCTGAAAAACAAGATCTAAAGTTACAGAGGATACAGAAATTTCAGGTTTTCCCGATCGGTCTTATCATAGTCACGATCACCAATGTGAACAAGCTGGCCGCCAAAATGGATTACTCCGTCTTGGTCAGAATTCGTATCGGTTTCGGCGAGGAGCTTCTCTCGGCGTTTGTTTTCCCGTTTTAGGTAAAATCGAATGACGATACACATTGCAGGCGAGATCAACCAGAATGCAGTCATTAAGGCCCAAGGTAAGACATAACGAGGGATGTATTTTGATCGCCAGAACCTATACATCATGTCAGTGCTGTATTCCCGAAAAAACGCCTCAAGGTAAGACCAACTCGGGGGATATCATGTTTGCAACAGAAGCAGCGACAATACAAGAAGTCATTAGGCAGAGCTTCTTTGTGTGTCCGGTTGTTGTCGTTCCAGCCCAACTGAGACCGAGAAGGTAAGATGGCTTGAATGTAGAGATTTGGCTACCAACTACCAGGGCCACCTTGTTTGACCACGGAGATGCCAACTGAGAAAGAATTAATACGCCAGAATGGAGGTGCCAAAGATGCATTCACTTACCTCAATGATGCCACCGACAAAGCAAGGAATATAGGATATGGCACATGTGTACCCAGTGCCGAGACGTGTGCTATAAAGCAACAGCGCAGACACGATTATCAGAATGAATCCCCAAATTGGCTTTATAATATTGAATAAGGCACTCTCAGCTGGAGTGAAGCCAAACCCGACGACGATAAGCGGGAGCTGAGTTGCACCCAGGGACTCTTCTTCGGAGGGAAAAACGCCTGGTGAAGAATGGCGGTTGAGGGAACAATTTGGGACTCGGTCTGCAAAGGTTAGCTCCATGTAATTAAAGCCGCGGAGGTTGTACTAACCATTCCTAATAAAAACCGCACAGCCATCATCTGTTTACCAGTCTTGACTGCAGGGTGAACCCCAAGTAACAGGGCCCAGAGGAAGAGCGACCCGGTAGTAAAGTGCTTGTGTCCAACACGTTGCGAGATCCAAGCACCTGGCCAAAGAGCGACGAGATATCCTGCATAGAACAAGACAAATAGATCATTGTACTCGTTCTTGGACATATGGACATCTTTGAAGGTACCCATGGTACTAGCTTGAAACAGAGTCGACTTGTCGAAGGTGAATAAGGAAGGAGATCCACCATGTTTGGCTTAGAAGGCACCAGAAGTTCTTGCGGACCAGTCTTCCCTCAGCCTCTGGAGTCAAAGGTCTGACCTTGTCCTTGTTTGTGTTGTAAAAGCACGTTGTATCATCGGTGTCGCGCACATCTATCACACGAGAATCATGAGGAGATTCGCTGCCAGACGAGGTGGCTCGGACATCGGCCTCTGTCTTCTCACTAGGGGAAGCTCTGCTCGAGTCCGAGACCGTAGCATCTTTCTCGGACGACATGTTCAATGCTAACTTTGCTCAATAGAATAGAATGCATACTGGCAAACAACAGCCCTGTCCCATCATTTTATGTAGCAACATGGCATCTAGGTCGGAGAGAGCCGACACCAGAGTTGCATTTCCTCAAGGTTCCCAACTGCCCTTTCCGTTTCTGATTTTTTGTCTCGCCTACTGCGGCTGAGATAAGTTGGCACAGAGGCATTCACCATTGCTATGTTCGCCTCTGGTGTTGCTGACAGTCCGCCCTCTGAAACCTTGAGCGCCGGGGAGGAACCTGCCAAGAAGCAGGAGTTTCATTGCCCTCTCTTGGCATTCTCTGCCAAGACGGCTTGGTGGCATTGGGGGACCTTGGGAGTTGATGACTGTTCGGAGCTTGTCAAGCTTGGCCGGCTAAGTTAGGCCCATGCGGTGTGTACAACAAACATCAAGGGCACAGTTTCCGCGATGGAGGATCGCAATCTCCGTACGAAGCCTCGTATTCGGGTCTCAGACAATGTGAGACCTTGATTATACTTGCAAAAGAAGTCCTCAGTGGGGATTGCCGTCTTTCCCGTCTTTGTTTTGAGGACAGAGAGAGAGCTAGATAGAACTATTAGGACGGAGGCTCTAGAAACCCCCATGGATACGCGAGGAAGAGTAGAGGCTATCTATCTACCGATCTGAGCATGGAAGTCTCCTACGCACAAACAACTAGACGTCAGCTCAACTTCGAGCATCTTCCGTACGCACCATCTCATATTCCAAGCGAGCTCCATGAGAATCCAGGCATCTTGGCCGCAAACGAGACCATTTTGGGAGACAACGATTCAGAAGTAAAATTATACGCTGGATCCAGGACAGAAGAGACTTCACCTCCATGATCACCCGGAGCCCATTCTTTCTAAGCTCGCCATCCACATTTCTAGCTTGCACTGCCTGGGTCTTGCCCTGCCTCTCCCAGATTGCTCAGAAGTCACCAAAGAATAGACGGTAGGTAGTTACGTTGAACCCACTCATCGACCTAGATACTCCTAGAAAGATATCTCCAGTGCAGATAGAAGGAATGGTTCTTGGTTGTTCTGCACATTTGCATGATAGGTGTCCAAACTCCCTCACGATCTATAGAACTTCTGAGTTGCTTTCAAAGAGAGAGAAACCCATGGGTGAGGATCCGCCAGGAATCACTAGAATGTCGAATTCAACTAGCTTGGACCGCGCGTATGCTATGGAGATATCCGAGGGATGTTTTGACGACTGCACTGATCGAAATGACGTTGGAAGGGCCGATAGTGGTGGATCGAAGGCCATGTCGGGCGATATGTAATCTACTCTGGGATTGAATGCGAGAAATTTTCTAGAGGCCCGGCGAAATCTATCACATCCACCCAGTCGAATACAAGGAAACCTGCACCCAAGGTAGCGGGAGACCATGATTGAGTCGCTCACTGAGCTAATTAACGTAGGTGCGTGAACTATCATTGACGAGGAAAGAAATTTAGAGCGGGCTATTAATTCATTAGAAAATTAGCCAAAAGAGTGGTGGAATAATGAGTATTGGGGAAGCAAACGAAGTCGAAGCGTTCCAACGCTGGACCATCAGCCCATGCGGCCGTAAAATGGTGTCATCGCTACAGACAAATAGAGATATGTCTATTCTTAGTTACCGGGCTTTCCCTTAATGAGCTCTCAACTGGAGATATGGCGCAACCCACCCATTCATGACCCTTGCAGGTCAGGTTTTTGATAAGCGATCTAGTCCAACTTCTGGACCTGGCTGGTGATGGCAAAAAGCTGGTAACAATGACCAGCGGTGTCCGAACTTAGCCTACTGTAGGTCACCAGCCAGGTAATCGGATCCAAAAAGAGTTGCTAATTTCAAATGTTCTTGAAAGACATCTATCTCGGAATTGCCATCGCTAGACATTCTCCTTCTTCCCGGTCCGCATCCGTTACATAACCCTTCTCTGCCATTTGGAAATTCTGACTTAGTACATCGAAGTAATCGATAATGCTAGCTATCATCATAGGAATGATGACTTTGACCCGCGCCGGTGTTCTGAATGGTATACCTTCTGCATGCCCTAGGCTCATGCTTCCACTGCTGGGGAAGACCATCCCTCAAAATTGATGGCAGAAGAGACGATACGTTCGGCATGCGAATGTTTGGTCAAGTACCGAAGTTGTCAATGGTCTGGATCTGATGCAAGCGTACCTTCGGTGATTGTTGAGCTGGCACTTTCTTTGCACAATTTGTTTGACTGTCGAGAAATTTTTGATGCAGATGAGGAGCAATTGATTTTGAGACAGATTATGGATCAGACGAAGACTAGTTATTAGAGGTTAGAAAAGGTACATCCCAAAATCTTAGACAGTGGATGAAACGCTGAATTTGTGAAACTATAATTTCCATAGTGAACAGTTTTCACCGCAGCAGATGATTAAGGTCTAATTTCGCTGGCTCTGACTGGTCCAACAAAACATCAATCCGGTTATTCTAGGCATTTAAGACAATTGAATCTGTGTCAGGGCTCCCACAGTAGCATTTTCGAGTTTCTACATCTTGGCATAGGGCATGCTACTGAAGCAATGTGGCCGGTGCAGTTGATTAGTTGAATTCTTATATCTTAGAAGACGATACGATGTATTCCGTTCTGCATATTTCTATCAATTCACTTCAAGAGGTCACTGTACTACTGCTGGCTGAAAGGCCATCCCGGGGCTCAATGGCCGTCACGTAGATCTCACAATTTCAGGATAATCTTGCCTAGCTTCACATGACAATGTACTTACATGGAAAAGGCGTCTAGCCTCTGACAATATATTAGTATCAAATTTAATCTCTTCATACCTCGAACAGGAACTAAGGATCCTGTTTTAAATAACTGGCACTGTGGCCCAACTCCGCTTATCCATTTTAAATGCAAGGACACACATACTATCTATCTATACTCTACTACTTCATGGGGTTTCATTCAAGAAAAGCCTTTACAGAATCTTGCACTGAAAAAAAAAACTTTGGATACTATCGAAGCAGGCTGAAGTAGTGGCCAAAAAAAAGTAGACTTGGAGAAATATCTATACTTTTCGGAAAGTGATATTCAGGCTCTCGCCCTACACTCCGAGCTTAAGATGCATTTTAATATTGATCCATTCGGTACGTATATACGATTCTGTAATTGCTCCCACTATTATAGCTCCAGTGGCCACAAACATGCCACTTTACTGTGGCAGCATGTGTTACGGGACAAATAACCTGGATGCATCTCAAAACGACAGTGAGGACATGGGAATTAAGGATAAACATCAAGACAGATGACACCAAATTACGTGATCCTCCATTCCAAGGTGCCCTAGTCCTTGCCCGATGTTTCATGGCATGTAAAATGGTTAATAGTTGCTCCATATTGTCGGCAATTTGGTACATCATGTGCTGGTGTCTCTCCGCTGTGGCATTTTTGAATGCTCGACACTTTCGGCCTTGAAGGTCGTAAAAATGTTGGAAACAGGTAGACTCTTGTTCAAGTTATGGAAAGCATCTCTCTCAAGATGCTCCTTGATACTGGCAGGAATACAGCTTCAAATCTCCAGATAGTTAGTACTATGACTTACTATTGTCGGCTTGCTTGGCTATCAAACCTGTTTCTGCTGTCTAATAAAGCATCTTCTGACCAAGATTGCAGATTTACAAGCTATGTGCATTAATGGGAGTGCAGGGAGGACTTTGATTGCACTGGCCTTTCTGGCTTCTTAAAAACTTGACTTGTTAAGGCCTTGGAGCCTTGGGCTCATCTCCTCCTCTGTCTGATGCGTCCTGCCCATGACGATAGTTCCTAGGGATTTATATACGAAAGCTAGCGCTGCGAGGTCTTTTTGTGTCTTTTTTGTAGATTTTAGATTTCTTTCGCGGTGTTTTTTGAAAGAAGAATTTCACAAGCTAAGCCTTTCTCGACTCTCTTCTGTCGAAAATTTTAAAAAGGTGAAAAAGGCCGTTCTATAAGACAAGCTAAAAGGCATGCCCAGATAACATGGCAATGCCGCAAATGTGGCCGATTATCATTGAAAATATAGAGAGGAAGGCGTGTAAGTACAGAAGACTGTAGAGCTACGCTTCGGTATAACTCGGTGAAACCCCACATCGACGTCATATATACTGCCTTGTTGGACCGCCTTGAGTGTCGCTCGGAGAAGTTTGCGAAAGCAGCTTTGTTAAGTGATTGCCTAACAATTACATCGAAACATTCCTGAGACTCACTCGCACGTTCAACTTCTACGCTACATTTGTTCTTTTTGATATTAGAGAACAAGTTCTTCAGGTTCTCCACCAGGACTTGAAGTTGGGCTACTGCCGAGTCGTACGTCGACACAATTTCACTCACCGGTTGACTCTCCATACACGGAGTAACACCATGGCCGACTCGCTGGATTCTCCAATGGAGAAATTACACTTAGAGGGTAAACAATTCGACCCCACGACCTTCGATGCTCGTCTTGCAGATGAAGCAAATGGCAAGATCGAGAACTTTCAAGCTCGGAAGCAAGCTTCTCAGAGTGCCCAAGAGTTGCTAACAGAGCTTGAAAATGAGTTTCTGACCCCATCGGACAAATTCAGCAATAAATGGTTGAATTCTCTCCAAAGGTAAGCATCTTTTTTTCCTTTGCGGTGCATCTGTTAACGGCTTTGGCAGGCGATGGGATGTCTCGACAGATTACGCAGACCTCTTCGAACTCGCCCCAACACAAACACGGACAGTGACTCGTTTCACACGAGAGGGATTGGAAGGACGCGTTACTGGATATCAAGAGGTCACAGTTCCCGCTGCAAGCGCAACAGCCAAAAACTCGACATCACTTCTCCGCCGACCTGCTGGCCGTGCCGAGTTTGTAAGAGGCGCCGCGGGTTTCTTTCCATTCGCTCCCGGGGGACTAGATGCTATAGAGGCCTTGGCAGCAATGGAGGCTGATGCTCAGGTCACAGAACAATCTAGCAACGGGAAACAATCTGGGCTCGATCGCATCATTAACTTTGGCACCGAGGGAGGTCTTCTGACCACACCCCCCGGCTTTGATCATGGTGTCGAGTTCGATGAAGCTGAATCCAAAGATGCTACCGAAAGTGCCCAAGAAGTCGAGGCCGCCCTTCTTCAAGAGGAAAGCGACCTGAATGTGGATCAACCCGAGGATGCTGCGGATGTGGATACAGGAGCAAAGGACGAGCTTGATGTTGTCAGCGACGACGAAGATGAAGAAGATATCGACGCTTTGCTACCGGTTGAGTTCCCGGCATTGGAACCGCGTGGCCAGTTGCTCGCAGGTGCTCACAAACAAAAGGGTAAAGAATGGGCTCACGTAGTCGACATCAACAAGGAAATTCCGAACTTCAATGAATTGGTTCCAGACATGGCCAGAGAGTGGCCGTTCGAGCTCGACACCTTCCAGAAGGAGGCTGTTTACCACCTTGAGAACGGCGATTCGGTGTTTGTTGCGGCTCATACCTCGGCAGGCAAGACAGTTGTGGCTGAATATGCAATTGCCTTGGCTGCTAAACACATGACCAAAGCCATCTATACGTCTCCCATCAAAGCTCTGAGCAACCAAAAATACCGTGATTTCAGAACAGAATTCGACGATGTCGGTATTTTGACAGGTGACGTTCAAATCAACCCAGAAGCCAGCTGTCTCATCATGACTACTGAGATCTTGCGAAGTATGCTGTACCGAGGCGCTGATCTCATCCGGGACGTTGAATTCGTCATTTTCGACGAGGTGCATTATGTGAACGACCTCGAACGAGGTGTGGTATGGGAAGAAGTCATTATTATGCTTCCAGAGCATGTTACATTGATTCTTCTCTCTGCCACTGTGCCCAATACCCGCGAGTTCGCATCCTGGGTAGGCCGCACAAAGAAGAAGGACATTTACGTGATTTCAACTCACAAGCGACCTGTCCCTCTGGAGCACTATCTCTGGGCCGGGAAGAGCAAGCACAAGATCGTCGACTCCAACAAAAGATTCCTTGAGAGTGGCTGGAAGGAAGCCGATGATATTCTGTCCGGCAAAGACAAGGCCAAGGCTAAGAAGGAGGCTGAAGCCCAGGCACAGTCGGCGCAAGCTAAAGCACCAGCCACTCAGGGCCGGGGACGTGGTCAGCCAGCGAATATCAGAGGTGGTCGCGGTGGCCCACAGCGTGGAGGTCCGCAACGTGGAGGTCCACAACGAGGTCGCGGACAGAGCGGCGGACAGTATTCCAACCGAGGAACGGGAAACATTGCTCGCACAGGCCGTGGCGGTGGTCGTACAAGTGCGGCCCAGGACAAGAACACTTGGGTGCATCTTGTTTCCCATCTTCGCCAAGAAGACTTACTGCCGGGATGCGTCTTCGTTTTCTCCAAGAAGCGATGCGAGGAGAACGCGGATTCACTATCAAACCAAGACTTCAGCAATGCCAATGAGAAGAGTTTGACACATATGTTTATTGAGAAGTCACTCACCCGATTGAAGCCTGAGGACCGCACGCTACCGCAAATTCTTCGCCTTCGCGAGTTGCTCAGCAGAGGAATTGCTGTACACCATGGCGGTCTCCTGCCCATCATGAAGGAAGTTGTTGAGATTCTTTTCGCTAGGTCTCTGGTCAAGGTTCTGTTCGCCACAGAAACCTTCGCGATGGGGTTGAATCTTCCCACCCGAACAGTGGTATTTTCTGGGTTCCGCAAACACGACGGCAAAAGCTTCCGTGATCTCCTTCCCGGCGAATATACGCAAATGGCGGGACGTGCTGGTCGTAGAGGTCTTGACACGGTGGGGTATGTTATCGTGACAAACAGCGGGAAAGACGAGGCCCCATCTGCTGCCTCACTGAAACAGATGATTCTTGGAGATCCAACTAAGCTCAGGTCTCAATTCCGACTCACATACAACATGATACTAAATCTGTTGCGTGTGGAAGCCCTGAAAATTGAGGAAATGATTAAGCGGAGTTTCAGTGAAAACGCAACACAAGCTCTCTTGCCGCAACACGAAAAGCAAGTTGAGGTATCTGAGGCCAGTCTTGCGAAAATCAAACGGCCACCTTGTGAAATCTGTGACCTGGATTTGATGACCTGTCATAACGCCGCTATGGAATATCGAAAACTCACAGCCGAATTCCACGCCGAACTGTTGTCATCCCCTGTAGGCAAACGTCTTTTCACAACGAAGAGGTTGGTTGTGTACCGCAAGGTGAGCTTACATATTCTGTTACGATAGTACGTAACGTATCGGCAAACTGCTAACATCATCGATAGGACGGACTACGCACTGCGGGTGTCATCACGCGCGATGGAGTTTCCGCAGGAGTTGTAGGGACCATGCCTTGTATTCAGGTTCTTGAGATCGGAACCATCAGTAGCAAACGACACCCCACCGACATTCTTCCATTCTTGCCTATGTTCCGACCCTGCTTCGAATCGCTACCTAATCGCGTCGATGACATGAGTCTTCGAGTATGCAAGATCCCATTATCCGATCTCGAGTGTGTGACAAACACCCAAGTTAAGATTACAAAGCCTATGTGGTATCTGAACATTAAGAAAGGTAAGAGCACATTGGCTTATCCTTGCATTTCTGTTATCAGAAAACACTAATTCGGGAACAGAGTCCATCAAGTGGGCCGAAAGGGAACTGTGTCAGTTCACCAACTCGTGGATCGATACGACCTGGGACGAAGTCGATTGGCAACGCATCAAGGAGATGGAAATCCGCGATATTCTCGACAAACGACAAATTCAGGCAGAGATTGCTCAGTCATGTCACTGCCTACAATGCCCTGATTTCGTGAACCATGTGGGTATCTCATCTTTATTCATCTAAACCCCGTACTAATGTCGTATAGTTCGAAATGCAACACGACGAGTGGCAGGTCAAAGAAAACATCTCGGAGCTGAAGCAACTGATGTCCGACCAAAACCTTCAACTACTTCCTGATTATGAGCAGCGCATCCACGTGCTGAGGGAGCTCGGCTTTGTTGACGAACAATCGCGTGTACAGTTGAAGGGCAAGGTGGCATGCGAGATTCACTCTGCCGACGAGCTGGTGCTGACTGAATTGGTTCTTGAGAACGTTCTTGCTGAATATGAACCGGAGGAGATTGTTGCACTCCTCTCTGCATTTGTGTTCCAGGAGAAGACAGATAGCACCCCCACCCTCACACCTCGTCTGGAGAAGGGTCAGAAGGAGATCATTCGTATTGCCGAGAAAGTGAATGATTTCCAGATTTTGCACCAGGTCATTCAGTCTAGTGAAGATTCCAACGACTTTGCCAGCAAGCCACGCTTCGGTCTCGCCGAAGTTGTTTACGAGTGGGCCAAAGGAATGTCTTTCAACCGCATCACGGATCTCACTGACGTGATGGAGGGCACTATTGTTCGGGTGATCACCCGACTGGACGAGACTTGTCGTGAAGTGAAGAATGCAGCCAAACTGGTCGGCGACCCGTCACTTCACACGAAGATGCAGCAAGCTCAGGAGTTAATCAAGCGCGATGTCATCTTCGCGGCTTCTCTCTACATGTGAAGATACCCAATCCTTAAGGGGGCCCCATTGGGTAGTCATGGACCTCTACAACTGATGGAGAATCCACAACATGCTAGCAAAGCAAGACGAAGAAATGAACATGAAACTATCAAATTACATAGATTTCAATATTTATCCCAGGTGAAAATCAACTTTAGGTAATAAAGCACCCTTGGAATACATAGCTCAACCCCAAGTGTTACCCAAGCCCATAGTTGCCCATGGCTCATAGTTCGAAAATCCGTGTGTGCGGCCTCTGATTAGCTGCGGGGCGACCGCCTCCCGAGAAGTCGGGAAAATCGAAAAAAATCCCCCTCCTCTCGAAGAACAACATCTTCTCTCCCCTTCTCTTCAAGATCCACACGATCTATTTAGGACATTAACGTCCTTTCAATCTTCGACTCTTTCCCCTCGCCCGTCTTCCATCGGCGCCGGTCCGCGTCTCCCCCCGGGTTTCTTAGTTTATTTGGAGATTTTTTTGACTTTCTGGTGTTGGGGGATTGTTGCGCGATGGATGTCACAGCCCTCCGAGATCGCATTCAGTCTACTCTAGACGCGAATGCCGATATTCGCCGGCAAGCAGAGCTTGATTTGAAATATGTATGTGCTGGATCGACTGGCGGGGTACTAAATGTCAGGCTCACACATGGTTGATGTATCCAGGCCGAGACGCAACCCGGATTTATCAATGGACTCTTGGATATCTTGCAGGGCGAGCAGAACAACGCAGTCCAGCTTTCTGGTAAGCTTCTGGGTGTTATATCGGTTCGCGAAGGAAGTTCTGTCTCTTACTGACCCCAACTTTTCCCTACAGCTGGTGTTTACCTGAAGAACCGAATTACACGTGGATGGGCCCCCGTTGAAGATAGCCCGCAGCGTACGCCGATTCCTGATGCCGAGAAGCCCAGTTTCAGGGAGAGACTCATTCCTGCACTGGCCTCGACGCCTCCCAATGTGCGCAATCAACTGGTTCCCCTCCTCCAGAAGATCCTCCAAAACGACTTCCCCGAGCAGTGGCCTGGATTCTTGGATCTTACTCTGCAGCTCCTCGGTACCAATGACGCAAGTACGGTCTATGCGGGTCTGCAGTGTCTTTTGGCAGTGTGCCGGGTTTACAGATTTAAGGCCGGTGAGAAAAGAGAGGAGTTCGATAAGATCGTGGAGCTTTCATTCCCCCAGCTGCTTAGCATAGGATCAAAGCTTGTGGATGAGGAAAGTTTGGAGGCTGCGGAGATGCTCCGTATCGTGGTAAAGGCTTTCAAGCACGCAATTTACGTCGGTTATCCTGATTCTAGTCTGCGCGTGGCTAGGCCGTTCATACTGACTTAATGCGAATTTAGTTCGAGCTTTCTCCATGCCTACAGACCCATCAGGCGACTGTGGACTGGTGCACACTGTTCCTGCGTATTGTCTCTAAGACACCCCCTGCGAGCTCCATGGGTGATTCAAAGGAGGAGAGGGAGATGAACCACTGGTGGAAATGCAAGAAGTGGTCATACGCCAACCTGAACCGCCTGTTCATCAGATATGGCAACCCCACTACGATTACGAAATCATCCACCCCCGACTACACACCGTTTGCGAAGACCTTTATCAGCACCTTCGCCCCCGAAATTCTCAAGGGATACCTGACAGAGATTGACAAGTGGGTGTCTAAGACACAATGGCTCAGCAACTCCGCCCTTTCATATACTTTGGTCTTCATGGAGGAGTGTGTCAAGCCCAAGGCTATGTGGGACCACCTGAAGCCGCACATGGACAACCTAATCGCCCACTTCGTTTTCCCGATCTTGTGTCAGTCTGACGAGGACATTGAACTGTTCGAGGATGATCCATCTGAGTATCTCCACCGCAAATTGAACTTCTACGAGGAAGTGTCTGCTCCTGACGTTGCCGCCACAAACTTCCTGGTTTCCCTCACCAAGAACCGCAAGAAGCAGACTTTTGCGATTCTCACATTCGTGAATAGTGTTGTTAGCAAGTATGAGTCTGAGCCGGAGGAGCAGAAGCAGCCCAGGGAGAAGGAAGGTGCTTTGAGAATGATTGGATCGCTTGCTTCCGTCATCCTGGGCAAGAAGAGCCCGATTGCCGATCAAGTTGAATACTTCTTTGTCCGTCACGTTTTCCCCGAATTCCGCAGTCCTCACGGCTTCCTCCGTGCTCGTGCTTGCGACACCTTGGAGAAGTTCGAGCAGCTCGACTTCAAAGACCCGAACAACCTCATGGTTATCTACCGAAACATCCTCGAGTCCATGACCGATTCTGAACTTCCTGTGCGAGTCGAGGCCGCCCTTGCTCTGCAACCTCTTATCCGTCATGATATTATCCGTACATCGATGCAGCAGAACATCCCACAGATCATGCAGCAGCTTCTCAAGTTGGCCAATGAGGTCGATGTGGATGCTCTGGCTAACGTTATGGAGGATTTTGTTGAGGTCTTCTCTGCTGAGCTTACTCCCTTCGCTGTGGCGTTGAGCGAGCAGCTTCGCGATACTTACATGCGTATTGTTGGTGAGCTTTTGGAGCGCAATGCTTCCAAGGGTGGCGACGAGGATGGCTACGGCGACTTCTTGGACGACAAGAGCATTACCGCTCTGGGTGTGTTGCAGACTATTGGCACCCTCATTCTCACGCTCGAAAGCACCCCTGACGTGCTTCTGCACCTTGAGACCATCTTGATGCCCGTCATCAGCATCACCCTGGAGAACAAGCTTTATGGTAAGTTGTTTAATCTATCAAGTGGATGTCCAGCCCTAATTGGTAATTAAAGATCTCTATAACGAAATTTTCGAGATCATTGATAGCTGCACATTCGCATCCAAGACCATTTCCCCGTCCATGTGGCAAGCTTTCGAGCTGATTCACAAGACCTTCAAAGCTGGTGCAGAGCTGTATCTCGAAGGTAAGTGTTTTACATCAGTTCCCGCGATTTGAAATTCTATTGACCATTCTGCGTGCAGACATGCTCCCCGCCCTTGACAACTATGTCGCTTATGGCTCTGATATGCTGGTTCAGAACCCAGCCTACCTCGACGCTATGGTCGGTATGGTGCAGGACATCTTCTCTGACGAGAAGGTTGGTGGCGTTGACCGCATCTGCGGGTGCAAGCTTGCTGAGACCCTGATGCTCAACCTTCGGGGTCACATTGACCAGTATATTCCCCTTTTCATTGAGATGGCTATGCGAGTCATCGACGCCGGCGAGGCAAGCACCAGATCGTACCGCATCCACTTGATGGAGATGGTCATCAACGCCATCTACTACAACTCAGCTCTCAGTCTTCAAGTTATGGAGGCCAAAGGCTGGACCAACAAGTTCTTCAGCACATGGTTTGCCAACATCGACAACTTCAGACGTGTACACGATAAGAAGCTGTCAATTGCCGCAATTAGCTCACTGCTTACTCTGAAGGCTGCCGATGTTCCGGTCAGTGTCCAGCAGGGATGGCCCAGACTTTTGCAGGGTGTGACTAGACTCTTCCAGACCCTGCCTGCTGCTCTCAAGCGTACGTTTCCCCTAACCCCCCGGCATGTTCCCCTAAGGCTAAGAAATTATTCAGAACGTGAGGATGCTACCAGGGAGTCCGACTTTACCCTCGATGACGAGGATGATGAGGACGACGAGGAAAACGACTGGGATGGAGATGTTGAGTGGGACGAGAACGAGGTTGAAGCAGCTCTGGAGGAGGACGATGTCCCCGACGAGAGTGCCGCTTACCTCGACTTCCTCAACCAGGAAGCACAAAAGTTCGGCTCCTACGCCGATGATGACGATGATGACATGGACGAGGAAAGCCTTCTGGAGACCCCTCTGGACAAGGTTGAGCCATATGGCATGTTCAAGCATGTCCTGCTGAGTAAGTGATCTCTGCGAGAGCATCCCGGATCCTTTACGTATCACCCGCTAATCTCAACTCCAGGCCTTCAGCAAGAACAGCCCCAGCTATACGAGAGTTTGACCAAGGTCCTCGGCCCCGAAGAACAGCAGGTCATTCAAGGCGTCTTCCACGAAGCCGACGCCAAGGCCATGGTCGCCGCTGCCAACGCAGAAGCTGCCGCCGCCGCGGGCATGCAGGCCAACGGCAACTAAGAGACCGATACCGGGATGGATTGAGAAAAACCAAAAAAAGCCTCGAATTTCCAATGCCTCGGCCGTCTAGTCTCTATTTCTTTCCCCATTTCCACATTTTCCTCACGAGACCATATGCCCCTTTCATGTCTTTCCTGCTTCTTTAGATCATGTCCTATCTGCTCTGTACCTCCGTGTTTCTTTCGTCATGTCTTTTCCATGCCATGCTCTCGCTGATGTACTCTTAAAAGTCCTACCTGTGGACATTCCGCTCGAGGGTATTTCCCCCTCACCCTCCTTCTAATCTTTTTCGATGCACAGATTCCCCTGAAGACACCCTTGTTTCCTCATGATATAGTACATCAGCCATGCTACGAATGTTGGATAACAGTTCTGGAGCCTGTAGTGCCGTAGATACCAGCCACTTAGGTGGACTCGGAATAACTCCACATTGTTATGTTGTACACGAAGTTTTCAAACCCACTCACGTAGGTATCTACAGGTCTCGAAAGACGCACAACAAGGCGCCAAATCCAACAGATGAATTCCCCCAACAAGGTGGCTGCAGATTTTGATTTTTGGAGGAACACCCTTGAGACCCTTTTGGGAGTTCCGAAGGCTCTGAGTGCCGAATCTCACTGGCACGATGCTTTCATGCCAGCCCATTATCGGAGCTCCCGTCTGGATAAATCCCAAACTCACTGCGCTCGAACTGGAGATGATGGTTAGCTTGGAAAGAAGCCGGTTGGCCCAAGTGTACAGAGGACTATCAAAAATGGATAGGTGATGAAGATCGAGTTGTCTATCTCGCCTAATTGCCCAGGAATTGGAACAAGTGCAAGTGATGAAGCATACCGTATCCATATCATGTAGACACTGGAGCGTGCCACGCAATGTGTTGCGACTGAAATAACCGGCCTTGCTGATCAGCACACTGAGCCAGCACTCCACTACCTCCAGGAACTGCTTCATCTACTGGTGCTGTGCAGCTGATGTGATGACAAAAACTGTATCATTCAACCCGGAATCAGGCACTAGCCGCACTTTTTCACTTTGCGAAGTTCGAACCCCTGAGGTGCGCGAAGATGCTGTATTGAAGCTAGGCACTCCTGTAGCACCTGCTCTGATGGTCCCTGAGCTCCAATAGTCACCGGCTTCCACTGAAGATTTTTCCTGCGCTCTTCGCTACGATGAATAGCCCCGTCATACCAATGAAAGCCGCTTCTTTTGCTACGAGTGAGGTACATTCAACCAGGCAAAATCGCATTCTGTTGATCACAATCATTGTTTTAGCTATGCAAAAAGCAAGACAGGCAGATATCCAATTGATTTTAATTCTTTTTTAGGTAGAGAAAGACTGACTAGGAGTTTAGAGCGAAGAAGATGTGAGGTCAAAACAAACGTGTCGAATGACGTCATCTGAATCAGAGGCAATTATCAGATCCGGACGTCGGCACGGTTCTCTTTTAAATGTCAACTTGAAGACCCGCATCAATTGATGTTATAGGAGCAGGCAAGCTCTAGATTTACTTGCGATTTAAAAGTCTTTTGATGTCCGTTCTTGCTATAAAAGTCTTTCCATCCATCTTCCATTCCATTGCTACATCACCGGGCAGGTGGAACAACAATGCAATGGTTAGCAATAGACAATTGGCCATATCTGGGACTAGCTAGCCGTGAGATAAGACGGATGCTAGTTGAGAGATGTTATTATTGTAAAGCAAAGAAGTTGAGGAAATAGTCCAGTACCGATGCACCTATCAGGATCTATGGTTGTACAGCCTAGTAGTACAACTAGCAAGTAAAGATGATTGTACCCCGAGAATCATATGTAGTTATTGTAGATAATGGGGTGCAACACTATTGAAATATAAAGTTGGTAGTTGTACGTCGGTAGAGCATAGAGACACGTCTTCCAAGTGCCACTCCACAACGTCATCATGATGAACCCCAATGACCGGTTTAGCTAATGTCAGTTGATTTCCAGAAAGGAATAAAAGGAGCACCTGTTTCTTTTTAGATTCCAGTTTTGAAATGCAAATACTCTACATCATCCATCACTAGGGCTGTAAAGGCTATATATCAATTGAAGGTCAGTATCAGGATCCCCATCTTACATGTCATTTTCCCTCTTCAATTAAGATACTCACACTTGTCCCTCTCCGTAGCACATTGTCTCCAACTCCACAGCATCCACAACAATGTCTGCTCCCTTATCTGGCCGCCAATCTCCCCCTCCGGAGCATCAATCGGGCGCCCAGCAGCAGGACACTCCCGGCTCTGGCAAGACCAATGTCGGCAAACACCCAGCTCCCGAGTTCTCGCATAAGTCGTCGGAGGACTTTAAGAACAATGTTCTGACGAGCAACCCTGAACATCCGCTGGAGAAGATTGAGGCGGAGAAGTTCGCCAAGGGAAAACAACATTAAAATGGGGCATCTCTTGCACGTGCTTGTGTTTTCGTATTTTGGATATTGATGTCATGAAGAATGAGCTCAAAGAAATATGTTCCTTTGAGCTATGTACTTAAAGTTAAGAAAAACGAACAAAATCTTTGGGTGATATCAAGTTTTATGTCCTTTTGCATTGCTTATTGAGTAACCATAATTATCAAAGGCTCGCTTGGTAGCAAGAGGACCCAAAGGTTATTACACAGGCAGAGTGGGGGGGAAAAAAAACTATGGACATGGAATAGCATCATAAAAACGGAGAGGATAAAGCAGTCGACCCAAAGGAAACACGCCCAGCGCAAATAATCATCTCCGTATTAACTTCAGACCTCATCCCGATCGCTTAAGACTTCTCAGTGGGCGCGACAGCAGCTTCAGGCTGAGAAGGAACAGTAACAGGCTCAGCAGAGGTAGCAGCAGTCTCGGCCTCCCCAGTCTTACCCTGCTTCAGATCCGCTAGACGACGAGCCTCGGCGTGGATATCACGCACCTGCTTATCGGTCTTAACGTAAAAGTCACGCAGCTTCTGGCCGGAAGGGTGCTCCAGAGCCTTCTCGAAGTACGAGCTCAAACCGCGCCAACCAGTAACCGCCTTAGTGGAGATCTTGTAGCTATCATCGATGCCCTTAGCGCGCTCGGTGGCATTGTACTTTTTATCGAAGTTGGCGAGCGCCGAGGTGAAGCGGCTCGAGACTCCGTGCTTCTGGTCCAGCGCGATCGCCTTCTCGATCGCATGGTCGCTCACAACGTACCCATGTGCCAGGTATTCTGCGAAGATGCGGGATCGGGGCTTGTCTTCCTGTGCGATGTGGTGCTCTTCTTCCTTGATCTCGCTGCCGGCACCGGAGGCTTGAGCTCCAGCTAGGTCTTCGATGTTGTGGACTGCTTCGACATGTACAGCAGAGGCACCGAGTTGGGTCTGATCTAGGAGGAGGGCTGTTTTGGCAGCGCTGTTTTTTTTTTTGAGAAATAGGGTTAGTTTGGGGTTTCATATGGGCTGAGTGCGGGATGCGGGAAATGAAGTTGAAACTGAGTGCGGGGTAGCAGCTTACGCCTCCTTTTCAAAGGTCACAGCGGCAGACTTTTGAGCATCGGCTTCCCCGGAGACGGGAGTGATAGAGAGAGTGACGATTTTTCCACTGCGTCAGTTAGCGTATTGTCAGATAAAATAAGATCTGCGACAATTTACCAGAAGCTGAAGAAGTCACGAACCTCCTTCTCGGAGGTTGTTGACGAGATGCCAGAAACGTGGACAGTGGAGTGAGACATTATGATGTTAGGTAGATGGAGAAAAGAAGAAACCTGCAAAAGAAATCTACACGTCGCACCATTTCCCCGGTGGGATGCGACTATTTATCTAACGAGGCCTACTGCGCCACAAGTGACGTGGTGACGTATTGGCGGGGCTGTTGCACCGCCTCGCATAGCTAATTTCTTTCTGGTTTCTTGTTTTATTGAGCTGTTTAATTGGGCTACCTGATTTCTGATGGAGCTGTCTCATTTCACATGTCAAAAATAGAATTTCATTGAATGAATTTGCCTGCAAACCTCCCGATGTGAAAAATTTGGGCTCTGCCTTTATGGTGGTTATGCAACAGAATGATATGGGTTGGGATGGGAGTCAAATCAGGCATCAAGAATCTTTTCAGCCAGTGTGGCAGAAGCCTTACTTGCAGAACCCTCCCTTTGTCTCTTTAAAGTCTGCTCCAGATCCCGCACGCGCCTCCTGAGCTGTTCATTCTCCCGCTTCATGTATTCTACTTCCAGCCTGTGGTGTGTGGCCTCCTCAAACCGCGTCAGCGAGCTTCCAGGTGAATAGCCTGGGTGGTTCTGTGATGCCGAGTTCCGGTATGGGTAGACGCTGTTGTTGTTGTGGGAGAACGAGGATAGTGACCCGATGGAGGGTCGGCGAGATGTGACGGATGGCTCTCGACTGCGAACCGTTCGAGTATGGTCGGTCGGGCGATATAGGATCTCTCGTGATGGAGCAATTCCAGTGACACTTGCGGACTGTGGACCCTGGTTTGCTGAACTATGTGAACTGTGGCTCGAATTGGACCGGTTTCGTCGCGCCGAGTGAGAAGGGGCTGAGCTGCTGAGGGTGGGCGATGCCCGTGCGCCATCTGCCTCGTTAAATGTCGAGGTGGAGGATGTTGTCGATGCCACGGATGCTGTCTGCTGGCGGAGAATAGATAGTTCTCGGGTCAATCGATTCACCTGCGGGGAGTTTTGATACGTTGGCGATTAAGGGGTAGGCATACTTCGGGGCTCTGAAATTCCACTTACCATCGCTTCTTGCTCTTTCTCAAGCACTAAATGGAGGTCCGAAGGCGTCAGCGGCTGAGGATGGCGCAATGGTCCTTGTTCCGTTAGTCGAGGAGCTCGTCAAAGTGACGCCTGCCACTAGGGACTTACCCTGGACAGTTCTTGTGATCCTATAATCGCCAGTTCCGAGTGGTGGACTCCCTGGGGGCGGGAGTGCTGCAAAGATATGAGGACCATGAACTGGCTGTCGGGGTGTTGGAGCCTGCGATGCCATAGTAGGTGCCGATGTCGTTGGACGAGATTGTGCCATAGTAGAGTTGGAACCAGCGCTCACGTCGGAAGCCATGACCGTCAGGAATGTTCGGATGAGATAACTGGTAAGTTTGCTTTTCAGTACCTACAGTCGGCATGAAAGTCAAGGCGATCGAACTATAAATGTTTCAGCCTTGGAATCAATAATTAGCAACAGTCAGGCTTCCGGAATTGTGAATCAAAATACCCCTTGATGCAATTCCAGAGAGACTTTTGAAACATACCAGTTATGGAGGGGTCAAAGGCCTGATCCTTTCTAGAAGGGATTTGAAATAGGCAGGAAGCGACCTCAGAAATTTGGGCTTCTCTCTTGCTGTGAGATGTGAATCCTTTGTCGCTTTTGGATTGGGCCGTGCACGTAATCTGCATCTACTGGATGTACCTGTACATTGTAGCTATGGAGATAAAACGGTGACATTCCAGCCTTTAGGAACACATCTACACTACTTGGCAATAGGACAAAGCCGACACATTAAAGGGATGATTTAGTAGCTGTCTGATGACAGAGTTCATGAACACATTCGTTAATCTCCTTGCAATGATACAAATGAACGGAGAGAGAGGGCGAAGTTGACATGGTGGTCAGGCCCCTTTTGAGGCATATTGGATGTCTTAATTGAAGCAATCTAGTAAATTGAGCGATAATAGGCTTAATCCGTCGATCAGCATCTCCAACCCTCCTTTAAAGCCCCCATAGATCATCATATTCAACATATCAGAGCTCTGGAGATGCTGGACTTTCCTGCAAACCAAAAAAAAAGCTCCACTTTGGTCCCGGGGACCTCGGGACCTTGATCTGCGTGTTACATAAGCCTGCGATCCACGAAAGAGGGTAAACAACTTCAAAACGAGATTGTGGATTTTGAAAGTGAAGTCTTCCTAGACCTATCAGGGTCTCAGCCTGTCTCCCCAGATATCTTAGCTTGCATAGCGACCTGGGCACTTCCAAACCCCCGCCCAATGAAACGATGGCCCGACTCAATCCCCCTGACGCTACCCACATTCCACCCATTCTGAAACCGCTCGCTCCTTACATCAAGTCACGCCAGGAAACTCTTCGAATTCGCCAGGCGCTGACGTCTTATCTGCGTTCATTTATCGAATTCGACGATCAGTCAAGAGATCTTGCTCAATCCCACCTGTCGTTGTGTGCGTTGACCGACGGTGTTGCCAGCGTCAAACGTTTCCCTGCCGACCTTCCTGGGCTGAGGAAGGATTATCTGAAAGCGTTGTCCGCCAATGTTGCAGCCCGCAAAGATTTTGCCTTGGTATCTGAGAATGTCGCCTCGTTAAGGCGCCAGAGGACGTCCCCGAACCGACCTTCTGAAAATCCGGACCTGCAAGAGCCCGGCACCGAACTTCGTGAATACCTTGCCCTCCTGCGCGATCGACGCCGCCATTCCAAGCTGCAGGTGTTTCGGAATTATCTTGAGGAATCTAAACCGCGCGATGCGCGAAGCTTCGAGGACATTGTCAATGATGGGGATCAAATTCCATTGCCGGAGGTAGATGCAGAGGCGGGGCGCATGGGCACCGAAACGGACTTGGATGAATTGTTACATAACCTTGAGAGAGCAGTTGTCCGCGCGAGGACTCAATTGGACCGCCAAAAGCAATTATTTGAGAAAGCCAAAGCACAGCATGATCCCCGAGCTGAGACTCCAAATGCCAAAGTGCAAGCCTTGCAAACGACCCGGGACGAGCTAGTACAATGGGTGGAGGAACGGCTGGTTGGTCAAGGGGATCTGGATGAAAGTCTGCCCCAAGAACTTCATCCGGAGGAAACCAGGGAGGCCCAGCGGGGGCTAGAGAATCGCAAGAGGCAAATTACAGAGCAATATGCTGCATATCTACAAGCCCGGCGAGATCTCCTCGACGCCGCATCCAGAGCTTGTCAGCCAGTCAATGTGCTCCAGAAGCCTCCGTCACGGACAACCAACAAGAATGAACTCGCCATGCCAGAGATGCTACCACCCAACCCAATCGACGTCCTATCATACACAAACGAAAATCTGGTCCCGCTATTGAAGAGTGAAAAGTCGTTAGCTCTCCAGAAATCCTATTTATCAGGCTTGCTCTCAAAAGAAAAGTCCACGACCCTCCGCGCTCTCAATCGTCTGAGCGATGAATCCCACTTACTCCCCGAATACCCTACTCCCGCCCGCCAGTCGCGGGCTAGTGCTCTCAGCTCGCGAATCCAGACCCAGAGATCAGATCAGACCCCGGATGAGGTTGTTGATCTTGCTGAGGCATGGGCATTTGCTTCTAACGCTGCAGCTGCCAATGAGCGAGAATTTGTTCAGCAAAAGATCGCATTGAGTACTGAGGTTGCGCAGGACGCTCGACAAACCCTGGCTGATGTATGTAGGACCCTCAATCAAGACCTCGATGAGGTCATGCTGCAGGGTCAGGAGAACCGAAATGGGTCTGATTCCTGGGCCTTCAATGCTCGCTCCGCGAGAGAGATGTCAAGAGGTGGGTCACAGATTGAGAAACAATCGAGTGGTCCGTGGTCAGGTCTGAATGGGAGAGTGGGGGTTGTAGAATAATTGTACTAACTGTGTTGTATTCATTGTATTGATACTTCCTAATGTATAACATATCCTACCGGCTCATTTCAACCTTTACACCAGCCATGTACCTCGGTCTTCTAGTGTAGCTCTGAGTTGTCGAGGTTTGTCCGCTTTCCGACGGTGCAGGGATTTTCGAATGTCATAGCATCCAATTCGATTGTATAGGGCACTTGAATCAATTCTAGCAGGATAGTCTGGTTGTCAGTTAGTTCCCATAACAAAGCTTGTTATATGCAGTAAATTCCAGATCCTTTTTCAAGATGACCATGAAACTATCTAACTTGCGTTTTTCACAAGCGAGCCGGCCACCCCAAAACACATGGTAGATGAGATTTCAATATCTTCACAACCATGAGTTTGTTTTAGCTCTTTGTTTGTCGATAGTCATCGATACGACTTATTGATACTATCCATCAATTTCAAACATGGTAGAAGGGCACAATTAAGTTGAAACCTTTCTTCAAACTCGCTTAGGAGACTAGAGATCACCCACAACATAGGAGACCATACGGAGAAGTTTCTAAAGACCCTCCCGAGGTACAATTCGAGGAAGATTATCTCCCGAAGTCATTTATTGCGAGGTTCACGATGTAAAGGTTCCTTTTGTAAGGTCAGAGTCTCAGTTCTGAAACAGGACACGGAACATACGCTGATACTTGTGGTTGGTGTATATATAAACAGATCCGCCAAATCAATTCAAAGTGGATGGATCCATGGATAACTACTCCGTAGTCACGGCTTACTTATTTGTCATGTTTGATTATATAAGCCCAGCTGATCACCTCAGGGCATCCCTGGAGGAGCCTAGGACATGCACTTTCTTCATTTTTTGACGATTTCAAAAGCCGCCCACTACGTCCGATAGTTCTCTTCTGTGCTGCAACCTAAAAATCACTATGGGTGTGGGAACCTCTACTCCCTCTTCGTTATCTACCGATGCAATGGATGATCGCCCTCATAGTCCCCCTCTTGGTCTCCTGAACTGCATGCTACAAAAGATGGGGGGTTATCACTATCTTGGCTTCTAGGTCTCCATTTCTAGTCCTGAAGATTCCATGGTTTACAACTTTGATTCTATGCTTTATAGGACCATGCTCTCTGTCTACTTGGATCTCCTATATGGGGGTTTCTCCTATCTATCGTCAATATTGTGATGCTGCTTCATGCCGCTATTATCGTTTCAACAATTTATCTCCACTCATGCTTTTTGTCTTGCCTATCATTTACCGGGCGTCAGACCGAAAAGATAAAACTCCCACGCTACCCACGACAGAGACGCAACAACAAAAGAAGCAAGTGGAGAAAGTCTTGCTCTAACATCAATAGGAGATCATGGTAGGTTCAACTTTGCCTTGACCTATTATGTGCGTGTTATGTTGCTGTCAAGCAAACTCGAGGTTCAATTTCAAAATACACCCCATAGATCCCATGTTTATGTGCCCGATTCTCAGACTGATGCTGTGTCCGGGATTATTCAAACCAGCGATCTATTTGTGACCTACACTGCGGGTTACTATTCTCCATTTCTAGACAAAATTACCCGAGAGTCTGGTGGAAGACATGAAACGACCGTTCGTGACCTCATCCTTCTGTCGATTCTTTCGTGGATGCCTGCCACTATTCAAAACAAGCCAAGTTCCTCTCTCTCTTGATTCGTTCTATGATTTACTCAAGGTCCCTCTTATCAGTCTAGAGGGTGGGCTTTCCTCTGTGCAAGACTTGCTGGTCTCGTCTCTTCATTTTCAACCACATCGCTATTGAGACCGACCCCAGAAAGGTCTGGCCATTCTAAATCGTCTGCCTTATCTTCCAATCCAAGCCGACGAGATCTTAAGACTTTAAATCCTTCATGTCTACTCCGTACAACACGAAAAAATCACAATGCTTTGGGGGCCAGTGGGGCTAACTTGATTATCATGTCAGGAACTTGCAAATGATGTCCGGGACCTCACAAGCGACGAAAAGGAGTAAAGGATTGTGACTAAATGTATCAATTAATTGTTAACCCTTGGAGGACTTACTGAAGACCGAGCCAACCACTAAGCAGCCCCAAGTGCCTAGACTCACTGAGCAACGAACACTGCTAATCAAAGATGCATCCTCCGCACGCGCTACTTGAATGATCAAAATCATTGTGAATAGGGATCTTAAACAGGCGTATTAGGTTAGCCAGTTTGGGTAGCCAATTCACTGTTAATTAGGGTTGTGGTGTAATTTGTTGCTTGAAGTCGAGAGATAAGAGATAGGGTGGAGGTCCGGCATCGGCATTGTCCACAGGTACATCATAGGGTGACACGCATGGATTTTTTGCCGTAAGCTCCCAATTGCCTACCATATATTTTATCTTTTCCATATGACAATGTAGATATGGCCATAGAGAATTACCTAGAATCGATATATAAGATAGTATCTACATGGACATCCGATTTAGTGTATATAAGAAAGATATTTGCCGAAAGATCCCCCGTCTCCACATCCAGGTTTTGACTCATCGCGTCCAAAAAAAAAAATTTAGAAAGAAAATAAGAGCCAAAAAAAAAGGGAAAAAAAAGAAAGAAGCAAGGAAATACAAAATCAACCTCTTCCTCAAACCATTAACCTTCCTTATTAGATCCTCCAGATCTAGACCTATATCTAGGTATCATCCCCAATTATCCCCCGGCTTTCCCTCGTTCTTCAAAAGTGGAGCCGTATACGGTGAAGGGAGCAAGCCAATTAGCGACTTTGTGGCGGAAAAAAAAGAATCCCATCAAAGCGTAGACTCATCCTCAACACATCTCTCAGCAATTGAAACATTACCTTCGGTGCGCAATGGTTCTTGCTGCTCGATGTGGGCAGGCCGCGGCCTTGCTGCGCCAGCGCTGCATTGCTGAAACCCGCCCGGCACTCTCTCTTCGCGCATTCTCATCTCAATCCATCCGTTCAACGGCCTCGACTCTACGCTTGCAGAAGATCCCCACGGCTCGATCTCAGCAGCTCCGTTCTTTCTCTAGCACCTTGAACCGCCTGGCTTCTCAGCAGCCCCCAGTCGCCGAGTCTTACCTCGCTAGCGGTGCGGTCTCGACCAGTAGCAACCTCGTCGATGTCAAGAAGGTCCTCGTCATCGGCAGTGGTGGTCTGAGCATTGGACAGGCTGGAGAATTCGATTATTCCGGTAAGTTGGAACCGTTTGGGGGTGAAATTTTTTGGCGCGATTAGATCAACGCGCCAGTCCCCACGGGGGTCTAGACGGCAAGCTTTTCTGCGGGGAAACCTCTAAAAATCAGTTCAGGTGACAGCAGTAACTAATTTCTGATTTGTGGGATAACACAGGCTCTCAAGCACTTAAAGCTCTCAAGGAAGCCGGCGTTCACTCAATCCTGATCAACCCCAACATTGCGACTATCCAGACCGACCACAAGCTTGCGGACGAAGTCTACTACCTCCCCGTTACCCCCGAATATGTTACCCATGTCATTGAGCGCGAACGTCCTGATGGTATTCTCCTCACCTTCGGTGGCCAGACCGCCCTGAACTTGGGTGTGCAGATGAACCGTATGGGCACCTTTGAGCGCTACGGTGTCAAGGTTCTCGGTACCCCCATCAAGACCCTCGAGACAAGTGAAGACCGTGATCTCTTTGCCCAGGCCCTGAACGAGATTGATATCCCTATTGCCGAATCGACCGCCGTTGAGACCGTTGAGGATGCTCTCAAGGCTGCCGAGGAGGTTGGCTACCCCATCATCGTCCGATCTGCGTACGCCCTCGGTGGTCTGGGTTCTGGTTTCGCTTCCAACCCCGATGAGCTCCGTGACTTGTCCTCGCGCTCTCTGTCTCTCTCCCCCCAGATTTTGGTCGAGAAGTCCCTCAAAGGCTGGAAGGAGGTCGAGTACGAAGTTGTCCGTGATGCTGCCAACAACTGTATTACCGTTTGCAACATGGAGAACTTCGACCCTCTCGGAATCCACACTGGTGACAGTATCGTTGTTGCCCCTAGTCAGACTCTGTCTGATGAGGAGTACCACATGCTCCGCACTGCTGCCATCAAGATTGTCCGTCACTTGGGCGTTGTTGGCGAGTGCAATGTCCAGTACGCTCTGCAGCCCGATGGACTCGACTACCGTGTCATTGAGGTCAACGCTCGTCTTTCGCGTTCATCTGCTCTGGCTTCCAAGGCCACCGGTTACCCTCTCGCTTACACCGCGGCTAAGATTGGTTTGGGACACACTCTTCCCGAGCTCCCTAACGCCGTTACCAAAACCACCACCGCCAACTTCGAGCCCAGTCTGGATTACGTTGTGACCAAGATTCCCCGTTGGGACTTGAGCAAGTTCCAGCACGTTAACCGCGACATTGGTTCCGCCATGAAATCGGTTGGTGAGGTCATGGCTATTGGTCGTACTTGGGAAGAGTCCCTGCAGAAGGCCATCCGTCAGGTTGACCCTCAATACCTTGGTCTCCAGGGTGATAAGTTCGATGATCTGGATGAGACTCTCCGCAACCCTACCGATCGCCGCTGGTTGGCCGTTGGACAGGCTATGCTCCACGAGAACTACTCTGTTGACAAGGTCCACGACCTGACCAAGATCGACAAGTGGTTCTTGTACAAGATCCAGAACATTGTGGATTGCAACAACGAGCTCAAGGAGATCGGCAGTCTCTTCGGCCTCAAGCAGGAGATTATGTTGAAGGCCAAGAAGCTCGGTTTCTCTGATAAGCAGATCTCTCTCCTGGTTGGATCCACTGAGGATGATGTACGTGCCCGCCGTAAGTCCTTTGGAATCACCCCTTGGGTTAAGAAGATCGATACCCTTGCTGCCGAGTTCCCTGCCGATACCAACTACCTCTACACCACCTACAATGCTTCCTCCCACGATGTTACCTTCGATGACCACGGAACTATCATTCTGGGTAGCGGTGTGTACCGTATTGGTAGCTCCGTTGAGTTCGATTGGTGCGCTGTCAACGCCACTCTCTCCCTCCGCGAGATGGGCAAGAAGACCGTTATGATCAACTACAACCCCGAGACCTACTCCACTGACTTCGATACTGCTGACAAGCTGTACTTTGAGGAGCTCAGCTACGAGCGTGTCATGGATATCTACGAACTCGAGGCTGCTAGCGGTGTCGTTGTCTCTGTCGGTGGTCAGCTGCCTCAGAACATTGCCCTCCGTTTGCAAGAGAGCGGTGGTGCCACAATTCTGGGTACCAACCCTCTGGACATTGACAAGGCTGAGGACCGTCACAAGTTCTCTTCTATCCTCGACAGCATTGGTGTCGATCAGCCCGCCTGGAAGGAATTGACCTCCGTCGCTGATGCCGAAACCTTCGCCGACACTGTTGGTTACCCCGTCCTGGTTCGTCCCAGTTACGTCCTGTCCGGTGCCGCCATGAACGTCATTTACAGTGTTGATGAGCTGAAGGAGAAGCTCCTGAATGCCGCTGCTGTTTCCCCCGACCACCCCGTGGTCATCACCAAGTTCATCGAGGGTGCCGAGGAGATCGATGTGGATGCCGTCGCTTCCAACGGTAAGCTGATTGTCCACGCCGTCTCCGAGCACGTCGAGCCCGCTGGTGTTCACTCCGGTGATGCCACCCTCGTGCTGCCCCCCGCCAACCTCGACGAGCCTATCATGGCCCGCGTCAAGGATATCGCCGAGAAGGTCGCCAAGGCCTGGAACATTACCGGTCCCTTCAACATGCAGATCATCAAGGCTGACCAGGAGGGTGCCGAGCCCGCACTCAAGGTGATTGAGTGCAACCTGCGCGCCTCCCGCTCCTTCCCATTCGTCAGCAAGGTCCTGGGTACCAACTTCATCGACGTCGCCACCAAAGCTCTCGTCGGCCGTGATGTCCCCGAGCCCGTCGACCTCATGAAGGTGAAGCGTGACTACCTGGCCACTAAGGTTCCCCAGTTCTCCTGGACCCGTCTGGCTGGTGCCGACCCCTTCCTGGGCGTCGAGATGTCCTCTACCGGTGAGATTGCTTGCTTCGGCAAGGATCTGATTGAGGCCTACTGGTCTTCTCTCCAGTCCACCATGAACTTCCGCATGCCTGAGCCCGGTGAGGGTATCCTGCTCGGCGGCGATATCACCCAGCCCTACCTGGCCAAGATTGTCGATTATCTGAACCCTCTTGGCTACAAGTTCTTCGCCGTCAACCCCACTGTCAAAGATCACCTCGAGTCCGCTGCCAACGTTTCCGTGCAGCTGATTGAGTTCCCCAAGAAGGACAAGCGTGCTCTCCGCGAGGTGTTCCAGAAGTACGACATCCGTGGCTGCTTTAACCTTGCCAAGACCCGTGGCAAGACTCAGCTTGATGAGGACTATGTCATGCGTCGTAACGCTGTCGATTTCAGCGTGCCTCTCTTCATGGAGCCTAAGGTATGTTTACGGTGCTGAATGCCCGAAATGAGTTAAGTCACTAACCGATCCTTTCTACAGACTGCCCAGCTCTTCGCTCAGTGCATGAACCAGAAGCTGCCCCGTGTGGAGGGTATTCCCTCCGAGGTTCGCACCTGGTCCAATTTCGTCGGCGGCAAGGCACTGTAAATCTCTGCTTTTTCTTTGCACAAAGTGACAGAAGAAGAGAAGAAAAAAAAAGCCTCACCATGTCGAGGTAAAGAGAGACAGGATGTCAACATCTCTTTCCGCTCGATATCCCCTATGACCTCCTCCGGTCCTCCCGTCATGATTTTCCAACATAGGACAGGATCTAAACTTTCTGTATTGTGTAGTGGGCAGGGCGATCTTGTTGATAGATGGCGCGCATAGTCGTTTCGGCCTATTTTAATTTTGGTACTCTCGGGTTGGAATGTTGTCTTTTCTTTATGAACTGTTGAATTGTTCTTCATCTCTAATCTCTACTCTACGGCGAATCAAGGTCGGATATAGATGTGTAGTGCTCATATCCTCCTGATATCTTACGAATTTGACCGTGCTTTAAGATCCCTCCTTCAGACTGCGTACTTGTGCATCTATTTATTCAGGCTTGTACTAAACATGATTCGTTTCCAGGAGCTCAGCCACAATATCCGTTGATAGGGCTATGAGGAGCTTGAGCCTCTTGTGGGCGCCAATTATGTTGTGGAAGATCATTGATATCTCACTTAAAAGGGCTTCGTGACAGCAAAATTGGCCGACCCTTGCGACCAGTGCAATTCATGGCTGATAGCGTTCTTGAACCTTTGCTTTCGAGGTACCTTCGAACTTCTATCTCCCTAAGATTGCCTAGGTATTGACTTACACTTGCTCCGTACAGTGATATAACTATCTTCGGTTCTTCATCACGGCCAATACCCGAGTGACCTGCTAGCGCCAAGCTCGAGCTTTGGCACATTCTAGTATAGCGCTAGCATACAACATACGAAGGATGATTGGCTTTCGAACCTCCGTGACTCTTCTTGGAGGGCCTAGTGGGAACGCTAGTCATGAAGCAATATGAGTTGTTTTGTAATTTTTTTTTCCTGCTTCCTAACTTGTTTTTCTTCTGCTCAACCTCAATTCCTTTCTTTTACGGCTCTAAAACCCCTCACCTTCGAATCTTGCAAACATGCGCTCATCTTGGTTCCTTCTCTCTACCCTGGCAGCTCTAGCCGTAGCCGACGAGCCTAGCAAAACAACCATCAGCTACTTCGCAATTGACAACGGCTCTGGCGCCAACATCGGTGCCTACTCCAGCACCGCAGCTCGACTGGTTGGCATCGACAAGTACGCCACGACTTACGAGATCGCCTGCTTGTCAGGCGCAGCCAAATGCGCATTGCACCATCCCGCAACCCTAATCCAGGGCGATACCACTTACAGCGTCTCATTTGAAGCAACTTTGGTTACCAGTGGTGTTACGGCCCACGCAACTGCTGCCGAGTCATGTAGTTTCACCCATGTTTCTGAATCTGCCGTGTGCTCCTGGAGTATTGCATACACCGGCATGGAGGATGATGTCACTGTTTCCGATTCCACTTCTAGCACACAATCCATTCCGGCGTCCTTGGTCAGCTACAAGCCTCTTGCTATCACCGATGGTGTCTACGCTCTCAAGGCTGATGCCACGGCTTCGACTACGCCGGTCAAGATTACTCCTACTTCGTCTACTGGCGGTGTTGCAGCTGCCGCAAAGCCTTTGATCACTGCTGCGCCGTTGGGTGTGGCTGCTGCTGTTGCATTTGTGGCTATGCTCTAGGTCTTGAGTTGGAGCCTTTTTCATGTGTGACGTTTAATTAGTGAGAAATTGAGTCTCTGGGTCTATGTACTTTAACTGAGTTATGCTGTTTGTAAATCTAATAGTCACCCCAAACTTGTCTCAAACCTTTGGCTCGAGTCTTTGGAACCTGGCCAAGCACAGATTTTTGCTTGGTAGGATCTGTAGGTCTTCAGCATCTAGGCAGTACTCCTTTGCCTTCATTCACGCCAACGTCACCATTTTTCATACAGATAGAGCCAGTTTCGGCTTCTGTTGGAGTTTGCACCAATGTTCTCTTCCTCTCACTGCCCTTATCTCTGGGCTTGACTTGCATGCCGTAGGAATATGGTTACCATGGTGACAACAATGAGATGCTGGACGGGTTGCTCTTCCCTACGAGATAAATTTGATCTGTAAAAGAGTTCTCATGATTCTCATATCAGGCTGCCTTTTGTGGTGATGTGTGAGAGAGAAACTCTGGATCTTCCTGGATAAATGCCAAGAGATTCAAAAACAATGACAAATATTCACCGCCCTACCCACTCTGATCCTTATATCTTCAGACAATTCTTAATCCAATGTTCAGATCACCGCAATGGCATCAAGCAAAACACTACCTTCGGTGAGCACAAGGACAGTCCCACAGCCTGCCCCCAATGGCATGGGCAATGGCCTGTTTGCGACAGCCGACATCAACCCCGGCGAAGATGTTTTGCACATCAAAACGCCATTCGTGGCGGTTCTTGATTCTCCACGTTTAGAAGACACATGTGCTGGCTGCTTTGGGAAGAGACAGATGCAAAATGGAAACGAGTTGAAGGCATGCACGGGATGTCGTGTCGTGAAGTATTGTGATCGTGTGAGTCGCTATGGAGATAGATCGTTTGCTGTTTCACATTTTTCGTCCTACCAAAGATTCTATTCCGGTTTGGATCGTCTAACGCTTGATTACTAGGCTTGTCAATCTAAAGACTGGAAGTTTGCGCATTCTGTTGAATGCCTCATATTCAAAAATGTCAAACCTATGGTGCTTCCCAACAATGCTCGTGCTCTCCTACGCATAGTGCTGCGCACTGTGCGGAACAAGTACGATTCTGAAGAGTTCAAGGTCTTTGATGGCCTAGAGACTCACATGAATGAGATCTCGGGGAGCCAAGGCCAGTTGGATAGGATCAACCTGACAGCAAGAGCCGTGAAGAGATACTCTGGGACGGACGTGGATGAAGGAACTGTCGCTTCTTATGCTGCTAAGGTAATTGCTCTCAGCCTTATCCCGCAGGCTTTCCATCTAACTATCTTTTAGCTAGATCTCAATTCCTTCAACCTTACCACATCCATGTATGACCGCATTGGCCTTTACATGCATCCATATGCTGGGTTGATTAACCACAGCTGCGACTACAACTCTACCGTTGGATTCGACGGTGAAGAACTGTACGTTAAGGCTATGCATCCCATCAAAAAAGGCGAGCAAATCTTCATTTCCTACATCGACACCACAACGCCATACGACATCCGCTGCAATGAACTGAAAGAACGCTACTTCTTCGACTGCCAGTGCACAAAGTGTCAGATGGGAGCGGAAACCCTTGAAGACCGGTTCCTATCTACACCTGAAGACATGACGCCCCTAGAAACAGCAGAGCGTGAAGCCCTAGAGCTCATGCAGAAAGCAACTGCAACCAGCACAGAGCCAGCAGAGGCAATTGAGAAGCTAGAAGCTGCTATGCACCGGCTCCATGAAACAGCCCTCTGGCCCCTCACCCGTCAGCCATACGCATCTCTCCGCGACAAGCTGATCATATCTCTCCTAACGGCTGGCAACTTCACACGGGCGTTCATCCACGCTGCGATTCGATATCTGCGAATTGATCCTGTTGTTTACGACAAGGCCCATCCCATCCGACACATCCATGCATGGAGCTTGGTCAGGCTCACTGTTTATCTTTCCCAGGAGGGATTCCAGCCTCACCCGAAAGACCCTGTCCAGATCAATGACTTCAAGTTGAACTTTCACTACTTAATTTGGTACATTCTCGCTGAACTTACTAGTACTCAGGCGGAGAGTTGCACCGTGCCCAGCTTTAGGAAACTCGTCGGAAACCAATTTGTACAGGTCCACAATGAGTTCAAAGCAAATGGCCTTGATCCTAGCAAGACCAGGGCTGTTCTCTCTGCTGAGTGGAACAAGCTTGGACTTCTTGTCAACGAGGCTCTAGAGAAAGAGTGAACATACCCAGAGCTGGTTGTTGTTTTTTAAACACAAAATTTGATCAAACTCCTACGTGGCCTCACTGGATCTGATTTAACAAAACAGTAGTGCCCACGTGCTTCATGGGCTTTCATTTCCTCTGCCGGAGAGAGCAGGAACGATCTGGGGTCGATGCCGGCACATGGCCGTCACGCCTTCGAATCCGGTCGACCCTTCTTCTTTGGGCTGGCGGGGGACTATATAAATAGTCCTTATCCCATTGCTCTTTTCCTCTCTCCTCTTTCTCTCTTCTCTCTTCATATTTGCCTTCGTTTTCATTGCCTACAAGGGCAATTCAATACCACAAATAACTGCCAAAATGGCTGATTTTTCGGACCGCTGGTCAATGGAAAATGGACCTCCAACCTCCCAGACTAAGGATGAGAGTTGTGCCACCCCTGAGACCAGTAAAATTTCCCACTACGGGGCCAGTCGTCGGGCTGCGACCCCCCGGATTGCCGACCTTAGGACTCCGGCGATTCCTCCCATTTACCAGGAGATCCCAGGGTACGAAGCCCACCGTCGGCGGCAGGAGGCTCGCGCACTCATGGGATCAATTGCAGAGCGCCGGGGTAAGCCTACCCCCGCCCCAATATTGATCTGTGGTGATGCTCCGAGTCTTCTGTCGCACCGACGACGTTGGTAAGTTAATTCCATTCCATTCTTACTTCTTCTGGCCTTTCTTGTCTTGATTTCGATTTCATTTCGGTTTATTCTCACTTCATTCTTCCTATTTTCTTACTTCACATGTCCTATCTGAGATGATATTTGTTTTTTATTTAAAAAAAAAAGTCTTTTGGATTAGACTTGGCTGACTTTTGATTCTCATAGGGTCCCCGGGTGCCGCTTGTGCTGGTGTCTTTGCCGGAGCCGGAGCTTAGCAGCTAGTCAATGAGCAAACTAAGGCTACGTCTAGGAGAGCTTTCTGCTGGTGCTTTCGGTGATGATGGTAAGGGAGGTTTCTGTAGCGTGGAGGTTGGTTTTTGAGCGGTTGGCTGCCCATTGGTGATTCTAGTCTTCCTCTTATTTGGTCCTCACTTCTGAATGCTAACAATACGATAGTTATATAGACAAGTTGCTGCAAGTATGCTCTCTGGGGTTGACCACCAGGTACGAGCTCGTCAAGTGGAAAGTTCACCTTCTTCACCTGTAGCTCAATTCCAGATGCTCATTCATCAATTAATAGTTGGAGTTGGTTGTATATTGTCCCCAAGACTTCGATTGATCTCTACTACGAACATATAAACCGACAAATGGTTTTTTTTGCAATCTCTTGATCTCTCGACAGCTGGAAGGCACTCCGACCCCACTCTTAGTCCCATTGACTACCGTTGAAGCCACGAGTGCCACGTCGACCCCCCAAATTTAACGGACGCAAGACACTTTGTGCTAGCCGCGGCATCGAGGCTAGAAATTGATATGCTCACTGAATTCCGGTGCACTTCTCAGAAGAGTTTGGGGTTTATTGAATATACACAAACAATTCGAACTTCTCATGTCAATTTGGGCTGTCCTGATGCGCTTAGGGCTTCCAGCCCCTGATTCCCGTTCTGCGTTCATCAGTCCCTAGCTGTTATGTCTGATTGGCTTCTCAAAAGCAGAAGTACTATGATAGAGGGGTCTAGGTTTTGCGACATTATGGAGCACGGCAACACCGGGAAGTTGATCCTACTGCTTGACAACGTTCGTTTGGCCGACCCTCTCGTCTTTCTGATCATCTATCTTGATTTGACTGGCTGCCTGCGTGATTCCTAATCGAATGTGGAAGATGAGCTCCTTTGCTTTCCTTGTGCCAGTCCTAGCCGCCTATCTCTCAACCATTTGAAGCCCACCGAACTTCATGGATTGACAGACAAATACTCGATGAGCGAACTACATCTCCGCGGCACACAATGCCGCCTTCAGCGCTAATGAACATGGATGCTCACAGCTACTCCAATGCCAAATATCTCTCACTCGATCTCTCTGTGTATCTTTTCTCTTCCGGAAGGATTTCGGACTTGAAGCAGATTTCACCTCCCCTCTTCCCAAGTACCCATTGATGAGATCAAATCTATCGAGTGTGGTCAGGACAGGAGACCCTGTCTGAGGAAAACTACGCTTTCTCTCCAATCTTTAAAGGCTTGTTCGTCTGGCTCAAAAAGAGCCTCACTGCTACCTAAGGCCACTGGGTCTTGCCTATCATCCTCCGTCTTTCTTTCCTCGGATGAGATATGTGGCTATGAAAACTAGCGCGAATTGGGCAGACATCCCAACCCTGCAAGTGACCTCCATCTAGCTGCGTTACACTATAAAAGTGCAACGCCAGCACAATTCTTTTTACAAGCGCGTTTAGCCCCAACCTTCAAGAAGACAAGACCGAGGAGCCCAAGCAGTTCTCAGTCAACATAGCCCTGATGAACCTACCTTTTGTGTTTGTGTGACAGTTGCAAATCCTGGCTCTACACGTATTTAATACATTCCGCCTACCTTGCTTGATTGTTGAAATGTACAGAAAGAAATTGAGACCGTTTTGCTGCCGTTTACGTCCCATGTTCAATTTCCATCACACTTGAAAGGTGTGAGGCCCTAATTTCTTTAGCAAATGGACCAACATAATATTCCACTGCTTTGTTTCGTTTCAAAATTCCCAACAAAACACTATAGATTGTAAACCTACAAGGCAAAGATTCATAAATGCTAAAGGTGTGCCAAAATTGCCCCCATGAGCTCCTGGGCTTGATCATTGTCGCATCCAATATCAGACACAACACTCACATGTTTAAAATTACGTCTATTTACTAATATTGATAATAGCAAGAATAGCAAGAATAGAACGAAATTAATCAATCGATCATGCATGGACGTTCATATTTACACTGTACAAGAAATCAAATCATAAAATACATCACATTAGACTTGTTCGACCTCCAATCTCATTGGCAGCCTCACCATTGGGCATCTCACCATTGCGGCCAGCGACAAACTCCCGGTAGATGCCCTGGAGACGTCTACGTTCCGCAGGAGGAAGAGAACCGCGCGTAGTAGCCAATGAGCGCTCAATATGCTCCCAGCGAACGATGATATCCTCACGCAGCTCGTCTGCATCAGGCTCAGCGCCTTTGGCCACCGGGACCGCGGTCTTCGTACCAGAAGTTCCCTGCTCAAGCTGGCGTTGGCGGCGACGCGAGTTCTTGATTGACTCAAGCTTGGCTGAAATCACTGCCGGGGCTGGCATGGAGACAGACCCAGATGCTTCCTCCGAAGATGAGTAGAGGAACTGAATGAAAGATTTGCTGGAGGCACTGGCAGAGTTGGCCTTCGCAGTGGGCTTGGCTGTATCGGTAGAGCGATCACCCAGTGCGTCGTGGACGGCCTCTAGATGGGCGTTGTACACGACAGCCTGCAGATCTGCACCGGAGAATCCTTCGGTCGCGGCAGCAATATCATCTAGGCGAGACGTGACCTCGTCACTCATCTTCAGCTTTTCACTCACTGAGCGGATGATATCAACACGGTCTGTGTGGTTGGGCATGCCACAAAGAAGGGACTTGTCGAGGCGGCCAGGACGAAGGAGGGCAGGATCGATCAAGTCAGGCCGTGACGTTGCCGCCAGCACATAAACGCCCGAGAGGCCTTCTGCGCCGTCCATTTGTGTCAACAGCTGGTTGACAACACGATCTGTGACACCGGTGGAGTCGTGGCCACGCTTAGGTGCGATACTGTCAAACTCATCGAAGAAGAGGACACAAGGGCGAGCAGCTTGGGCTCTCTCAAACAAATCGCGAACACTCTTTTCACTGGCTCCGATGTATTTGTTCAGAATCTCGGGGCCCTTCACACTGATGAAGTTCAATCCACACTCGCCAGCCACTGCACTCGCCAGCATTGTCTTACCGCAACCGGGGAATCCATAGAGAAGTAACCCAGACCGTAGTCGCAGTGGGCACTGTGCGAAGATTGGGGCATATTTGGTAGGATACTGTAAAGTTTCCAACAGCATCTTGCGAGTTTCGAACAAGCCACCAACAGAGGAAAATGTAGTTGTTGACGAGGTAAGAGTAACGTTCCGAAGAGAAGCTGGTGTAAAGTCCTTCAAGGCACTTTCAAAATCGTCCAACCCGAGAGTGATCGTTTTTGATGATGTTGTCAGATCTGAGACGGAGCGAATGAGGGCCTCATTGCGTGCGCGCGCAACAAGTAGCACAAGATCACCGGGCATGTACCCATCTGTTTTGCCGGCCAGCTCTAGATAATCGACATCTCTTCCAATAACAAACCCATCACCCCCAGAAGAGCTTGGTCGGCTCCCCGGGTTTGAAGGATCCAACCATGAGTTTTGTGTTGAGGAGCTTGTGGCCCTCACATGCCCATTTGAGCATTCTGTAGGTTTATCTTCGCTAGTGAGTTTTTCCAAAATTCTTCGACGTCCTTCCTTGTCAGGGGCTCTCAGATTAATGATTTCACGGACGACATGACCACCAATGATAACATTATTGAGGGACTCTTTGGCCTGGGCAGTGGCCAGGAGCACAACGGAAGAATTCAGCGCGCAATATTCTCGAACCATAGAGCAGATTACTTCGCTGTTCTGGCGACTGCGGCCATTGTCTCCACCCACTTGCAATTCAGTCTCCACTGGGCAAAGCTTGTCCAGATCTTCAAGGATCACGACTGACTGACCACCAAGACGTGCACACCAAGATGCGGACATGAAGAGGCGGTTCAGTGTCTCCTTTATGTTGGAAATACGTGTTTCGTCTGTCACGAGCTTGCGGCAAGAGAAATACTTGATATTGAAGAGATGATCTCGTCTTAGGCGATGGGCCAAAAGATGGGAAAGGGCTGTTTTACCAGCACCAATACCACCGGTCAGCAAGATTGATGAGGTTTTTGTCAGGTTTTTCAATGACTGTTCAATGATAGAATCAATCCCTACCAATTGAGGGGCGGTTTCTGGGAGAAGGTCCTCCATATGTAGCGTCGATGAACTAGGGTCAAATGGCTTGGGAATTTCAGCTTGGACTTGAAGATTTAGCTTCGCTTCTGAGCCCAGCAGCCATCCGAACATTGGCTTTGTGTCATCCGCAGCTCCCTTCAAAGGAGGATCGAAGCGAAGAATAGCACCATCGAACGAAGAGACTGGAGAGCGATACTCGAATTTGGGAATAATCATTCCATCAGTCAGAGGCCCCGAGAACAGCCCAGTATCGGACCCAGTGCTGCCGTAGATGACTTTGAGGCGCTCGGCTAGGGCTTCCTGAGATGCCGTAGTGTCCGCGCCGAACTTCAGTCCGTCCTTCTTTTTGGAAGCATCACCTATGAAAGGATAGACTTTGAGTGTCTTGACTGCCGAGCGATGCAACTGTGGGGGTGCTGCTTCAACTCGGACGATTCCACCAACCATGTTCTCCGCACCAAGCGCCGTGCACAACAAGGTGGAAATCGCCACATGCTGGTTGTCCGGGGCCTCCTCCCACGGAAGAATTTTAGCTACTATCCTGGTTGCAGGGGCACCAGCATCATTGGACTTTTGCTGTTCAGCTTGAGCAAGTTGTTGTTGGGGATCTGGTGGGGATTTGAGACCGGATGGCTGGACAATCGACACGCAAGCCCAGGTCGCCCCGCGTAACTCGTTGCTAGCCAGCATATCCGGATCAACCCAAATACGGAGGCCCTCATTTTGATCATCTGCTACTTCCCCATCAAAAAATTGAGCGGTCGCTGAGCGATCCACGCCTCTCAAGTAAAGAGGGCCTCGTGTGGAGTCGGACCGACCACTCTTCTGGCGTACAGTGCTCGAAGCACTCCGGCCCCCGGCACTCTTCCTGCTGCTACCAGCAACACTGTGGCTGTCAGCCCTAGAGCTTTTGATTGTCTTGGATCGAACTTTGGGGGCCACTATGACTTCTGCATCCGGCGCGATTTTGGCAAAGGGGGAGGTATCTGAGGGAGCGGGTGTAAGAGAAGTGACGACAATGTTGGCGGTAGATGTGGGAGATAGATGCAATGCGAGTGGGTGAATGTGCACCGGTTGCCCTGCATTGTATGTAGGATTAGGTAGAGCGCGGATTTGTGACAAAAGGTTAAGTTCCAAGAATGTGGCGTGGAGTTCAATGACTAGTGATGTCGAGTTAGTACCGGTTCAATGATAGCAGTTTATAATTTGAACGCACTCTCCCAGTCTTCTGGTGTCAATGGCTCAATGTTTATCGTATGTGCAACGGGTGGATCGAGGTGCACGGTCAATCCGACCTGCAAGTGTTAGCGCTCCACGTGGATTGTGACGCACGGGGAGCATTGTACCTTTTGACCTTCTGTGAGACCAAGGAGCCGTCCAAAGGTGGTATCAAGTTCGATGGTGGATATTTCCTGTTCCCTCGAATATCCACTGTTGATACCGTCTTTCCCAACGACAGGCGCAAGTCTGCGCTTGCTCGGCATACCCGTCCAACCGAGGAAGCATGATTGCTGCGAGGGAGCCCCATTCGCCTTTCCGGCGGTCGATTTATATTGTAATTCGATGACAATATTCTGAGCAGTCTGGTATAACTAAGAGTTAGACAGGAATGGCCCGTGGAAACAAACTGACTAGTAAACTGACCGTGTTTGCATTGACCAGCAGAGCGACCAGCGACGGCGGTAGATTAACAAGACAGCTCTTGAGAGTAGTGAGGGCAACTTCAGCCGTCACAGCAGGCTTCTTAAGAGCCATTTTGAAGCGCTGAACGATCGCGAGCACTGGAGAGATAAGGAGGAGAGGAACCGTGAACTCGCAGAAACACGACCCCGGACTCCACACTTCACATCTTTCGCCTCGGCCCGATGACGAGTCATGTGATGCCTAGGTTGATAACGGACATACGGATAAATACATAATCCATGATAATTGACACCTTTCCTAATTAGGTTAGTCTCATTTTCAGCGCGTCCTAGCCTCGCGTTCGCGTTCGACCTACGAATTTGGTAGGGGCTCGAATAGTCACTAGGCGGACCCTCTTCTCTATTTCTCTCCCGATCCCACTATCCATTCTTTGCGCTTGAAATTGAGCGCATTTTGTTAAAATGTCTCTCCTTCAATATCCCCCACCTGTGGATTATTCTGCGCAACTGAATGGCTTCAAGGATTTCTTGAAGGGGTTCAAGACCTTCCAATCGTCCTCGGAAGCCGCTGCGACCGAGGCATTGGAGGATCTGAACATCGACGACGGCCAGACTAGTGATGAATACGATTTCATGGATGATGCCGATGGGACCAATGGGGCAAACGCCAGAGGAGCAAGGAGGCACCGGGAGCCGAAGCTCAAGTACATGCAAATTCTGCAAGATATCGCAAATCGGGATATATCTAATATCTTGATTGAGTTGGATGACTTGTCAGTTGTAAGTTTCCGATAATGAACCATTCTCTCTAATTTAAAGCTCACCCTGCTGGTAATAGTTCGAGAAGTCCATGCCCGAGGGAGAAGACCTGAAGCTCGTCGCATCTATCGAAAAGAACACAAAACGCTATATCGATGTTGTCTCTCAAGCGGTCGATGAAGTTATGCCTAGGGAGACGAAGGATGTCACGTATGTCAAATCTGTCCCTGCGTGAATTTGCTGACTGCGAAACTAATTATCGTGCAGGTTCAAAGACGATGTTCTTGATGTGATCATGTCTCAGCGTGAGAAGCGAAATGAGACTATGGAAACAGCAATGGAGGCCGACATGGAAACTGCTGCGACTGCCCCATCGATGTTCCCTCCTGAGCTCACCCGCAGGTATACCCTCAACTTCAAGCCCCTCACGCCCTCGGGCTCCAGTGCCGAGCGCGATTCCAAAGCCCTCGCCGTCCGTTATGTGCGTGGTGAGCACCTGGGAAGCTTGATTACAGTCCGCGGTATTACGACCCGTGTCTCAGATGTCAAACCGGCTGTACAGATCAACGCCTACACTTGCGATCGCTGTGGTTGCGAAGTGTTCCAGCCAATCACCACTAAGCAATTCCTTCCCTTGAGCGAGTGTTTGTCAGAGGAATGCAAGAAGAACAATTCGAAGGGTCAACTCTTCCTGTCAACTCGTGCATCGAAGTTTGTTCCCTTCCAGGAAGTGAAGATCCAGGAAATGGCCGATCAAGTTCCCGTCGGCCACATTCCTCGAACTTTGACTGTTCACTGCCACGGCGCTCTGACTCGCCAACTGAACCCCGGTGACGTTATAGACATCGCAGGCATCTTTTTGCCCACTCCCTACACTGGTTTCCGCGCTATTCGCGCGGGTCTGCTCACTGACACATATTTGGAGGCCCAGCACATCACCCAGCACAAGAAATCCTACAATGAGATGGGTATGGATAGCCGCACCCTTCGCAAGATCGAGCAGCACCAGCGTTCCGGTAACATGTATGAATACCTTTCGCGGTCGATTGCACCTGAAATTTACGGACATCTTGATGTCAAAAAGGCATTGTTATTGCTCTTGATTGGTGGTGTCACGAAAGAGATGGGTGATGGCATGCACATCCGTGGAGACATCAACATCTGCTTGATGGGTGACCCTGGTGTGGCTAAGTCTCAGCTTCTTCGATACATTACCAAGGTTGCTCCTCGTGGCGTGTACACAACCGGACGAGGAAGCAGTGGTGTCGGTCTCACCGCTGCAGTTATGAGAGATCCCGTCACAGACGAGATGGTGCTGGAGGGAGGTGCCCTTGTCCTTGCCGACAACGGTATCTGCTGTATTGATGAATTCGACAAGATGGAGGACTCGGATCGGACAGCTATTCACGAAGTGATGGAACAGCAGACCATCTCTATCTCCAAGGCCGGTATCACAACCACCCTCAACGCTCGTACTTCTATTCTGGCAGCGGCCAACCCGCTATATGGTCGCTACAACCCACGGGTGTCACCCGTGGAGAACATAAACCTGCCCGCCGCTTTGCTCTCTCGTTTCGATGTCATGTTCCTGCTTCTGGATACCCCATCCCGCGAGGGCGATGAAGAGCTGGCCCACCACGTCACCTACGTCCACATGCACAACAAGCACCCGGAAAGTGAAGAAGCCGGCGTGCTGTTCACTCCCCACGAGGTTCGTCAGTACGTTGCCAAGGCGCGCACATTCCGTCCGATTGTGCCTACCTCTGTTTCTGACTACATGGTTGGTGCTTATGTGGCCATGCGCAAGAGACAAAAGATCGATGAGTCCAAAAAGAGGCAGTTCTCTCACGTCAGCCCCCGTACTCTTCTTGGTATCGTTCGTCTTTCGCAGGCACTTGCTCGTCTTCGCTTTAGTGAGGAGGTTGTTCGTGAGGATGTTGATGAGGCTCTACGTCTCATCGAGATCAGTAAGGCTTCCCTGTACAACGATGGCGAGTCAGGTGCCGACAACACCCCATCCAGCAAGATCTACAACTTGATTCGCAGCATGAAGGAGAGTGGTGCCGCTGCTGTTGGAGATGGCGAGGAAGGTGAGATGAGCATGAGACGTATTCGTGAGCGTGTGTTGGCCCGAGGCTTCACCGAGGATAACCTCACCATGACTATCGATGAATATGCCGAGATGAACGTAAGTTTTGATAACTCCAGAAGCTTACTGTGCTCATTTTTGGCTAACATTCCCTCTAGCTCTGGCAAGTCACTGGTAACGGCACACGTCTGCTTTTCACTGAAGTTGACGGTGATATGGACATGTAATTGTGAAAGTCTCTCATTATGTTTTTCTCCTCTAAAATGTCGATCGGGCTTTTTATACGTGTTGAAGATGCATATGAAACTGGCTGGGGCCAAGGCGGCGGGAGTTTGGGTGTATTCTTGGAGAAATGGAGTCGGTTCTAATGATATCGTAGGGTCAATTAAGAAGATTTTCCCAATCTGCTTGTTTAATCTACATTTTCATTCTACTTTTCCACTAAACCAATTTCAATTCAGGAGTGACTCATGTACACATGCAAGTCGCCAGAACACCTCGCGCTATGGACCCAACTCAGTCCCTTAAGCCTCTTGCACTACCACCATACCTGACATCAAGTCCCCCATATTTCACTCTTCCCTCTGCTACCAAAAAGCACACTCCTACCCTGAATCGTCATTCTAAGCCGCGCACTGGTGCTGAAGCTTGACCTCGTTGCAAAGATCGGAAGGAGCAGCATACAGATCGTCACAGGGAGTGTTGCAAGCCGTCTCCTCAGGAACGAAAACAAGGAACTCATACTTTGGCATCGGCAGGCGGAACTGATGATATGTGTCGTCATTGTACTGGGACGCCTTGAAGCCAGCACGGCAGGCGCAATGGAATGATTTCCCCGTGTTAATGCACGAGGTGGACGGATCACACCAGTTCTCGCCTGAGATAGGATTGCAGGTGCCGCATTGGGGCCACGGGGTTGGGTCAGCTGCCACTAGGGAGGCGGTTGTAATGATCAAGGCGATGATGGAGAAATGCATCTTGATGGATATAGTTGGATTCAAGTATAGACTTGAAGCAGATCTGGTGTCTTCTGTCTGGGACTGGTTTCCGATGGCGCTATGCTCTGCTGGGAGATTCGCCATCTTTTATACTCGTCTCCAAGGGCACAGCTATTTATGTAAATCATCAGGCTCGGAGACCCTTTGTTTTGGAAGTTATTCACCCTGTTCCCTGCGGAATCAGCGCTGTTTTGCATCACGGGATCATTTTCAGCCAGGGTTACCCAGTATACTATGAAGATCGGTCCACGAAGGAGACGATGCCTGCATATGGTGCCACCGGTTGGATTCGGTAATTCTGTATAGGTTCACTATCTGACATCTTATGCTCGGAGGGACGGTGAAGCCAAAGGAACCGGGGTTGTGAATACGAGGTCTGGAACTATACCTCCAGACACCACCAATGCTTATTGACTAAGGTGTTGTGGATGGATTCTTAGCTCAACATTGCCTTTGAGCAGCACGACTCTTGCTGTTTAGATTTTGTTTTTATAGATTCAGCAGAAGGCTTGAGGCAGGGTGCATGTCTCCCGCCTATATCCCTCTCGCCACATTCAGATCTCGACGTTAACACCCGTATAGAAACGCGGAGATTCTAACTTGCCAAGGTAGATGTCTCACACTGCTTGAAGCTCTATGGTTACGAGCTGAGAATTCTTCGATCTGCTCGGGCTTTTATGCAACCAACTCCATCTTCGACAGGGCTTTGAGAACATAGCGAAAGGCAGATTAAAGCGAGCGAGACAGCAAAAGGTGGACACTGGTTACTTGAGATTGAGGCAGAGGCTGTGGTACCTTGTTTTTGGTCTTTATTCACACTGCATATCATCAAGGTTAGGGGTCCAGGGAAGGTTGCCCATTCACGACACACTTTTTGCCTTGTTGAACCCGATCAAACCCAGTACTCCAAGTCTCAATAGTGATCTCATGTTGTCAGACGACCTTTCTTGATCGATATTATTATAGTCTCATCTAATAGTCGGCAATCGGGATCATCCTGAGGCCTGAGTCTTAAGCGTAAGCACCGAATGACGGGGTTTGACCATGCTGGTCAATGTATTATTGAATGCCGATGTTCACATACTATGAGCTGTTTCTTTATCTCCAGTGAAATTCAACAAATGCCCTAAGCTACCATGGCACCTTCTATGTAAGCCAGTAAATTTGAGATTGTGATATCGGATCCGAATTGGGAGCATGAGATGCGGGGTTCAAGGCTCTTTTTTTTTGGGAACTGTAGACACCGCTTGTGAGAAGCACCAAAAAAGTGGACGAGACATGTTCCATTGGTGTGGGTTTGTGAATAGCTTAGATACATGGAGACATGCTCGGGTATCTTCAACAGCTGCACTGTCTTTCTTGTGCTTAGATGCCTTGCTATGAGCCTTTGTCACGGTAGCCTAGAGGTGCGTCTTAGACCCGTCTGGTTCTCCAATCAGCCTCAAAAAGGCCCCGTGAATCTCATCTGTCAAATCGCTGGCCTGCATGCTCCGCCCTTTGGCTGCAAAGGCTCGCCCTGAGCACTCTCGTGTAATGCTACTCCCCGCCCAAGTCGCCAATAGCAGAGTTGTTGTCGGGGACATGCGCTTATTCTCAGAATCGAGCTCTGCCTGGACGTCTTCTTTACTCTGCGCCTCCTTGTCATTGTCCTGCTCGCCAGAGTCCCACAATCTCTCATGATAAGCCGCTCGCCATGCAAGGAATGTACCCAGTGACCCGGTCAGAGTGTCTCCTTGACCGCCGCTGCGCTTGAGGCCACCCTTGTTATCGGAGATGATACTGGTAACCCCGTTGGAAATCACATCTTGAGGGCCCTTTTGGAGTATCGTGACGCCACCGAGTGCTTGAGATAACCGTTCGCACGCATCCGATGCTTTGCTGGTGGCGTCGCCGTTTTCGCCTTGCGCGATCTCCACTTGACTGGCGACCTTGACCCCCAGAGCTTTGGCTAGACGGCTAAACTCTACCACATTTGGCGTGAGAATGCACTCCTTGTAGCCTTTGACCAAACTCGGGTCTTGCGTAACAATCAACAATCCATCTGCATCTAGCACAAATGGGATCGATCGTGACCGCGCCTCTTTAATAACTTCTGCAACCACCTTTAGCGTCACGCCGTCGCGGCCGAGACCCGGTCCAATCACAAGTGCATGAAGGCGAGACAGCATCCCGATGATCGGACCTGCCAGTGATGCTGCATCAATTGAATCGGGATCCTTGACAGTGTCGCTGCTTGGAAGTAGTGGGTGTACCATCAAGTTTGGAGAGTATCCTTTGATAACCTGTGTATTACATTTTCAGAGTGGATTCAATCTAGGCCGGGTGTTTGTTAGCTTACTGGTGCTGCGGATCGTTCGCAGAGTACATGGCTCTGGTGGTTGTAAGTAGTTTGCAGAAGGTATGTTGCCTTTCGTACATACCATGTCACATCCTACGGTTTGAGAGTTAACATATTTGGTGGAGAGCATGTGCCTTTTTAGGAGACATACCAAGTCTTGCAGAGGCCATAGCTGAGAAGTATGGAGCTCCAGTGTAGCTTGTGCCAGTTAACAGAATGCCCATGTCACCAATCAGAAAACTTACTCAACACAGCCTCCAATAACGGCTACACGACCGAGCTGACCTAGAATAATAGTCGGCGGGGATTGCTCATTGCGTGGCAGATGGGGACCTGATCAACAGACCTTTGTGGAACTTTTCAAGCATTGGAGGTACGATCTTGCGGACCTTGCTGAAGAGAATCTTTGATGAGACCGAGACATGATGAACGGACTCCATGGTGAATTTGCGAAATTTTGAAATTGTACAAGACAGCTTTCAAGAGCATGTTGGAGCGCTAAGGGTGAACACAGGTGATGTCACCCGCCAAGTGGGGCCTAGACAACCTAGCTTGTAGCTGAAATGTTGACTACAACATAAATATAGAAGGATGGAACCAAAAAAGAAAAGTTGATATTGAAATAGTGCTCGCTGTTGATGGTGCTTCAAGCCCAAAAAAAAAGAAGGCATCGCCGTCTATGGACACCCCGAACGCTCAGAACGCGGAGGTAACATGTAGGTCTACCCCAAAACTAAGGAGAGATCATGTAAAGTGATCGGAAGTAAAAAAGTAGGTATTTGACAGTATATAAAACGTCCAACCTTCAACGCTTGCTCCGAGAAGCAAGAGCAGCCAATTTCCGCTGGCGCTCCAACTTCTCTTTCTTAGCCGCCATTTCTAGCCGTAGCTCTTTCTCGTCCTCCCGTTTGGCAAATTCCAATGCAGCCGCTTCTTCTCGGTCCACATCGTCGATTCCAGCCTCCATGTCGGACGATGCATCGGAGTAGTAATCGTCATAGCCACCGAGGTCACCTTCGTCTTCTTCGTCGGTTCCGAGATATTCGTTTTGTCGGGAATTGCGAGACTGGTGTCGACGGTCACTTCCACCACGGTTTGATGGCAAGCCTGCAGTTCCGCGATACGCAGGCGGCTCGGAGGCCTGTGTCGGCTTGGCCGTGCCCTTGTATGAGGGCCCCTCGGAATCGCGCTGGCGGACAGCAGGTTTGCCCTTGGCAGCAACACCTAATCCAGCCTTCCGTCCCAAACGCGCTTCTTTTTCTTTGGCTTGCAATTCCATCATGCGCCGCTTGCGTTCCAATTTTGTGAGTCTTTCTTTGGGACCGGCTTGGTGTCGTAGCAAGCCTACCCCCACAGGCACCGTCTCTTGCTTAGCCTTTGCCTGCGCCATTATTTCCGCAAATGATCCCTTTGGTGGCGGCTTCGAGACTGTGACAGCGCCTGCCGATGTGGGTTTGAGAGTGGACTCCTTCTGTAAGGCTGTCACTTTTGAGGCCGCAGACAAACTAGGTTTGGGGGCGGTCTTAGGCAGGGCTGGCCTAGAGGTGGTGGTAGGGACTGGCTTGGGCACAGCTCTAGGGGGTGCTGATGATATCGCTGGCCTCGTGGCGAGCATAGACTTCGTTGCAGCGGGAGTATTTGTCACCTTGCTTTCAGTTTTTGGTGGACGAGGAAGCTGATCCTCAGCTTTGCGCTTGATCCCTCCACTGACATTCCCACTAGTCGGAGGCGCCCGCCGCACAGCTGTCGGTTTTCGATCCTCTTTTTTAGTGATCAAGGCAGGCGCAGGCGAGGTAGGCGCTTGAGAGAGCGGGGCTTGGGAGGGCTTACCCGTCTGGAGAGACGAGAGGACAGAATCAAGGAACTATGCGATGTCAGTCCAAATGAGGTAAAACGGAGAGAAGAGTAGGTAGCATACACTCATTTTGATTGCAGGAGGAATATCCCGAAAGATGTGAAGTCTAGAAGTAGTACAGAGAAGAAGTCGCTCACCGTCGATATTTAGTACGACTTAGTAACTTCATGGCTCCGAGCCCGATAGCATGAGAATAGATCTCTGGCTCACTCCGGATTTTCTGTTATTGCAATATAACAGACCCAGCAAAACTAAAGGACACGCCTGACTTGGCCCAAAGCTTTTCAAGTGAGAGTTATACACTCCGCAGACGAGGAGGAGAGGTAGACAGGTTTCTGGCCAGCATGCAATTATCAGGGCCGGATATGAATTCGGTCACGTGATGACGAGCACACTGCGCCACATCACTCGCTTAGAAGTCCCGCTGACACTAGCCACACCCTCTCGCACCACCTTTTTTTTTGAAGATTTTGAGCACTCGGTTAATCCTTCGTCAACCAACCTCTTCCACCAGAACTCGACGTTGCAGTCTCCGCCCAATTCGCGGTTAAATCGATTGTTTCTCTTGTTCAGACAATAATCACCAACGGTATGTTCTGCATCTCGTTTTTGTGCCTCTCAGACGATTTTGCGGCTTGAGAAGTGCGATCACATCCGATATTGAATTCGCGATACTGATGAAGATTTTTTTTTTAATCCAGTCCTTTCAAAATGAAGTACCTCGCCGCCTACCTGCTCCTCGCCCTTGCTGGCAACGAGGCCCCCTCTTCCGACGACATCAAGGCCGTCCTCTCCTCCGTCGGCATTGACGCTGAGGGTGACCGTCTCGAGAAGGTCATCTCCGAGCTCCAGGGCAAGGACCTCCAGGAGGTTAGTTACACTCGCATGCGCGCACATGCTTAACCCGAATTACATGCTGACCCTTTCCATAGCTGATCTCCGAGGGCTCTGCCAAGCTCGCTTCCGTCCCCTCCGGCGGTTCTGCCGCTGCTGCCCCTGCCGCTGCCGCTGCCGGTGGTGCCGCCGCTCCCGCTGAGGAGAAGGTTGAGGAGAAGGAGGAGGAGTCCGATGAGGACATGGGCTTCGGTCTCTTCGATTAAGCGCCTTAATCCAAGGCCTAAAAATCACGGTTCTGGGGAACAGATGTTTGGATGGTTTGTCAGCTCGGGCAAGATTTGCGCCGGTTGGCTTCTCGATTGTGTTATGTTGAGACTGTTTTGATACAGTTGCGACCTTTCATATGAGCTGGAATAAGCTTATAGCCAATACAATTCATCTGGCCTTAATTTCAACTTTTCTCAACACGTACAACTAGAATTTGAGAAAGATCGCCGGGATCCGCCCGGGGTTTCAAACAATAGCGTGTAGTCAAATTTCCTTGGAAAACTATACCTTCATTTATCCATGTTTGGTAACTAAATGTACTCAGACACGGGCCATCAACAACCTCCGGATCTGGTACTAGGTACTACATGCATGTTAGCCCTGGGGGCGATGGGAAATCATAATACAAATAAATTACAATGCTGGAATGAGCGTTTTTGATACCTTCCCTAGACAAATCGAGAAAATCAAGATTACAAAGAGTTTTATTACGAGATATAAACCACAGTTTCAACATAAATTACAAATGGCCCAAAGGGGTATAGTTTCTAGGGCTTGGAACCTACCCGTCGCTTAACGAGTGCTGCCCACCTCCTAGAGCCTGTGTGTTAGCAGCCCGACCGCTTAGCGACACGACAATTTCCGACAACCCATCCTCCTTCGCTTTTCGAGATACGGTCGAAAGGCGGTTTATAGGAATATCTGCAAAAATGGCTGACATCGAATACGTGAGTTTTTTTTTTTTTTGGGCTATCGCCCTTCAAGCCCGTGCGATGCACTAACATGGAGTCTTCATCTAGAACGCCGAGGAGGCTGCCGGTACGTTGAGAAGAATCAAACCCACCCCTATTCATCGCCCATGGAAAAAAGAAGAACAGAATGAGAGGGGAGGACGCGCATTGCGATCAACTATACGATGATGATGATGATGGAGGAAGAAGGGAACTTCAGCGGGAAACGACATGGACCTGGGATGCAGGGAGACACGCACAACAACATGATCGCAGACGCTGACTGAAACTTCGCCAAACAGAGATCAAGAAGAGAAGACAGTTCCGCAAGTTTTCTTACCGCGGCATTGACCTCGACCAGTACGTTCTCGTTACCAATAATCGAACCCTTGGACATCCATTTGCAGCCAGTGCCTCGTGAGACGGGATTGACGGTATTCATCTATCATGCCAACAATCCTTGTGGATGAACCACAAGTGACATTTCTGTTTACGCCTCTCTGGCACTGAGTTGCGAATGGACCACAAGGATCAAAAATTTGCAAAGACATTGGTCTCACTGAATCCTTTTACAGGCTCCTCGACCTTTCCTCCGAGCAGCTCCGTGATGTCGTTCACGCCCGTGCCCGCAGACGTTTCAACCGCGGTCTGAAGCGCAAGCCCATGGGTCTCATCAAGAAGCTCCGCAAGGCCAAGCAGGAGGCTAAGCCCAACGAGAAGCCCGATCTCGTCAAGACCCACCTCCGTGACATGATTGTCGTCCCCGAGATGATCGGCTCCGTCATCGGTATCTACTCCGGTAAGGAGTTCAACCAGGTTGAGATCAAGCCCGAGATGGTTGGCCACTACCTGGCTGAGTTCTCTATCTCTTAGTACGTGCTCCCAAGATTTGTTCCCTATGACCAATCAACATCAGATTTTTCTAACAACCTCTCAGCAAGCCCGTCAAGCACGGTCGTCCCGGTATCGGTGCCACCCACTCTTCCCGTTTCATTCCCCTCAAGTAAACGATTTCAAACGATTCCCCTCGGAGTGGCGTGTGGAGGAAATGGTGCTGGGAAAGCAAAAATGGAATTCAGCAAAACTCTCAACTGGGCTCTTTTTTTCAGCATGTATTTCCAGTGCGGGTCAGCTGTTTCCAACTCAATTTAAGATCTTGTCGGCATGAAATCATCTTGGGATCTGGATTTAGTCCCTCGTCGAATCTGGCGAGGTAAAAAAAAAAAGGATACTTTTTCCCTCATCTCGCTTTTGTGTCAGCGGGGAAGAAGTCTAAATCTTACCGACACTACAAATTTCAATATCAGGCACATTGTAGGCTAGCAACTCTTACGGGCACACTAGACAACTCGTTAGATCCGATCTCATGGTCATTGAGTCTAAGTTGTGAAGTTTTTTGAAACTACTCCGTTGTAATCCTATGAACTGCTCCACAAATTGGACTCCGCCACATTTACTCTGGGGAAGCGGGATTGTGTCATTCAATCCATTAGCTAGGTTTCTTGAACCTCATGGTGTGTAAATGTAATATTAAATCTAGACTAGGATTGATTGACGGTATCCTCTCCAAAGGAATGTCCTATTGTATGTTTTCTCTCTGCATGACTGGCCAAGGACATAAGATGTCTTAGGCCGTTGTTTAAAATATATACACAGAAGCAGTCGGCCACTTTTGAACCTTTTTTCTTATTGGTTATCTTGGATATCTGGAACAGCCCCTTCCAGCACGAGTCGGCCATTCCAGGTTGTTGGATCCCTTGCACTCATTGCCTCGAGCCCATTTCATGTCACTAAGATTACCTGACTTCCAACTGGAACATTTGGAGCTACAACATAGAGGCCTATCAAATTGTGAGGTTTCAGCCCTGGAGATGGGCATGGTGGACACGTTTTGATGTCATATTGCTCCCCTCAATTCTGCACTCACCAGGTCTTATACTATGTGTATCAACGTTTTCACTAAGATATCTTACTGTACATTTCCCGCCTCTACTCAAAATTTGCCTTATCCTCCGGCACTCGGTGAGATTGCTGTTTATCTGCGGAGGCCCAAACCGCCGAGATACCCGAGTTCCGATCTCAACGGTTTCAACCATCTCATCAGTTATACTGCAGGAACCTCAACAAAGTACAGTATCATTCTTAGATGTGGAGTGCATATTGTGATAATGGATGTTTCAATGAAACTCCGAAAAACCAACAATCTAGCGGTTTTGAATCGGGGGGGGGCAAAGAGGTCGAATATTGGGCTGAGCACTAATGCAGTGAGTGGGCCGAGGCAAGCCGCGAGCCGAGAATGCGGAGAAAGGCCTATACTTTGAAGCTTGGAGTGCTCGGTTGCTCGTGTTTCTTTTCATCTTTCATCTGACAGTCCTTTTGAGACTCTTTTTCAAATTCCTCACACTCGGTTCCTTGGCTTTCTTTCTCCGCCATGCCCATCCTCTCTAACTATCCTTTGGTCGACATCCCAGAAGTGGACCTCTGGACCTTTTTATTTGAGCGCACTGATAGAGCATATCCAGATGACAAGAGTGTGTGGTACCCAAGGAGAACCCCGATGCTGCACTTTTTGAATACGGCATTTTTGTCTTTCTCTTGATTTTTCTTCCCGCTAACCCCCACTAGTTCTCTACCAAGATGCTGATACTCAACGCTATTATACATACAAATCGCTACGCGATGCCTCGCTAAATTTCGGCAATGGCCTGAAAGCCCTATATGAGTGGAGCAAGGGCGATGTACTGGCCCTTTTCACACCAAACAGCATCGACACGCCCATCGTGATGTGGGGCACACTTTGGGCCGGCGGAATTATCTCGCCTGCGAACCCGGGCTACACGGTGGACGAGTTGGTCTTCCAGCTCAAGAATTCCCATGCCAAGGGACTTGTCACGCAAGTTTCGGTGCTGTCTGTTGCACGGGAAGCCGCGAAGAAAGTCGGCATGTCTGAGGACCGCATAATTCTGATTGGGGACCAGCGGGATCCCGGTGCGCGGATCAAACATTTCAGCTCTGTGCGTAATATCTCTGGTGCTACCCGCTACTGTAAGCAAAGGATTACTCCTGCAAAGGATGTGGCGTTTTTGGTTTACTCCTCTGGGACTACGGGTGTCCCCAAAGGTGTCATGCTGTCGCATCGAAATATCGTTGCCAATATTAGACAGCAGTTCACTGCTGAGGGTAGAGAGCTGCGTTGGGATGGTGGTCCTGATGGAAAGGGTGATAGGGTCCTGGCATTTTTACCGTTCTATCACATCTATGGTATGGCTTTTTCAATTGCGCAGATGCTCGGATGAACAACGTACTAACTACGAGCCTCTAGGATTGACCTGCTTAATTACACAGTCTTTGTACAAGGGTTATCACTTGATCGTAATGTCTAAATTTGATATAGAGAAGTGGTGTGCTCACGTGCAGAACTACCGCTGCTCGTTCAGTTACCTCGTCCCTCCCGTGGTGCTATTGCTAGGTAAGCACCCGGTGGTCGACAAATACGACCTCTCAAGTCTTCGCATGATGAACTCCGGGGCGGCCCCGCTCACGCAAGAGCTGGTGCAGGCAGTCTACTCCCGCATCAAGGTTGGCATCAAGCAGGGCTACGGACTCAGCGAGACCAGCCCAACTACCCACTCCCAGCAGTGGGGGGACTGGCGCGAAGCCATGGGATCCGTTGGTCGTTTGATGCCTAATATGCAAGCCAAGTACATGACTATGCCGGAGGATGGATCTGAACCTAAGGAGGTTGCTGAGGGAGAGGTTGGCGAGTTGTATCTGAGTGGACCTAACGTTTTCCTGGGCTATCACGAGAACCCGGAGGCTACCAAGGGCTGTTTGTCCGAGGACGGGTGGTTCCAAACTGGTGATGTTGGGTACCAGGACGCCAAGGGCAACTTCTACATTACCGACCGTGTCAAGGAGCTTATAAAGTATAAGGGCTTTCAGGTGCCTCCTGCTGAGCTAGAAGGATATCTGGTTGACAACGATGCTGTTGATGACGTTGCTGTCATTGGTATTGAGAGTGAGGCACATGGGTTCCGAGGTTCCTATGGCTTGTGTCGTTCGCAGCGCGAAGAGCAAGTCTTCTGGAAAAAGTGTGAAGGACGAGGCAGCGAACATTATCAAATGGCTGGATAGCAAGGTCGCCAGCCACAAGCGTCTGCGTGGTGGTGTGCAGTTCGTGGACGAGATCCCCAAGAACCCCAGTGGGAAGATCCTGCGTCGGATTCTGAAGCAGAGGCTCAAGGGCGTGGCCGAGGCACCCAAAGCCAAGCTGTAAATGATTTCTCTAAGATTAGGCACGCAATCCACAATCTAGATTTGTTCATGTTCATTTCATTTTCAAACTCAAACAATGTTTCTAAGACCTGACGGGTATCATATACTCATATCCAACCCCAAGCCCTTCCCTGGTACAAAAATCTAGAGATTCAACCCCGGTTCCAATAACCTAAGGAAAGAACCTCTTGACCATTCCCTCAACATCCTCCCCAACAACAGCATCAATGTTTTCCCTCGCAACCCTCTCAACAGCCTCCTCAACCCCCTCCTCCCCATTGACAAGATCAATCCACCCCTCCGTATCAGCCCTCGCAAGTAACAGATCCGCCACGATTGCCACATCTTCCCGAGTAACGCTTCCCCGGCCCTTAGGTGTAATCCCCAGCTCGACCTTCCGCGTCGCAGGCTTGTCAGTCAAAAGTCCAGGCCGCAGATTAATAGCCTGAAATGGGCGCGCTGGGCCAGACTCGTGCTTCCGCTGCGCAGCCAGTGCTGTCATGTACTCATCGGCTTCTTGCTTGGCCTGGGCGTATGTCGGCAGTACTTCCGTGTTCGTCCTGACAATCCCCGCCCATTCGTCGTCGGGCATCCAGCTCGGCTGCTTGCGTCGACTACCGAGGTATGACACCATGAGAAATTTGCTTACACCTGGTGAGGCGAAGGATGCTGTTATGAAGTGCTTCGCGGCTTCTTGGTCGATTGCGATTGTGCGGGCCGGGCCGCCTTTGCCCCCGGCACCTGGTTGTGTGTTAGTTTGTGTATTTGAAACTTGCATTGGGGGTTACAAAGGTGCATGAGGTTATTATGCTTTTTCTTTGCTTTGGTGTGGATAATGTGTGCATGCTGCGCGTTGGGATGATGCAAAGAATAGGTGGGGTGAGGTGTGCCATACCAGCCGACCAGACGACATAGTCCGGCGTAACTGTGTCGATGATTTTTTGAGCATCCGAGGGACTCTTCACGTCCTCTAAACTTGAAAGTAGAACCTTGAGTGTGCCCTTGAGGCCTTGACCTAGAGCTAGAATTTCGCTTTCGTGCGCGGGGTTGCGGATGACGCTGGTTACGCTCCAGGCCCGGTTGAGAAGGAGCGGAGTAAGGTGGAGGGCAACTTTGCCATGACCGCCCAGTAAAAGGACATGCATATTTGGATATGATTTGAATGAGACTTTGTGTGCGTGAGAAGATGGAGGAGTGATATTTGTGAGTGTTGATTGGGGAAGAAAGCTCGTTGCGTCATCGCGCAACGGGGTGAGCTTGGCGTTGATTTGTAATTGGGAAGAAATGTTGTAGGTGGAGACTGGTGGAGACTGCTGTAGGAATCGAATCATAGCTACTTGAGTAGTTTGCACTAATCTCTGGTGTGCTTCACAGTGTTATAGTCTCCTCATTTTTAGCCAATGCCAGGAAGGTTAAAAACCATACAATTTAAATCCATCGTAAAATGGCTCTATATAGGAATGTAAAAGTACAAAGATGTCGCGGAGCAACTAGCAGCATATTTCACCTCGTGATACCCTTGATCATCCAGTCAAATTTTGTCTTCAAGATAACCCAGTCTCTGTCTGGTCGATGTCATGCTGTTTGGTGTTCACCATTTGATCGCTGGCAATCTAGCAAGAAGCACCGGCAGGCACGTTACCGCACTTGCCACTCTTCTTACCACCAGAGAGAGAGTTTCCAGCCCATTTCCAGTTCTTGCAGCTACCGTTACCGCAGAGAATGTAAACTTCAGTAGCGCTGCTCTTGAGGGTACCGGTAACGTTCTCAATGGTGAGCTCAGAGATGGGGACACCGTTGGTGGGCTTGCCGGTAGGGCTGCCGTTCTCGTAATCCTGCTCGATGACGATACCGTACTTGGCGATGTTGGACAGCTTGATGTTGGAGAAAGTGACGCCGGAGACAGCACCGGTGGCCTGGTAGATGGTCTTGACGCGGACACCGTTGTCGGAGTTGATGACGGTAGAGTCAGAGATGGTGACATCCTTCACGATGTTGTTGTCGCGCAAGCCAACGGAACCGATGGAGATACCGTGGCCGCCGGAGCAGGTGCCGCCAACGAACTTGATGTTCTAGTGGGCAACCGGGTTAGTTGATTTGATGATTTGCTGGTAGAGGTGTTTTTGGTGAACTTACCGAGCCAGAGTTGATAGCCAGGCAGTCATCCTGGTTCTTGATGTTGGCGTTGGAGATGGTGATGAAGGTACTGGAGCCAACATCGAAGGCATCGGTGTTGTGGCCACCCTTGGCATCACCCTCGCTGTTGTCGATGGTGATGTGGTCGAGGGTCAGGCGGTCAGCCAGGATACTGAAACCCTGAACGGGGGTGTTCTTGACGTTCAGACCGCTGATGGTCGAGTCGTCCAAGTGGTGGGCGTAGAAGAACTTGGGCTTCTTCTTTCCGCCGTTGGTTCCCTTGCCGTCCCACCAGCTGGGACCGCCACCGTTGATGACATGGCCGGCAGCGCCGGAGACGTGAATGTTGCTTCCGGAGAAGCTGACGAGGGGGCCAGTCCACTCCTTGTATCCGAAAGAGGTTTCGCCCTTGAAGACGACCTACACAGTAGCGGTTAGATATGTGGGGGTTGACGCTTGCATAACAGAGCAACCTACCTGAGTACCGGACTTCAGCTTGGTAAGGTCGAGGGTCTCACCGGCAGGGACCTTGATGTTGTCCAGCACAATGGTGGAGCAGGATCCCTTGCCAGCCTTGGCCGCTTCAGCGGTGGTGAAGGTGCAGCTCGAGCCGCGCTCAACGAGATCAGTAACAGGAGCAGCTGGGGCAGCGGACACGGCGGCGGCGCCGAGGGCCAGCATGGTAACGAAAGATGTGCGCATTTTGAAGTAGATGTCCGATCAACAGACACGTAAAAACAAAAGAGTGTTGATGTTCGGGACTAGCCGACTTGAGTGTGAAAGAAAATGAGGAATGAATGTGAATGAGTGTAAAAGAATGACTTGGTTGGAAAAAGCTATTCCATCGAGCTTGGCCTCTGTATTTAAATGTCTAGTCTGCAGATTATCTTCCTGAGTGCCCCTGCGCTAACATCCTCATGAAACGAGACTACCACCATCTGTCATGATGTTGACCCCTGTTCTCAGTTGGACCACTTAGTGAAAAGTAAGTTGTGAGATCTACTCCGTCCGGATGAATGGATATTGTTAGGTGCTCCATTGGATCCATTATAAATTAATCTATTAGGGTTAACTAGGGAAACCCAACTTGGGTAAGTCTCCGAAACAGTTAGATCTATCCAGTCTAGAGCTCTGTGGAAATAACGATTGCTGGAACAGTTAACGCGCGGAATCTCTCCGGATAAAGGGGCCGAGACATCCTGCTTTGTTGTCCAATTGGGACCCAGGATTAATATCTGCAGATCCATCCGCTCCGACAAGCTTGTGTTTCACGCCAAGCACTTAAATGGAAGAATTGTTCGATGGACGGAGTAGGGCTGGTTAACGATGGAAGTTGTGAAAAATTCCGGAGGAATTGGTGGCGCTGAAACAAACATACACCCTTTTATTTACCACATGTTGCGTGTGAGATCTGTAATTTAATTGGTGCCCTAAATTAGATAAAAAAGACTTGAGACAAAAAGTGCACTGCTCCGTACGAAGTATCAAAACAGGGATTGGATGTAACTGGCCATTTGTGTGTCCATCCACAGGTTAAGATGCTACGATACGCTACGAAGGTACTCCCGAGATCCGTGCTCCCGGTACCTGGCGACACACCACATCCCCCTGAGTTACTCAAAGAACCACGCAGGCACCTCAAATCCAAGCAAATTGCGCTTGTTCAGTGGCAGAGGGAGTCTTTCTGCTAAGCGCGATGAGATATCGAAGTGTTGGTCAAATTACTCCTTTACCTCCGATGGAATGTGGTCGTAGGGCCCAAGTATCTGTGTGGGCTTGCTATAGGGTACGGCAGATCTAAGATGGGAAGTCTCCTACTATAACCCCCCGTTCGAACGAATTAGGTGAAAGTTTCATCTAAGCCAGGTATTCGTTTAAAAAAAACCAGTTGCCATGGAAAATAATCATGTCATGTTATGTTTCTGGGTGCCACATAAATTTTATGCTCCAAAAAAAGTCCCTGCCACAGAACATCGCTCTGCTTCTGTACCCTCAATTGCTTCGCTTCCATGAAACTTTCTTTCGTGTCTATTAATAATCGCATGAAGTAACTACTCTCGTAGAGCCACTTTTTGGAAGGTTAGGATCGACCAGTGGGGCATCTTAATCGGCTAATATCAGTGAATCACGTGGTTTGGTGCCAAGCATTTAATTGGTTGAAACCAGCTTAGAATGACATCACAAACCCTCGATGTAACGAATTTTGCATGGGAGGAATGAAGAATCAAACGAAGTTTGTAGTGACGAGAAAATTTCGGTGTTACTGTGGTGACCTAAAATGAAGCACTGGGATTAGTTTGTTGAAACCGGATATACGTTATATCCACGTGCATTATGACGGGAGTTTACAGTATTTGACATGAACCATCGGAACTCGGAACAAATACGAACGCGTACACGAGACGGTGCTGACAACACTAGCAACGCTGTCAGCGGCTTGTTTCGGAACGTTTTTCATTCCAGAGCTGATCTCGGGACAGGCTCGGAAAGCAGTCGATCTGATGGCTGCCAATAAGTTAGGCAAACTTTACAATAGCTTGTTACCTGATGTGGGCATCTCGAAGTTCACACAGGATCCAAGCTTGTTCCAAAAAAAAAAAATTAAAAAAACCTCCGTAGAGGTTACGGGAATTCTAGCTCTGTTTAAACCAAGAAAACAAAGGTTGGCCTTGTACGTTGTTAGATCTTCCATAGTATCTCGACTAGTTTCTTTTCTTTCCTTCCTTTTAGTGGGAATTGAAATGGATTCGAAGGTGCGGCAAATTTTTCCATGATATAGTCTACAATAGAATGCTATGAGATGATAATCCAGGGACAGCCTATGAGCTACTATAGTCTTCTTCTTGTGTATAAATTTACGATTAGCCGTTGAAATATGCTCGGATTATTCTAGAGCACATCAAGCCATAAGCGTACAAGAAAGCAGGATGATGATCCAGAGCGTTGACTGGAGATATATAAATATATGTATATATATATATATATATATTTGAACATCGACCGTCGTCCGCCTGACATCATTACCAGTCACTGACTAGTTATTAGCTACTCCATGTCATCCCTTGCTCTTCGTGATGTCGTAGGATCTCCTTTACCTTAAATATCTAGTATTACGATGGACAATGAATAGCGACGGGGATCAATCTAATTTTTAACACATTCAGTCACGACACTAGAGCGTGTTGAATTCATCATTTTCAGGTCGATCCAGGTTGCTCAGTGCTTGGATTTGCGAGGACACCCAACTGGTCAAGTTGATCTAATTTCGGACAAAGGTAAGAGAGCGTCAACGATCACTAAATTTGCTTCTTAGACTGCTGCAGATAACTTTCGAGCCATCGTCCCTTCTGGTGCATCTCCATTTGCGAAGGAAGCCACTGAGCTGCGAGATGGGGATAGTTCTGCATATGGCGGCCAAGGCGTCCAGCAAGCTATTTCGAACATTGGATTTTCTTTTGGTCCGACTCTAGCATAGACCAGGCTCAAGGTCGATAATATAACAGAAAATAATTGATCGTTTTCTATAGGATCTGGAAGGCACGGACAAGAAGTCAAAGCTCGGGGCGAATGTCATTTTTGGGCGTCAAAATGGCTAGTGCCAGAGCGAATGCAGCCCATTTAGTAAGTCAAAGTAAAGATTTTGCGAATTCCTCCGACGTGAGTATGGAGCGAAAAGATCAGAAGAACATAGATGGAAGTGTGCATCAAGGCAATATGATGGCTTCTCAAGAGACGATGATCTCTCCGGTTGGAGCGCCATCTTTCACAGAAGCAGCACAGATGAAGAGCGAGGTTTACCAGCAGATGAAGAATGTAATTGTTGAGAAGTTTCGAGCATTTGGTTAGTTAGCTTAGCACACCTTTCACAATGTCTAGTGTAGCCATTGTTGATATTCTCACCCAAGCTACCGGCATTGGGGACGAAGGGGGGGGACTGCACTACCGATTTCCCGGCCTCGTGAGGCATTGAGCATCCTGGTGGTAGCCGTCTTTCTTGCTGGATATAGCGGTAAAGCAAAATACGCCATTGATCCTCCATCGAGCGAATTCTTCAGAAATGGCAAGTACGACATTGGATTCAAAGACGATAAACCGAATCTACAAAGCCCCAGACAACTTGCATAGTTAAATCACTCATTGTTACAGACTTATTCCATCGTTTAACTGGAAGATCCGTTCGCCGAAACTGATTGGGACAGTTGAACTGAATTCAACAAAAATTGACCAGTCGATCTGCGGCACCCAGCTGGGATTGGGTATAGGGTATGCCAAGCCAGGGTACCCACACTAAAACCCGGGACCTCCGTCGGCTTATGTGCTTAGGAGAGGTTACCGTGGCCCTTTGTGATTGCATAATCAAGTGCTTTTCTGCATTTGACTTTTAGTCTCAAACCTGCTATACACCCCCTATGTTGTAGTTAAAATTTTGACAATGTGGCTCCGCCAAGAACACCCTAGTCTTTGCTAGCGCGGTGTATTGGATATACCATTTACACCAACTTGCAAGTTGTTTGTTAACACAACTGAGTATGCCGGTGAAAAAAAAACCAAACTACTAGTGCAGAGAGATCGGCAGGATCTACATTGGCGGAATCTTGACTAGGGAGGGTACTAAACTGCACCCGATGTCTACACACCACTACGGAGTGATGTTACAACATATCTTAAATTTATTATGCATGTATTATAGAAGAATCAACCACTTCTTGAACTTACTCCCTACTAGACATTTATTTACCTAATGCAAATAGCCATTTTATTGATTTCCCCTCAAGTTTATTAATGTTATAGACTAAAATAGTGATTTTATGTATTCCTTTCAACTGCTCAATACCACTACTCTATACTAAGTATATTGCTACCGATGTTCCTTCCCTGATCTTGGCAATACTTTATCTATAACATTTAATTTCTTAGATTCTCGTGGTAAGAAATTAGGTCTAGAAGGGTGCATTATGAAGCTACATGATGTTATGGTTGTAGTGACGGTTCATAATTCTAGCGTCCTCTTAGCTACCGCCTTCCTAGAATATTGCACCGCTTACTAAAACTGTTATGCCGCTCATAGTTCTAGGTCTTCGATTGGTGAAGTTGAAGTACTCGGTAGCACGGAGTCCGCACTCCGTACGGAGAACGGAGTACTCCATACATGTTAGTTTGTTTAAAAACTACTCCGTAGTTTTAGAAGAATAGACGGACTGAAGGGTTAAAAGGGGGGGGCCCCTAATAAAATTCAAAACGATAAAATAATAACTATGAGTAATGTGTACTCCGTAGTCAAAGGGGCATTGGGCGGTAACTTCTCCCAAGTACAAAAGCCGACGGAGGTCCCGTGTTTGGTGTGGGTACCCTGGCTTGGCATAACCGATACGGAGTACTCTGCACCCATCCCCACCCGGAACCCGCCCGGTCGAACTGGTTGGCGATAAGTTACTGGCCACAGATACGAAATACGTGCAGAAGGCCAATGCCAAGAAAGCTTGCAATTCTGCGGAATACGGAGAATACGGCTCAATACCAACCAAATAGACACCATCTCCGAAGCAATCGAGACGTGGGTCTCCTACAACATATGATTCTGGAAACAATCTCCTGATTATTAATATAGGGCGGACTTGGCGTGTGGTTTTGAGTGGATTTTTTTCGTATTCCTTCGGTCTGGTGAGACCACCGATGATTTTCGGGCTTCAGTTGACAGAGGTCTTATGTAATGCTTAGCCAGAGTACTCACCCTTAACTTGGCCACGGTAACGTCCGTCAGTTAACAGGCTTAGGAGAGGTTACCGTGGCCACTTTCATCATATAACATTTGCTATAACTGTTTTATCTTTTAAAGTTTAATTTATCCCCCCCCCCTTAAATCCTTCGGCCCGTCTTTTCTTCCTTCAACTATACGTACGTATAATATGATGTCAAACC